GTGGGGGTGGGCCTTAGAGAACTTTATGATATTTTAAGCTTTTTTTCCCCCAGCTTCACAGATAAGGAAAGCCACGTGGAACCGGGGCATTTGTCCTACTAAACCACTCACACTGGGTTGAGGGACTACCAGGTTGCTTGAGGGCAGGCAAATGGCCCAGGTCAGAATTAGAGCAGGACAAAGCTCTTGTGCCAATTAGAGCTGGGATTGGCCCATCAGTAGTGGCTGCATTTCCAGCCTAAGAATGATAGGGAGATCCAGTATTAAAAACAAACAAACAAAACCAACATCTTTTCTGTGCATTTAAGAAGATGCTTCAATGACCCTCTTTTCTTTCCTTTTTGGCAATATTATCGATAGCTCTTTTTTGCCTCTCTGCATCCTCCCATCCCTCTCCAGAAAAGAAAAACCACAGTCTTTTGTAACCAATAAGCATAGTCGAGCAAAACACACCCGTACATTTGCCGTGCCCAAAATCGTAGGTCTCACTGCGCACCCCCTTAAACCCATCAGCTTTCTGGCAGAAGGCACACGTAGCAGGCTTTCAACATCAGTCCCTGGGAGTTGTGGCTGGCTGCTGCATCAGTCAGAGTTCTTTAGTCTTTCAAAATTGTTTGTCTTTACAATATTTTTGTTATTGTATGAATTGTTCCCCAGGTTCTGCTCTCTTTGCTCTCTATCAGTTTCCCTGCCCCTCTTTTTGTTTCTGAAGCCATCCTTTCCCATCATTCTAACAGTGCAATAACATTCCTTTATACTCTAATTTGTGAAGTCATTCACTTTGTTTCCATCCCTTTCTTACAATAAAGAATTGCTATAAATCCTTTTGTAATATAGGGATCTTTGGGGGCAGCTAGGTGGCATAGTGGATAGAGACTGGCCCTGGAGTCAAGAGTACCTGAGTCCAAATCCGGCCTGAAACATACTACTAGTTGTGTGACCCTGGGCAAGTCACTTAACCCCCTTGCCTAGCCAAAAAACAAGAACAAAAAATGTAGGGATCTTTGGCTTCTTTCTTTGCTCTCTTTGCATTAGGTGTAATAGTGGTGTAATGGATCAAGTTTAATGGTTTTTGGAGGATAGTTTTAATTTGCTTTTCAGAATGCAATTGTGTGCCTGTCTTTCTGCATTCCTTCCAACAACAATTATTTTCCTTTTTTTTTTTTTGGTCACCTTTGGCAATCTCATAGGTGAGGTGGAACTTTAGAATTGATTTAATGTGTATTTCTCTACTTATTCGTGATTTGTAATGGTTTTTCATGTGGCTGTTCAACATCTGTATTTCTACCTTTGAGAATTGCTTTGATCACATCTTTTGACCGTTAACATATTGGAGAATGGCTTTTATCCTTGTATATTTGAAACAAGTCTTCATGTATCTTAGGTGTCACACCCTTATTATAGAAATTTGCTGTAAAGATTTGCCCCAAATAATCACTTCCTTTCTAATTTTATTGTACTGATTTTATTTATGCAAAAATTTTTCAATTTTATGTAACTGATATTGCTAATTTTTCTTTTATGATCTCCTCTATCCCTTGTCTACTCATGCTTCCCCTATCCATAGTTGCAAAAACCACTTTCTTCCTTGTTCCTCTAATTTACATTTATTTATGTTTATAATGTGACTTTTTAAAATCCAAGTTTTAATATTTCTTGTTGTCTCATGGAGTCACTAATTTCTGTATGATCCATTCTAATTTTCTGGGGATCTGTTGCTTAGATAACTTTTCATACCTCTTGTGCCAAGCTGTCAATTCACTTTCCAATTCCTTCTTTCATAGCTCTCATTTCTTTTCTATTTTTTTTTCTTTTAGCACTATCATTTCAATTATGTAATCTTTTTTTTTCTTTTTTGGTGAGGCAATGGGGTTAAGTGACTTGCTCAGGGTCACACAACTAGTAAATGTTATATCTTTGAGGTCGGATTTGAACTCAGGTCCTCCTGACTCCAAGGCTGGAGCTCTGCCCACTGTGCCACGTGGCTGCCCCTATGCAATCATTTTTAACTCTTTTAAAAATACTTGTTTCATCTCTTCCAAGAAATCTAGTTGAGCTTGTGCCTAAGCTGTTTTCCTTTGAGGCTTTGCTTATAGATGTTTTGGAGTCATCATCTTCTAGGTTTGTGCTTTGAGCTTCCCTATCACCATAATAGCTCTTTATGGTGGGCTTTTTTCTTATTTGCTTATTTTTTAACTTTTCTAATTAATTTATTTAAGGTTCATTAAATTTGTAATAATAGTATGAAGTGCAACAGACCACAAATTACCGTGTTACTGACATGCCAAAAGAAAACTCCAAAAAGGTTTCCTTAGCTGAAAGACTATTACTCTTAATACAAACATTATATACTCAAATTGAATTTCTTATACTATACAATGACAACACTTTTCCTACACATTCATCCTTATACTAAGGAAAAACCTCTAGATAAGTTAGCTATTACAGTGAATTAAATGTTAAATTTTTGGACCTTGTAGTAAAAAAAATCAAAGTGCTTTAGAGCCAAGCTAGGTCATAAAATGAACCTCCTTCCTGACTTCAGACTTTATGTTAGGGCTAGGCTCTCCCCACTTCTGGATGAAATTTCTGGGCTGTGCTTATGTCTGCTTGAGACCTACTGCTGCTTTCCCAAGGTATTAAATATTGTGTTATTCCAGGTTTTCAGAGACAGATTAGGTTGGGGATCTGTAAGCTTTCAGTACTCCCCAAATGGTCTGACTCAGGGCAAAGTCTGAATGCTGCTGTCCTGGTAGAAGCTCTGCAAGTTCCTGATGTCGATTAGGGTCTCAACAACAGGCCTGTGGCATAAAGTGTTGCTGGAATCAGCCCCTGTCAGCCAGCTGGGAAGCTCTGCAGGTAGTGCAACAGACAGAACTGCAGGACCCCCTTTGGTCTGGGATTTCTGCCATAGTTATTCCACTGCTGGATTCAGACTGGGCTGTGGGCTGGAATTGATACCCCAGCTCTGCTCTACTCACACAGGAGACTCCTAAATATTTTATACAAAGAATGCTCTACTTAAAGGACATGCAATAGATGAAAATCTCAATTGACAGCAATAATAAGTTAGGGAAATGATTCTCCGAATGATACCAGACACCTCAGTCCTTCTGTTCTAGACCACAAATGAAAGGAGATAAAGATGGGTCAAAGATGACTTTAGGGGACCCTGGTCTCCTCTGCCTCCTGTTTCCCATCCCCCCAGAATCTCTCTCCCGTGATGATCCAGCATTTAAACAATACAATTTCTGCTGTAGCATTTTCAGTTTCCGGCATCATATTTTATTTCATTATTTGTATTGAATGTTATTTGTGTTTTTTACTCAAAGCATGTTTTTTTTTCTATAAATATAGAAAAGTTAACACTTGAAAAAGTTTTGATGCATTCTAAAGTGCTATTTTTTAAAAATAATTTGGTGATTGGGGAAATAAGATGCTTCCCTAGGGAATATGCCCCCAGTTTCATAATCAACTGAGATAATATTTGTAAAGCTCTTAGCACTGTGCCTGGCATATAGTAGGTGGTTAATAAATGCTTTCTCCATCCCACTCCCCTCCAGGTAGGTTAACAGAAAAGTATGATTGAAATTATGGAAACTTATTCTATGGTCATTTTTGGGGGGGAATAGATCTATTTCATAAAGTGAGGTATACCTGTAGCATTGCAGCCCTGTGCCCTGGTACAGGCTTCTCATGCCAGGCAAGTCCATCTGGCAACGTGTGAGTAGCCTTGGCATGTCAATCCCAGCTGATGCCCCCAGTTAGGGTCCCTTTGCTGAAGCCTGACACAGCAGGTAGAAAGCAGTCTGCCAGAGAGGGGGCTTCTGTGAACTCTAGCCTGGGGACTGTATGACAGCAGCCCATATTAAATGAGGCACACAGGAATAATCAAGCAGCCCATTCATACCCAGAGACCAGACTGTACCTCCCAGTCTGAATGCTACTGAGTGATGACCCCTTGTGTGCATGAAGGTTCTCTGTTCCATTGAAAGTCATGCTGACTCAGTGACCCCATTACTACAGGTCCTGCCTGTCAATCAGTGTTGGGGATGGTGTCACCTAATCTGCAGCTTTTATGTGACCGTTCTCTAGCCCACAGTAGGTCATTTCCTACCTGTTAGCCAGTATGGAGAAGCCTATTCCCCTTATCTATAATCTCATCTCCTTGTGACGCTGCATGTGAGGAGGAGCTGAGACAGAACAGCCCGTCCCCTTTTTGCTTATATGGACCTATCTGAATGATCTTTATCTCATTAAGAAAATTAACAATAAAAACTGGCTCCACCTTGAATCCCTTGCTGATCTCTAGTGGTCAGCCTGCCAACACATTGCTACCTTGATATATTTAATAAACTACTTTTAATTATCTTTTTCCTGAGTTTTGCCTCATAGGGCAAAAGTCTGAAAAAAGAATCTCCCTTTGAACACTTCCAAAGACCAGCTTTATAGCAACATTTTCCAGAGGCTTAGCAAGGAGAATAAACTAACCATGTTTGCGTCTGCAAGTGAACTGAGAAGTTCAGCTTGCCATCTGAGAGATGCTACGTAGGCTCAAGAGGAGCTTAGTTACTGTTGGACTGAACTGAATTGGGCCCAGGCCAAACAGTGCTTAGACACTTCTGGGGTAGCTGGAGTTTGCAGTTTGCCTGGACTATGCTTACCTTATATGCAATGACGCTTGTTGTATTTCCATAGGATGGAGCGTGGAAGTCTTTGATAATCATGCCACAAGCCTTCCCTCGTGAGAGGCACAGAGCATTGGGCCTGGCCCACCTGCCTATGGGGAATTAAGGTCTGAGTGCAAGTGGGGCAGATGTCAGAAGGCAGCTAGCAGGCAGGCTGCATGTGCTGACATGGCCGCCATACTGGAACAGGAATAGTTGGCAGGTATTAAACCCCATTGATAGAAAGTTCCAGACTTTCTATAGACTCCGGCTGTTAGGGGTGAGAGAAAGCCAATGACCAGAGCCTCTGGATGGTGCTGGCGCTCTGCGTACCTTTACAGAGAATATCCCCTCCTTGAAGGAAAAAAAGTTCAACTTGTAATCTTTCTTGGATCCTGCCAGGACATCGATGTAGTCGAGGCCTTTTATCGTCACGCTCAGATCCAGTTTCTCTGGCTTCATCATGTCCACCATGACTCGGAATCTAGAAAGTGGTGAAGGAGATGACGGAGAACATGTTGTTGTTAGTTCAAGATTGAGCATTAGGAGGATAGGATTTAGGAAGGGGAAGGACATTGGAAGCCATCTGGTCTTATCTGCCACTTTACATATAAGCAAACTGAGGCCCATAAAAGAGAAGGGATTTGTCCAATGTTGCGTAGGTGGTAGGGAGCAAAGCTGAGATTTAGCTGTAGGCCCTTTTACAGATGAAAAAAACTAAGTCTCGGGGTCACTTCAGCCATAAGAGCAATGCTAAGATTTGAACCCAGTCCTCCTGATCCAAATTCAATGATTTAGTACCACACTACATTCTCTTCCTTCTTTGCTTACAGGCAGCCTGAGAGTAACACAGAAGATGGTTAACCCTCATTAGTTATTGTTCGGTCGTTTTTCAGTCATGTTTGACTCTTCATGACCCCAGTTTGGTTTTTTTTTGGGGCAAATATAGTGGAGTGATTTGCCATTTCCTTCTCTAGCTCATTTTACAGATGAAGAAACTGAGGCGGCCAGGACTAAATGACTTGCTCAAGGTCACACAGATAGGAAGCGTCTGAGGCCACATGCGGACTCGGATCTTCCTGACTCCAGGCCTGGCACTCCAGACACTGCAGCACCACCCAGCTGCCCAATGACCCCCAAATGGCAGTACATAATGTTGGAAGGGCCGCAGAAGGAGTTTGGGAAAGGTCCACTGCTTTCCATCTATGACTGGGTCCAGTACGTATGAGGTTCCCTTATTTGGCTGACCTCACTTGCCATCAGTTCATTTTTTTCCCTTGCTCTCTTCTTCACCACTATTTTTTATAGCACCGTAGTATGCCATTACATTAATTAATATACTGTACTTTATTCAGACACTCCCTGCCTCATATACAAATAAAGCAGCCATTAATATTTTTGTGCTGTTAGGTCTGTTTCTCTTTAATGACATGTTCAAGATAAAGTTCCAGCAGTGGGAATTGTTGGGTCCGAGGGTATATGACTGGCGTTTTGCTTTTTCTGGTATACTGCTAGACCGCTCTCTGAAAAGACTGAGTCCTGCCAGCAGTGTAATAGGGTGCCTATTTCTTTGCAGCCCTGCCAAGACTGAATTTGGGGGCTATTTTCCCCCTCCCCCAATTTCATGGGTATAAGGCTATATTTTAATGTCTTAATGACAATATCTCTGATTACAAGAGAGGGATCTAGGTGGTGTAGTAGATAGCGTGCTGGGTCGGGAGTCAGTGGGACCTGAATTCTAATCCAGCCTCAGAAACTAGCTGTGTGATCACTTACCCACTGTCTGCCTCAGTTTCCTCATCTGTAAAATGGAAATAGTAAAAGTAGCTGTCTCCCAGGATTATTGTGAGGATAAAGTGAGATAATATTTATAAAGCGCTTTGCAAACCTTAAAGTGCCTTATAAATGCCTGTTGTTATTATAATTTGACTGGCTTTTCCTGTGTTTACTAGCAGTTTATATTTCCTCCTTCAAAAACTGGAAATGACAGCCTTTTCAGAGAACTTGACCCATGCATTTTTTTTTTTTTACCCCGTGGCTGTTCCTTATGCTTGCGTGTCCTAACATGCTTACGGGAGGTGGCTCTTTGACCCCTGCCTCTGTTTGCAGGCTTCTGATGGACTGAGCGGCTTGCTGAGCAATCCTAGGACCACAGCCCCGCGGCCTCACCTCTGCATTTTGTTCAGCCAGTTTTCGACGGGCAGTAGCTCAGTGTAGGGTGTTTTGCTTGGCACCTCCCGGTAGATATTGGCTACTGCTTTGGGAGCATCAGCGGTCCCTTGAAGAGCATACAGCCAGCCTGTCCCGTCAGGGAGTGGGAAGAAGAGTGTGCCCTAAGAGGAAGCAGTAGTATTGTCAGGAATATGTTCAGGGCCCTCTATCAGTCAGCAGCATTGAGTTTTTGGGACACCTTAACAGGGCATCGGGGCTTCCCTGAGGCTAAGCAACACTAGAGGACCAAATAATGGACAGCCTACTCACTAGGTACAACATTATGGGGGGGTGGGGGTGGGGAGAAACCAAAGAAAAGGGAACTGAGAATCTAATGGGGGTAGGTAGTAGGATGTAAATGCATAAGACCACATACCATATGTTTCCGCCCGTCAGCATTCATGGTGAGGGGCCTGTAGGTGATCTCATAGGGCCTGTTTTGCTGATGGGCTTCCAGGATGAGAAACTCCGGCCCTTGCCAGTGCTCTCCTTCAAAAATGGGATGCAGGTGCCAGGCGCGGTTGCTGCGGTTAGACAGCATGATGGTCTGGGTCTGTTTGGAGCGCACCTGACAGGTGAAATTCACCGTCTGGAACAAAGAGGTACCAACGTTAGCTTCCACGGGAAGTGTCTTCTGTACTGGGTGTGCTGGGGGGACGTATGGGAGGAAAGCACCCATCTTTGATGGAAAGGGGAGCCGATGGAAAGTGCTAACTAAAATCCATAGCGCGAGTAGCAGGACACTCAGTTACCACAAGTACTGAAAAAAATAAGGCTTGGGCATTGGCTGGCCAGTTGGATGGGCATAAGTCCGTAGGGTCCCATGGAGAAAGTCTCAAGTAATACACTGTGGCATAAATGGGTCCGACAGAACACTGAGAAGGTAGTGGCATGGACTTTCCAGACTCGTTAGCCGCACATATTTCTGCATTGAGTCACAGGAAGAACCCTCATCTCGGAGTTAGAAAACCGGATTCCAGCCTGGCTGACACTTTGTAGCGGAGTGACCCTGGGCACACTCTGTAACTTCTCTGAGCCTGGGTTTCCTAATCTGTAACATGGGGGTAAAAAGGACTCTATTTCAGAATTGTGAGGAAAACGTCATAAACGTAGAGGCCCTAAAGAAAGGAGAATTATTATTCCTTTCTTATGAGAACATTCTGCCAGTTTTCCAGAATGAAAAATGCCCTTCAGATTTTCTGGTCCAGTTTCTGCATGTTCTCCAGGATTTAAGGAAACAAGAGTGTTTTTGATATAGTTTTCTCATTACTGAGAAGGGGAGCAATCAGGGTGCTTGGAAGAGCATTCTGTTCCCTTGGACCGAAAGACGTATAAAGGATGAATTTAGAGACCTTTAATACCATCTTTCAAAAAATTCTTCACATTTTTCCGCTTTGTCTAACCTCTCCCTGCCCTTCTTTAGCTCTCCCCTGATGTCAGAATGTGGGGAAGAATTTCTCCCTGTATTTTTCTTTTAAATCTTGTGAGTTTGCTGAGAAGCCATTGGGCAATGTTGGCAGGAGCACCCTAACCCCGCCTCTACAATGCCTTCCTGGAGCCAGGGTTCGAGCCTCCTGGGTGAGTGAGTCAGAATTCCACCTTTGCTTCTACTGCCATTGGTGCTTTGGAGTGCTCATGAGATGAGATCTTTAGGAAGGGTCCATCACTGATGTGAAATATTTTTATAATCTATACCAACAGATCTCCAAGTGGTGTCTGTGGACCACTGGGAGTCCCCACGATGCTTTAAGGGGATCCATGAGGTCAAAATGATTTTTATAATAATATCATGGAGGTATTTACCTATTAAAATACTCCTCCCTTTTTCCACTACATATCCACATGAGGCTGGATTTTCTTCATACACTTCACCCAAAATAATAAATATCAACAGACTGAATGTGGAAGAAGATATGAGAAGCAAGCTGCCTTCTATTAAGCCAGACGTGAAAGATGTTTGTAAAAAGATATGTAAAATAATGCTACTTTTCTTACCATTTTTTTTTTTTTAAAAAACAGCTATTTTTCAAAAGAACGTGTTATTTATGCTAACATGTAGTGGATTTATTATTGTTATTTTAAATGAATTATACATTGAACTTTATCTGTTTTAATTTCTAATATGCTAAATGTTGATAGATATAACTGAAATAATCGGATTGAGTCGGTGTCTTTTTAAAAATTGATCCTACTTAAAAGTTAACTGATTTTGTCCCATAACTGCCTAAGTCGTGGTTCTTTGTCTCTGAACTTGTTCAGAAATTCAGTTGGCCTGTAATAAGTTAAGTTCAGAAATCCAGTTCTCCTGTTAATCACTGACATATTCTTGTGTCAAGGAAATCTGTTCCCCTTGAAGGAGATTGGTGGACATGAAGGAGTCTGGTCTAGTATCTTTCCCCCCAAGCTATCCTTCAAGGACGTCTGGTTTGTTATCCAAAGGCATCTGGTCCACTATCTTTAACCTTGCAGCTGGACTCAAACAGTGAACGTTTCTTAGTTACAGGAGGGAAGGAGGGGGTTGTTGCTAACCTCTCACTCCCAATTTCCAACCAGTCATGTCATCCTCACCCCCATAATGCTGTCTACCCTGTCACCAATTGTATTGTCTTCCCCACCTATCTGTAACTCTCCAGAATTATATGAAAGCCGGTAAGCCCTACCTCAGGGTCTTTGGTTGCTGAGAGAGACCACTGACCCAATTTATTAGTTACTGCTAGCCTAACTAATAAATTGAGCATGCTCAGACTGTTGTCTCTCAGTTTACCTTAATTTTCAAATGTAACGTGGCCCACATAAACAAAATCTCTTTGGGATCCTCAATAATTTTTATGAGTGTAGAAGGGTCCTGAGACCAAAAAGTTTGAGAACTGATGGTCCACCCATTTTGGTCTTATTAGACTCCAGGTTACTGAATGAGGGCTTTCCTGTCTGTGTTTCTATAGCTATAGCTATTTCTATATCTATATGTCCATGCATACATGCTTCAATATTTCAAGCATCTGATTTGCGTATGGTATGTGCTCTGCTCCACACCCTGATGTAGTTGGCAATCTCTCTATGACTTAGTAGATGGTCATCAGTTACCAGAGCCAAATAATTTATTCTGTCTTCCAACGATGGACTATCCCTGCCTATCCCAGTTTCTTTTGGGGGTACCACCTTCCAATGATGGGTGCTGGAAGGCCCATAGTCAATACTTCTCTTGTATGTATGGTGATACCTGACAGATATGCTCAGCCAGTGTATCTTTGAGCCAAGTGTCACCTGCATGCGACAGTGAAGTGAGAGATCTTTAGAAGAGGACAGGTACACGGTATATTTAATCTGGGTAATTTGTATTATTTGAAATGGGTTTCAAGTTTACGCACCAGTCACAATATTAACAAGTACTTACAATGAGAAAATAAATCATCCTGCTGTATTCTCATGTTGCTTTGTTTTGGCTTTCCTGTTGGTAATTTGGAGAGGCTTACCTCTTTTATTCCAGACACATTCACACAGACTCCAGACAGGGTAAGCAGGAGGGGTTTGCTCCCCTGGATGCTACAGGGCAGGTTTTTATAGCAGCTGTCTTTGCCCAGCTCAGTGGGATGATAGGTCACGTCAAAAGCAACCTCCATTCCGGGGGTGATGTAGCCTTTATCTGGGGTAATTGAGAAATTAGGTGCAAATTTCTTGACATCCCATTCGAATCTTTTCAGAGACAAAGACAAAGAAGAGAATTGTGAAGGCACTCACACTGCCTACCGAAGCCTGTATTCCCACCTCCTACAGGAAGCCTTTCTAGGGTCCTCTTCCATCGTAGTGTCTTCCCTCTGAAATTATGCCCAATTGATTTTGTCCATACCTTGTTTGCATGTATTTGTTTATTTGTTGTCTTGCACATTAGACTGTAATCTTAAGGGCAGGCACTGTCTTTTGCCTCTTTTTGTATCCCTAGAGCTTAGCACAGTGGCTGGCACATAGCAGATACTTAATAAATGTTAGTCAGTCAATATGCATTATTAAGGCACTATTATTTACTGAGGCACTAGTTGGTGATGAGGAGGCAGAGCATTCCAGAGAGGGGGGACAGCCAGAGAAAACGTCAGGAGCTGACAAATGGAGTGTCTTGTTCGTGGGACATCTAGGATGCCAGTGTTACCAGATCAAAGAGTACACGTTGGGGAGTAAGATGCATGAGGACTGAAGGAGAGTGATCAATAGAGTCACAGTCCACTGAAAAGTTGAGGAGCGAGGGGATTGAGAAAAGGCCATTGGATTTGGCAACTGAGAGATCAATGGTCACTCTGGAGAGAGAGTTTTGGTGAGGTTGGAAGCCAGATTGTATGGGGTCGAGAAAAGAGTGAGAGGAGAGAAAATGGAGGCACCTATTGTAGACAACTGTTTCTACGTGTTTAGCAGAAGAGAGGGTGACATGGGCATGTTTGTGGGCAGCCAGTAGACAGACAGAGATGGAGAGATAGTTTGCTGACTGACTTGTACCTGAAGCTGGTGGCCAAGGATTCAAGTCATTATTTTTAAGCCTGCACAGCCTTCCGCTGGAAAGCTTGGACCCTCTTGGGAGGCAGGACAAGCTGACGACATCCCCAGAAAAGATAAGGTAAGAGCTGCTGGTTCCCCGGGACCCCAGGGAAATGCCAAAGGGCATAGAAGCCAAGCCAGATGCTTGTGTTGAGTCAAAAATCTACTTCCATTGCCAGCCTAAAGTCTGTATAAAGTGGGCTCATGCCCCTTTCACAGAACCAAGTCAGGGCTGGGAGGGATCCAGTTTTTCAGGTGATTTAGCACCTAGGAGGATCTCATTCCTCATCCTGGCTTCAGATACTAAACTTGAAGGAGACAGATAAGGACAGTGGAGGGAGTCCTGGATGCTGGTCCTATGAAAATCACACCCCCTCTTGGGGTCTCCATTTCTTCATCTATGCAGTGAAAGGGTTGGGCTAGACATCTCTCAAGGTCCCTTCTAGATCCAACGCTCTACGAGAATTCCAGTAACAGTGTAGAGGGAGTTATTGAGGATTTCTAATATCGCCAGAAATAAGAACATAAAACTTCTGCTAATGGCTTAGATAGATCATCTCCCATACTGCAGCTCATCTCTATGCAGAGCAATCCACCAGCCAGTCAAGTATTTATGAAGAGCCTCTGGCAAACCAAGCATTGTGCTGGGATCTGCAGTTACAAGTATAAGCACGTGTGCATACGTCCATATCCTTGTGGTGTTAGATGTGTGTGTGTGTATGGATATACTCCTATATATACAAACACCAAGCACACTTCTTAGGGAAGCTGGGATGGAACTGAAAAGTAGGGAATGGGAAGGAATGGGAAGGATTAGAGCATGGTACTTGTGGGTCACACTTCCCATTCCAGGAGGTGAGAGTCCCGTCGGACACCCATGGGAACTGATTTAGACTGAGGCAGGCTGGGAGACAGATTGACCTTTTTGATAGCATTAGGCTCTGCCTGTCATCTGTTCCTCTTGAGAATTTGGTGCTCAGCCTAGATAGGACAAGTCCAATGTAGTCCAGTGACTCTGTAGGAGAAGCTATTTCTCTGTATGTCCAAGTGGTTGGATAAAGACTAGGTCAAGTGCTTGACCAATGCTTGTCGACTGACTGACAAAGAGGAGGGACTTGGGATATGAAGGAAGTAGGAGTAACTTATTGGAATTGTTGCTGTCACATCACAATGAGGGGTGGGGGAATGCCCTGGGAAGTTCAGGCCTCTTAATGAGCCTGACGCAGAGATGGGGATGGGCTGGGATGGCTGCTCTTGCAGCAGGGATGTTTCCCAGGCCCGGCCCCGATGCCATGGCCCCCTACCTCGCTCCAATGTCCCCGATGTTCATCATGAGGAGCCGACGTGTCACATGAGCTTGACAGACCACAGCCCCGAAGGGGATGTGCTCCTGGTCCAGGACGATCTCCAGGGCCTGGCAGCAGCCACTGATGAGAAAGAGGGCACGGAGGAGCCCCGAGTACTCCAGGAGTATCTCCTCGCTAAATTGGGGGATACGTTTTTGTGGGTAGAAGACAATCTCCACTTTACAGACTTCTTGGGGCTTCAGGGAGATGTTGGAGCAAGGTGTCAAGGTCACAACCTGAATTGGCAAAAAGGTAGATACTCAAGCAGGCCACTGGCAAGCTCTATGTTAACTAGCTTAGCGGGCTAATGGTCCTGGGTCTCTTGGGGGGCATGATATTTCTTCAGTAAAGCCTAGGTTTATAAAATCATAGGATGCAGAGGTGGAAAGGACCTTAGAAATCCTTTAGTTTGATTTTGAGGAAACTGAGGCATCGAGCTGTTATATGACTTACCCAAAGTCATACAAGATCTGGGATACGTATTTGCCAGAGCCTTGTAGCACAATGCAAAAAGCAGTGGCATAGGAGCCAGTGGGGCTAGGTTCTGGCACTGTCTGCTAGCTACCCAAGGGGTCTCAGTTTCTTTATCTGTAAAACAAAGGGGCATGCTAGGTGATTTCTAGGGTCCCTTTTGGCTTTGACATGATAGGATCCTAAGTCACCAAGCCTATTTTTTTCACCTAAGCCATCTCAGGCAAAGTTTTTTCTAGCCTTAAAATATTTTAGGTGAGAAGATGCTTAATAATTCCTCTTATTTCCCCCTCAGCCTTAAAAAAAAAAGCTTTGAGGACGTGTACTAGTATTGCCTTACTTTGTTACTGTTGATCATTTCTTTCATTTTGGTCTTGGAGTAGCAAGTGGCTGTTATGCCAGAGCAGGGAAAGGACGGGAATAGGCATTTATTAAGTGCCTACTACGTCCTAGACACCATGCTAAGCACTTTACAAATATTATCTCATTTGATCAGCCTAACCCTTTGAGGTAGGCACTATTATTATCCCCATTTTACAGTTGTAAAAACGAGGCAGATGGAAGTCAAGTAATTTGCCCAGAGTCACACAGCTAGTAAATGTCTGAGGCTGGATTTGAATTCAGGTCTTCCTGACTCCAGGTCCAATGCTCTATCTACTGCCCCATCTAACTTCTTTGAGATGCAGCTAGAAGGAGAAAGAGAAGAATGATTTAAGATGTTGAAATGGGAAAACCCTTTCTGAACACTGTTCTGTAAGGTTGGGTGCTTACTATACCTAGTTTTCATGGTGCTTGAGAGTCATGCTGCTGCCCAGAATGAAATTATCCAAAGTAAAAGAACATCTAACCTTGAACCATCCCGATCTATCAGCTCAGAAAGCAGTGTGACTTAGTGGGAATCATGTGGCTTGAAGCTCCAAAGACCTGAGTTTGAATCCTGCCTCTTGGCTAAGTCCCTGAACCTCTCTCAGTCTCAGACTCTTCATCTGTAAAATGGGAATAACACCTGGGGCACCTATCACCCAGATTGGCTGAGAGCGTGAAAAGAGGTCTTTTCAGGGATCTGACCTGGACCTTCTCCTTGGTGATCCATCTCCTTCCATGGTTCAACTTTATACATGCAGACAACTCGGGAATTTCTACATGTTATCTGGTCCCTGTCCTGAACACTAGTCCTGTATCACCAGCTGCCTATGGGGCATCTCCAAATGGATGACCTGGGGTGGGGAACCTATCGACATCTCAAACTCAGTATGCCCAGACAGGGCTTCTTATCTCCCTTCCTTCTTCCTAATCCGCATTTCTTTGGGAGTACCAGCATCCTTCCAGCCAGCCAGGCTGATCTCTGAATCTGTCCTCAAATCTTCATTCTCCCTCAGCCCTTACATCTGATCAGTTGCTGATTCTGCCTCCACCACACATCTCCCAGTTGTTCCCTTTGCTACACTTACCTGGTCAATACCCTAGTTATCATCTCTCGCCTGCACAATAGCCTCCTAGTTTGGTTTCCCTGCATTTCATCTCTTCTTTCTCTGATCCAGCCTCCATGCAGCTATCAAATTGATAACCTTAAGCACAAGTCTGACTGTGTCCCTCCCTAGTTCAAGACGCTCCAGCAGTATCTGCCTCTTGACTCAAGCACCAAATATGAAGCATTGAACTCCTCCAAGAGGTTTTTAAGGCCCCTCCCAGTCTGGCTGTGGCTTACTGCACGTTATTTACTCTCCTTCACACACGCCAATGTACTGGCCAAATTGCCTGCTGGTTGTTTTCCATAAACAACATTCTATCACTCGTCTCTTCCTTTGCACTGGCCATTCCCTGCCTTCCCTGCCTAGAATGCACTCACTCTTCACTCCTACCTCATAGAATCCCTTTCTTCCTTCAGAGCTCAGCTTTGGTGACACCCCCTACAGGATATCCTGCCCCTCTCCTCAATTTCCAGTGTCTCCCTGAGAAAGCCCCTTGTCTATATTTTGTGTTTGCATTTCCCTCCCCCTCAACAGAATGTAACCTCCTTGAGGTCAGACACTTTCATTTTCATTTTTTGCATCCCCGTTACTTAGCCCAGTGCCTGGCACGCTGTATGTTTCTTGAATGAATGACTGAATGAATAATCTTTGAGACTTTCTCCTGGATTGATGAGGAAAGAGAAGTAATACCTTCGTAGCATTATATTACATCAGAAAGGGTTGGAAAAGACAGTGTGACTAGGTGCAGTGGGGCCTGTGGATGCTTCAGGCTAGCTCTGTTCTGGACAGATAAGTAAATAAAAAACAGAGCTCTTTCTTTGGTCACTACATAGTCAATTTGCTTCCAATAATAGATTTGGTCATGCCACTGTCCTGTTCAAAAGTCTTTAGTGGCTCCCTATTGCCTCCTCTGCTAAGTCCAGATTTTTTTTTCCCTGGTATTTACCACTTTCTGCAATCTGGCCCCACCTTCCTTTTGCAATCTTTTCTCACCAGCCTGTTCTCTAGGCACTCTATACTCTTTCTAAGCTGGACTACCCCATCCCATGAATGTTTTTTTTTTTTTAGCACAGTGCCTTGGGTCATTCCTAGAAAGCCCTCCCTCCCTCCCATCCTTCTCTTTGTCTGGTGAATTCCTACACAGCTCAAATGCCATCTCTTCCAGGAATCCTTTCCAGAGCCCCTTGTTTAATCTCAATTTTCTTCCTCAGATCTACCAGGATTGTAGTGATGAGGATTAAATGAGCACTTTATGAATATCAGCGATCCCTAAAACACTTCTTTAGGAAGTGAGAGCATAGGCTTGCGAGTCAGAGGACCCAGGTTCAAATCCTGCCTCGAATCATTATTATCTATGGGACTATGGGCCAGTCACAACCCCTTGGGCCTCAGCTTTCTAGCCTCTGAAATCCTTTCTAGCTTTAGTTCTGTAATCCTAAATACTGCGTTAGAATTCTCTGCGTTGGTGTCTTTCCCCCATTAGACTGTAAGCATAGAGAGAGGATAGGAAGTATGTCCCACAGTATGTACACTGTGCATTTCCCTGAATGCCTAGTTTGATGCTCTTTATATAGTTGGTGCTTAATAAATGTTTGTGGTATTTTTTTCTATACTTAAGAGCAAAGTACATTTGAGACAGTCTTAATGAGACAGTTTCTTCTGATTTCTAGAGATGCAAAGTGCTGCTGTCCAGAAATAAAGGAGAAGGGGCAAGGGTCAGGCGATACTTGAGCTCAATACCTTCACCACGTAGAAGCATCTTGAGAAAGTACATCTCTCTATATACACATCTATATGTACATGTATGTATATATAATGTTATTCCATGATGATCGTTAAGGAGATTCCATTATCTACCTCAATAGCTCATGTGTACACACATGTATATACACACACATGTACACATACACATGCATATGCATAAACACATGCACATCAAATGATTTTTAGTTTTGCTTTATTATATGTTGTGCTAAGCACTTTATGGGCAGCTAGGTGGTGTAGTGGACAGAATGCCATGCCTATAACCATTAAGAATCAAGTTCCTGAGTTCAAATCTGGCCTCAGATTCCTCCAAGCTGTGTGACCCTGGGCAAGTGACTTAACCCTGTTTGCCTCAGTTTCCTCATCTATAAAATGAGCTGGAGGAGGAAATGGCAAACCACTCCAGTATCTTTGTCAAGAAAACCCCAAGTGGAATCATGCAGAGTCGGACAAGACTTTTCAAAATGACTAAACAACAAGAAAAGAAAGCCCTTTACAAAGATTCTCTCATTTGAGAGAATATTTGGTGGCTTCTCTAAGTCAGGCTGCCCTGTAAATGAATGGCATGCAGGGAACAAACAGGCTTTTGCTTACTGGGATCCCACCTGGAGATGGGATTTTCTCACCTGACTATTATGTGATATGACCCAGAGAGTGCCCAAGGACCAAGCCTCTTTGATCAGATCTCATCTTAGACCTGAAGGTATATCTCATTTGAAGAGATGCTTCTGTTATTGAAAGATGAAACGGAGCTGAGTGCTTTGGGACACCTTACCTTGGGGTTGTTGAGTTCTGCAATGCTGAACGTTGATGTCAGGTTAAAGGTCAGTGGGATGAGGCTGCTGTTCACGATCGAGGCGGTTCTTTTGACCGTCTGCCCTGGTAACAGAGCTCCAAACTTCACAATCTTATTTTCAGGATCCAAGACTGAAATCTATGGGAGAGAGAACAAGGAAAAAGGATAATGGGTGGTTGAGAGGAGGAAGGAATTGGAAGGTAAAAGAGAGATGGGTCTGAAAGGAGTCAGGGATCCATGGATGTAGGGAAAGAAGGAAGGGATGAACACAAAGAAAAGAACAATTACTGGGAGTGAGTTAAAAGATGAGAGAAAATGGTAAAATAAATGCAAACAAAGAAGGATTAAAATGGAGGCAGGGGCAGCCAGGTGGCACTGAAGTCAGGAGGACCTGAGTTCAAATCCGGACTCAGACCAAATACTTGACACTTACTAGCTGTGTGACCTTGGGCAGGTCACTTAATCCCAATTGCCTAAAGATTTAAAAAAAATGGAGGCAGGAATGAATAGGATAGGAAAATAGCTTTGAAAACAGAATTAGGGACCAAATAAAAACTTAGGTGATTTGACTCTATAGAGGGGGTCAGACAAATTCCCAAGGTAGGAGGTCTTGTATTCCTTCTCCCTACACCCCTGAAAAGATGGTAGCAGCAACAACACAAATACATGTACAGTTTGTTGCACAGGTCACCCTCCAAAGAATGCCCACTCATGTTTTAAATATAGAAGGAGAATCAAGGGAAAAATGGGGAAAGGGGCCAACTTTATCTTTTCTTTCTCTCTTCTCATCCCTCTGTTCTTCTCTCTTCCACTGTAAAGGAAAATTCCTATTAAAAAGTACGACTTCTGCTCTTATTCCCCTGGATCACAGAAGTATAAATTTCTAGCTGGAAATATCCTTGAAGGTCACTGAATCTGACCCTTTCATTTTACAGAAGATACATGTCTTGTTAAGTCATACAACTATAAAATGTCTGATGCAGGATTTGAACCCCGTCTTCCTGACTTCAGATTGAATACCTGCCCACTGGTCCATTCTTCCATGTCCAATATTTTCATATTCCAGAGGCATAGCTTATAGATGTGCACCCTTAGGCAAGCAAAGAAGTAAATTGCCTGTGGGTTGTACTGTAATCTGAGGAATTCCTGTAAGTCCCCTTTGCCTCAAAAAATCTATCATTACCACCTATCCAGGTGGGCTGAAGTGTCACCATTTGAAATACATTTGGTTCTTAAACCTTATTAATTTTTAAGCATCCTTTATTAAAATACAAATCTTTCCAAGACAGGTAATTCTAGCAGCTGCTGGTGTGGGTTGGGATTAGTTGATGGGGAACAGGAACAAGATAGGAGGGGTTGGAGTTGCAATAAGGGATCGAGGAGGAAGGGACGGTTATAGTGGGAAGGGTGGGGAGAGGGTAACTGGAAGGGAGAGGTGAGAAAGGGTCAAAGGGAAGAGGATCTTACTCTGGAATCAGTGAACTTTAGAAAGTCTTTTTTGATCATTGTATTTCAATATAATTGGTTTCCTTTTTAATCTTATGTATTTTATTTTATGCATTTGAAAATATGATTCTGAGAAGAGGTCCAGAGGCTTCATCAGACAACTCAAGGGTCCTAGGACACATAAATGGGCTAAAAATCCTGTTTCTTACCTTCATCTCAGTGCCTCTCCCTTGGATCTCAACATTTTGCTGTGAGAGTCCATTGATTTCAAAGGGAATGATTTCCTTATAACATATAGCTTCTCGAGGATAGAAGGTGATTGGAATTTCTGTACTCTTTCCAGGCTTTATCACGTCAACTTGCCAACCCACTTCCAGTTGGGCTGTGTTGGTATACAAACATTCCAAGCTAAGAAAAACCAGAAGGAAGAACGGTGAATCTAAAGGGAATTATACTGTATACCAGTATTTCACACTGTATACAGTATAATTCCCTTTAGATTCATTTATCCATTTTGACTTCATCTTGATATACCAGTATCTCACACCATATACCAAGATACGGTCAAAATGGATAAATATTTTAGACATAAAGAAGGATATCATAAGTAACCTAGGGGACCATAGAAAAATGTAACTGTTATATTCGTGGATAAGGGAAGAACTTATAACCAAACAAGAGATAGAGAGGATCATGAGAAGTAAAATAGATAATTTTGATTACATGAAATTAAAAAAATTTGCACAAACAAAACTAATATAGTCCAAATTAGAAGGAAAACAGGAAACTGGGAAAAAATTTTTACAGCCAGTTTCTCTGATAAAGGCTTCATTCCTCAGATACATAAGGAAATGAGCCAAATTTATAAAAATAAGAGCCATTCCCCAATTGATAAGTAGTTAAAGGATATGAATAAAATGCTCTAAATCACTACTGATTAGAGAAATGCAAATTTAAAAAAAACTCTGAGATACCACCTCATATGTATCATATTGGCTAACATGACAGAAAAGGAAAATGATAAATGCTGGAGGGGATATGGGAAAATTGGGACATGTGCATTGTTGGTGGAGTTGTGAACTAGTCCAATTATTCTGGAGAGCAATTTGAAACTACGCCCAAAGGGCTATGAAATATACCCTTTGACCAGCAATACTACTTCTAGATCTGTATCCCAAAGAGATCAAAGATAAAGGAAAAGTATGAACAAAAATATTTATAGCAGCTGTTTTTGTGGTGGCCAAGAATTGGAAATTGAGAGGATGCCTATTAATTGGGGAATGGCTGAATAAGTTACAGTATATGATTATGATGGAATACTGTTGTACTATAAGAAATGACCAGGTTTCAGAAAAAACCTGGGAAGATTTGCATGAACTGATGCAAAATGAGGTGAGCAGAAATAGTAACAGCAATACTATGTTGTGAGGGTGGGTGATCAACTGTGAAAGATTTAGCTACTCTGATGAAGACAGTGATCCAAGACAATTCCAAAGGACCCATGACGAAAAATGTTATCTACATCCAGAGAGAGACCTGATGAACTCTCAATGTAGATTGGAGCATACTTTTTAAACTTTCCTTATTTTTCTTGTTTTACATTTTGTCTGTGTTTTCTTTTGCAACATGACTAATGTGGAAACATGTTTTGCATGACTTCACATGTGAAAAAAGAAGGGCATTAGAATTAGGCTTGGTCTGGCCCCTTAATTCATATTCTTTCTCCTGGCCTGGGTCAAGGAAAGATGAAATTTTTGTTCAGGCTTCCATGCCCCATTCTGCATATTAACTATGGCTAACCCTTCCCAGTGAGGTGGTACGGTGGGTAGAGTGCCAGGCCTGGAGTCAGGAAGACCTGAGTTTAATTCTGGCCTCAGATACTTTTAGCCATGTGACCCAGGGCACGTCACTTAACTTTGTTTGCCTCTGTTTCCTCATCTGTAAAATAAACTGGAGAAGGAAACGGCAAACTACTTTAGTGTCTTTGTCAAGAAAACCCCCCAAAAAGGTCACAAAGAGTTGGACACAACTGAAAGACACAACATCCTTTGTTAAAAAGTTGAAAACAGCTAGAACAGCTGTTCCCAGAGGTCTCCTGCCTTGACCGTGCCTTGGGAGATCTGCTTACATCTTGGAAAAGTAGCGTGGAGCTTGGACAGATGACTGCCGCCAGTTGGCTTAGTTTTACTGGTGACCCAGGTCCTCATCCAGGCCTATCCCTCCATTCTTGAAAACCAATTGATGGTTTTGCTCTCATAGAAGCTATGACTCTACACATCTGACTCTGGTAGCTGTTTATTTTGCATTGATTCTTGACTTCTTTAGAAGGAGAGCTTGGAGGCTACCAAGTTCTGGGCTTCATGATATGCCAAGACAGCTCTATTTGTTTGGATTTTATTATTACTTAAAAAACCCCCCAGCATTGTTCTATTCTGTCTCTTCCTAAGCTTATTCAAATAGGCATCTCTGGGTTCTTTATAGGAATTAGTCTGGCCCTCTTCCAGTAGGGTTGTAATTATGTTATTCCCTCATGATCTTTAAGGAGATTCCATTATCTACCTTGATAGCTCATCTCTGAGCTTTGTAACATTATATTTAGGGAATTATTCTTTATACAAGCATAGCTTTCTATACCTGAAAGGAGATCTTGGAAGGTCATCTTATCCATCCTGCTCTATTTCCAGGCAGTTAAATTTCACCATTAGACTGTGTATTTCTAGATTAGCATTTCTTAACCTATTTTGGTCTCAGGATTTTTACTCTTGTAAGGACCCCAGATAGCTTTTGTTTATGTGGGTTATATTCAATAATATTTGCCATGTTAGAAATCAAAGCCTCTTAGTATTATTATAAAAATAGTTTGACCTTGTAGACTTTTGCAAGGGTCTCAGAGATGATACCTCTTTAAACACTGTGTCTCTAGGTTTAAATTAGTGGGACAGGTCAATAGAAGAGCAAGGTCTGAAAGGACTAAAATAAACCATAAGCAAGTGAGTAATTAGAACTCATTATAATGATTCACTGTTCTCCTATGACACTTCAGGTTTCTGATGAGTGTGGCAATACTACCACTGTGGTCCTAGCAATGACAATAATGATACTATGCTGCATTTTCATAGTTAATGTGAGAAAGGCCTGTTTATTTTATTCTGCCATCTTGGCTCCACACTCTATTTTAGAGAAACATTTTTTCAGGCCCAGAATATTTGGTGAACTTATCAGCAAGGTTGATACAGCACATTTCTGATACTGGTGAGGAAGGATATCCAACTGGAGAAATCATCATCTTTTTTTTTTTTTAAGCATTTTTAAAATTTGGTTAGGCAATGGCATTAAGTGACTTGCCCAGGGTCACACAGCTAGTAAGTGTTATATGTCTAAGGCCGGATTTGAACTCAGGTGCTCCTGAATCCAGGGCCGGTGCTCTATCCACTGCACCACCTAGCTGCCCCAAGAAGTCATCATCTTAAGGGAACTCATTTAGAATCTCTATTATCATCAAAGTCCTTAAATGAGAAGTCTTTAAAGCACTTTTTCAGTCTGTTGGTATAATTATGTCCATTAATTACATGGGTATTCTGAACAAAAGGAGATGAATTCAGTCATGTAGGGAGTAATAGGAAAGACTAAGGCCAGAATCCCTGATACTACTGGGGTTCGATTCCCCCCCCCATCATATTTCCTTTCCATCTAATCATGCTAGATGTTCATCTAAATAGAGTCTATATGGTCAATAAAAAATTAACCCATGCGTGTTCACTCTGGGAAGTGTGGTTACCTAATAGGCTTTTCCTCATTGTTCGTGATGACAAGGATCTGTTTGTACGTGGGCATCCCGGGTAAGTAGATGAAGCAGGTCCCAAAGTTGTAACTGGTAAAAGAGAACTGGATGGCTGGAGTCACTGAGGAGCCCACGAGGATGCAGGTGTATATGGGACCGTAACTGATCTGTGAGAAGGAAGTTGGAAAAGGAAGGGCATCTTAGGTGGGAAACAGAATAAATAGGGATGGACTCACACACACACACACACACACACACACACACACACACACAACACTAGGCAAAATGCTGCTCTGGGCAATGCTCTGTACAGACAAATTTACTGTAGACAAGTATGTTTCACTGTGCGGTGGCCAACCTTCTGGATGAGGCTCTCCAAACATGAGTAGGCTGGCCATCACAAGACAGGCACAAACTCAATCTTTTTAGCTTGGCAGGATCTGCCGAAGTGTGTGCCCCATCAGCATGAATCCTTGGAGAACCCAGGGTTATCTCTATGCCTCGACAAGGCATTGGGGTAGGGCCTTGGCTGGGTGTTGCACATATGGTAGGTGCTTAAAGTTGACTGAACTGAATTTTTAAACCTATTGTTGGTATTTCCATTTGTTAGAATGACTCATGGTTGATCCGAGCTTTTCCTTCGGACCACACATAATGTCTGGTGTTTTGTGCAGTGGCTGACAATGATGTGAATTCACAGGAGTTACCCCTGGATAGCACTCCAGGAGCTCCTGAAACACGATTAGGTATCACCATCCTTACCCTCCACAGACAGGCAGGGAGATCCTCTTACTGGATGGATGCCAAGATCTCCCAATATGGTACCTAATACAACTGAGATCAGTGAAGCCCATTCCTACTTGGTTTGCATGTGGTTCTGGGACAGACTGACACTGCTCCTAGGTTAAGAGGGGCTGATTTTTGCCACTAGTTCAGAGCCCTTATGCTCTTGATATAAAAAGATAACACCTGCAGACTAGGATGCTGGATTGCTTAATCAACTGACCGATCAATGAACATTTCTTGAGTTCTTATTATGGTCAAGGCCTTGGGCAAAGCACTATGAGGGGCTACAAAGAAGTATAAAATATGATCTCTGATTTTAAGCAGCCTTTAGTTCTGTCTGGAGAAAGAAGCCCAGTCCATGCAAAAGATAAACAGCAGTCTATAAGCCAGTATGTTACCGAATCAGAGTGCAACCAGTAGAAAAGAACACTAGAGTCAAAGGATTTGAGTTCCAATCCCACCTCTGTGTGACTTTGGACATCTCTCTCTAGGCCTCGGTCCCCTCATCCTTAAAACTAGGGGCTTGGAGTAGATGGTTTCTGGGGTCTCTTCCAGCTCTGTCTACCATCTAGGATAGGTGCCAGCTGAGTAGGAGATGGAAGGGTTGAATCATCCCAGAGCCTGGAGAGGTCAAAGTCATCTTACCTTGAGTCTGAGTTGCACACCCTTTACAAAACACTTCTTCAGAGGGCAGAAAGCTAAGGAGGCTGGGACGCTCCGCCCGGCCTCAACCACCATCTCCCTGGGTGAGAAAGTAAAATATTGCTGCAGGGCTTTGGGGCCATCAAATTCGGACTGGACGTTGAAGCTGAATTTGCCGAGATTCATCAGGGTGAACTCACACTGCACACTTTCATTTATTTCTACCTAGAACGCAGAAGAGAGGCCCCACTGAGTGAAGAAATACCTAGCTGAGCGCCGTGTCATGCCAAAGAGTCGTGAAATGGCAGCTGGCCAAGAACAGGAGCCTTGTTCAAAGACCTCGGATTGTCCCATCTACTTGGGGCTCTTGGGTCCAGGGAATCTAGGAGGGAGCCCGGCAACACGCTACTGGAAGCTTCTGGTATCTTCCAGGGCACGAGTGGTTAGATACCCCGGACAAGGTGGGAGAAACAGTTGTGCTCATATCCTTCTTTTGGGAATTGAAGCTACATCTTTTAACATGCAAATATGTACCTCCCTAAATGCCTTTCTGTACTAATAGCCCACCTTCTGGTAGCCACGGGTCTCTAGGATGCTGGCCTTATCTAGGCCTTATTTCATTCAGACATTAGAAATAGCAGATTCCAGCTGTTCTGCATTCACGAGGCAGGTGGGGAGAGGGCTGGGCCTGAGTTCAAACTCGTCCTCAGGCATTTATTCGCTAAGACCCTGGGCAAATCACTTAACCACTATGTGCCTCAGTTCACTCATTTGTAAAGTGGGGATAATAATGGCGCCCGCCTCCCAGGGTTATTTGTGAAGATCTCATGAAATGATGTTTGTGAAGCACTGGTGTCGGGGAAGCGCTGAGTGAACGCATCACTGGTACTTAGTTATTTCCAGCCGTGTCCGTGGCCCCTTTTGGGGTATCCTTGGCAAAGTTACTGCAGTGGCTCGCCATGTCCTTCTTTGGCTCATTTCATAGATGAGGAGACTGAGGCAAACAGGGCGAAGTGACTTCTCCAGGGTCATACAGCTAGTAAGTGTCTGAGGTCGGATTTGAACTCAGGTTTTCCTGACCCCAGGTCTAGCGCTCTATCCACAGCTCCACCTAGCTATCAATATATAAATGTAAGCTGCTTATTGTTATTATCATTATTGCCATTATTACAATTGAATCAGCTTGGAAATAAGATTCTCAGCACTCTATCCTTTTCCCAATAACCAGAGTCTTTGGGTAATAAGCCAAGTGCTAAGCCCTGAATGTGTCTTTTCCAGTTCTCTGGATATGAAACAACCACTAATAAGGGAGATATGCATATGGAAAGAGGTGTTTTGCACACTAACATGATGTGAGAATAACTCCAACCAAAAAGGAAAAAAAAAGGCCAGGAAGTTCTGCTCTCCAACCACAGAATGTCAGTGGCAAGTGGAAAAGAAGCCATGCAACCCTGGATTTAGAATTTCTTTTTCTTTTTTTTTCTTTTTCTTTTTTTCTTTTTAGGCAATTGGGGTTAAGTGACTTGCCTAGGGTCACACAGCTAGTAAGTGTCAAGTGTTTGGCCTGAGGCCGGATTTGAACTCAGGAACTCCTGACTTCAGGGCCGGTGCTCTATCCGCTGTGCCACCTAGCTGCCCCTCCTGGATTTAGAATTTCAAAAATGGGTTCACATCCCAGCTCGGGCACTTACAGCAGCCTCTGTGATAGGGTGCATGTTCTTTGGCCTCTCTGCCTCACCTCAGTTTCCTCCTCTGGAAAATGAGGCAGCTTCTAGCTGACCTCTAGGTTTCCTTCCAGTTCTAAATCCTATAGGTATATAGAGTGAAAAACTGGCCTATTACAGATGAGGAAACAAGGCCCAGAGTGGACACTCAACTAAGTCACCCAACTAATTAGGAGTGAAGGTGTAACTAGAACTCAGTTCTCTTGCTTCTCAATTCTTTTCCCTTTTCCTTTCTCTTCCTCTCCCCTCTCCTTCCCTCTCCATCACTCTCCCCTTTCCCTTCCCCTTCTTACTCCCACTCCTCCCCCTCCCCCTTCCTCCCTCCTTCTTTTCCTCCTTCCTTCCTTCCTTCCTTCCTTCCTTCCTTCCTTCCTTCCTTCCTTCCTTCCTTCCATTCTTCCTTTTTTCCATCCTTCCATTCTTCCTTCCTTCCATCCTTCCTCCCTACTTTCCTCCATCCCTTCCTTCTTTCTTCCTTAGCTGGAAGTGCAGGGACTACTCACTGCCCAACCCCATTTTGATTTACTCTAGAACTTTGACCTGCTGTATTTCCAACCTGGACTGGCTCACCCCTCCTTGGGCAACCTGGTGATCCCTTGACTCCCCAACCATCAGCATATTAATGCCCAACTTGGTATGCACACTGGATTGGCTTAGCCCACTGTAGTACAGCAGTCCTGAGCTCGAGAGATCCACCAGCCTGAACCTCTCTTACTGCCATACTTGGCTCAGCACTCTTTTCAGAAGTGAAGATTCTCCCTGGGGTGAGATCCTTGGGGATGATATGGCATATGGACATGCCTGAACAGATGGAGCAGGTCATGTTTAGTGTATTTTACCAGAGACACTGAAGAGTTATGAAAATGGGCATATAAACCTAATCATATGGAGTTAATTAGCTGATAGTCTAGTAGGTCTAATAATCCTTCAGGTTCAGGCACTTGGGCTGAGTGTCTGCCCAAAGGCTTAGTCTTCTGAGAGCACACTGCACTTTGGGCTACCTTTGAGTATTTTAGAGAGCATATCGACTTTATTAATATCCCTGTTCCAGACAAGTACGGGTTTCTGGCAGGTCTCCCATGGGAACGAATGATGGGGATATTCCCGTGTCCTCATCCCCACCTCCTCACCTCATTGAAGCTGATGACATTGGGCTGGAGGGGATTCAGATTGAACACTGAACCATCACTTTCTTTGCACTTGATCTCCACCTTCATACTGTAGCCCTCAGCTTTGACATTTAAGGTCAGAGGCTGGGCTTTCCTTTTCACGTGGCAGATCAGATTAAAGCTCACTTCTCCTTCGCACTTTGGGGTGAAGAAAATATCGATGGGTAGCCTGGTTGGAGAACAAATTTGCAGGTTAATTGACTGTGCCAATAGGGTAGCCACATGTCAGAAGTCCTGAGCAGTGGGGATTGGCAGATACATTGCTGCCTCATCCCAGGTTGGAATCAGGCTGCAAGGCAAATCAGTTATCTCAAGAAAAAGTCCAAGTTGTGATCATTTATCTGGGTTGGGCATTTGGCATCCAAAAAGGCTGAAGAAATCTAAAAAATAATGAAAGTTTATAGGAAAGCTGAGAGAAGATATGTTGAAATGTTTCACCTTTGAAAAGAAGAAAATTGGAGAGATTGGAGAATTCAGTCTGTTGATCTTAGAGGTGGCAGCCTTGGGTCTGAAATGGCTGGGATCTCAGACAAAGGCCTAGTGCCATCTCAACCTGAGCTTCAGACACCGGGCTTGATGCCTGACAGAGCAGAGTCCATATTTCACATGTGGGAAGTCTTCTGCTTCTTCCCTTATCTCCTGCCATCTTGGGATGTAGAGATAGAGCTGGTACCATGTGTAAATCTCATCTAGCTTCTAGGGAACCCAATCTCTGTTCTGAATTCTGCCATCTCCCCTCCCACTCCTTAGCTCTCTTGAATTTGGGTAGTGATCCCCTGTATCAATGTCACACTCTATCATCACAGAACTCTAGGGGATGGAAGTCACATTTAGCCGGTACTTTCCCCAGGCAAATGGAAAACAAATTTGTCCAGCCATTGCTGAATCAATAGGCATCCATTTCATTCTCCACCCCCTCCCCCTCCAGTTCTTTGCTACCACAAAAAATGCTGCTATAAGTATTTTGGTACTTTTGGGAACTTTTACTCTGTTGTTGACCTCCTTGTGGTGTGTTCCAAGGAGCTGTATTTCTGGGTCAAAGGATATGGGTAGTTTAATCACTTTCTGGCATAGTCCTAAATTTCTTGCTTTCTAGAACGTTTGAACCAATTCACAACTCCACCAATAGTGGAGTATAATATTAGTGTGCCTGCCTTCCCAGAGATCCTCTAATATTTATTATTTCAGTCTTTTATTAACTTGGTTCATTTCTCGGGTCTGGGCTAAAATCTCAGAGTTGTTTTAATTTGTATTTCTCTTTTTATTTAGTGATTTGGAGTATTATTTTATAAGGCTGTTGACCATTTGCTTTTCTTCTTTTGGTAAGTCTTTGTTTATATCCCTTGACCAGTAATCTATATTAATTCCCTATTTATTTTGATGTCAGACCTTTATCAGAACTATTAGACCTTTGTCAGAACTATTTGATACAATGATTTCCCATCGCCTCCCTCCCTTTATGGTTTCTTCTTATCTAGTTACATTGTTTGTGTCTTTTACGATCACTTCCATCCCATGTTTGGTTATGAATTTCCCCTTAAATTCTAGATATTAAAGGTATTGCTTACCTTTTCATGATGTAGGCTTTTTTGTTAAGGTAACTTAAGCATTTGGAGTTTATTTTGATATATGGTGCAAAATACCGGTCTAAACCAAATTTCTGCCAAACTGCGTTCCAGTTTTCCTAGCAGTTAATGTTGAACAGGCAGTTTTTCCCTTTGTAGCTTGTGTTCTTAATCAGAAAATTTGTCTGCAATTCTTAATGACACTTCTTGGTCTAGCTTATTTAGTTTGTTCTTTTTCTTTAGTTTTCTAATTTTTAACTAGACTTAAGTAATTTTGATGATTGCTTTATAACATGAAATCTAGTAACGCTGGGCCGCCTTTATTCTCATTCTTTTAAAAAATTATTTCCCTAGAGATTCTTGACCTTTTGTTCCTCCAAATGCATTTTGTTATCATTATGTTTGGTTCCAAAAAGTAGCCCACTGGTATTTTGATTGGTTATAGTAAAAAATATTTGATTTAGGAAGTTTAAAAAATGTTGGCATGGTCCATGAATGATAAATAGCTAGTTCTACAATAAGTATTCTTTCATTTTGGTAAATAGGTTTTTTTTTTGGTAATTGTATTTATATGTCTTGCATATGTTAGAAGATTAACTACCAGATATTTTTAAAAAATGGATCTCATAGTTATTTGAAATAGATTTCTTTCTTCCTATTTCCTTCTACTGGCTTTAATTTTCTATTGTTACATAGGAAAGCTAATGATTTTGTGCATTTATTTTGCATCTAATTTTACTGAAGTTATTGCTTCAATTAATTTTTTTGTTAGCTGTCAGGAATTATCTAAGTAATTCTTTCAAATCAAAACAATAATTTTGTTTCCTCTTTGCCTCTGCTTACTCATTCAAATACTCACTACCATTCCTTCAGCCTATAATTCTCTTCTTTTTATGGCCAAAGCTCTAGAAAAAACTATCTACATGTAAATATTCCATTTAGATCCTTCACTGATTTACTATTCATTTTTTTTTTTTTAGATTTCTCTAAGCCTGAAAAAAGCATGTTGATATTTTCATCAGGTATTGCTTTACCATGTTGATCTTTTGGTAATTCAATTAGCTTTTCCTTTAAGTGCATAGATTAAGCATAATGTAGTTTTCCTGCTGATTTATTACCCATATTTATTTTTTTCGTTGAGTTCCCTGAAATCATAATCACCACCACTGCTTTTTTGGATCCAGCTGAGGCATAATACATTCTGCTCCAAATACTCATTTTAGCTCTTTATGTTTTAAGTGTTCTTCCTGTAAACAACAAACCTTTGGGTTTTTGCTTTTTGATCTATTCTTCCACTTTCTTTCCTTTTGTAGGCAAGTTCTTTCCATTCTCCTTCACAGTTGCATTTGTTTTTTTCTTCCAGTAAATCTCAAAATCATATTCTTCTCTTTCCCCCACTATTCCTCTCTTTAGAAGAAAAAATTGAAGGAAAAAAGGGAGCTAAATGTGGCAGTCATGTGCAGGTATACAGACCCCAGGCTGTGCTGATGACCCATGGCCCACCTGGGCATCTGCACACTCAGGTCATTACCTAGCTTATGGAAAGATGGAGATACCAGATGGTTATGACCTTAGCTGGTGACTTGAGCTTTGAACTGGAAGCCAGGTTTCCAGACTCCAAGTTCATTGTCATGCCACTTTCCAATACATTCTACTGTCTTCTCTTAGTACCCTAAGCACTCCTTCATAGATATCTTTGGCTTATATTGTTTAGAACGATCTAATTATATTTCTCTCTTCTCTTATATTTCTTCTGCTTGCCCAGACCCATTTTTTGCTGGATATTTCCATGTTTCTCTGTCTCTTTTTCTTTTGCCTTTAATCAGGCCTTCATACTTGCAGTGCATTTTTCCTGTCTATATCACCTCCTCAACTCTAGCCTCTTTTTCAAATTTTCTTCATCCCTCTCCCTGACCAAAGCCATTTCTATATTTATTTTACCATATTATCTTCCCTTGCCTGGCTCAAATGAGTAAGATTCCCACCTTCAGATTTGAGCAATCTTCTCCTGTAGTGCTCACAAACAAGAAACAGTAAGTTCTCACCTTGCTTCCTCCCTTCCTCATTCCCTTTCTCCTTCCCTTCATCCCTCCCTTCATTGCTCCCTCTCTTCCTTCCATCCAAGCTTTGAGCTTGTTTCTTTTGGTTCAATAAATATTTGTTAAACACCTTCTATGTGCTAGACACTGTACTAAGCACTGGAGATACAAAAAAAGGGTAAAAGAGGCAAAAAGATACAAAAAGAAGGCTCTCTACCATCAAGGGGCTTACAATCTAATGGAGGAGAAAACATACAAACAAAAATACACAAAGCAAGTAAATATAGGACAAACAGGAAGTAATTAACAGAATTAAGAAGGTTGGGAAAGGCTTCCAGTAAAAACAAAAAAGAGGTTTTAGTTGGGACTGAGAGGAAGCGAGGGAGATCAGTAGGCAGAGTGGAGGAGGGAGAGTGTTCCAGGCTTGGGAGACAATTGTGCCCTCATTGGTCTGGGATTTCAAAGGAACAATACTTTCTTTTCTCCCTTTCAGGATATAAACATGATCAACACTTAGTCCTTTCAAATTGTTCAAACTTGTTTTATCTGTCTAGGATTCTTTCATCTTTCAACAGGAATGCTTTGAAGGCACTGATTCTATTAGAAATCTTTTTTCCCTGTTGGATTATGCTCAGTTTTTTTTTTTAAATAAGCTTATTCTTGGCTGCAGATTTATTTCTTTTTGGTATACCATATTCTAATCATGTCCTTTTTTTGTGTATGTCAGCCGCAGAGAACCTTGTGATTCTGACTGGGTTTATTATTATGTGGCCTGTCTTTTTCTGGCCACTTTCAGTATTTTTTCTTTGACCTGGGAGACCTGGAGTTTGACATTCACATTTTTAGTGTATTAAATTTGGGATTTCCTTCTGGTAGTCACCTGTGGATTCTATTTTTATTTTGTCCTCTAGCTCCAATACTCATGAGAAATTTTCTTTGGGAGTCCAATGATTCTTTTTCCTTTTTCTTCGAGGCAATGGGGTTAAATGACTTGCCCAGGGTCACACAGCTAGTGTCAAGTATCTGAGGCCAGATCTGAACTCAGGTCTTCCTGAATCCAGGGCCGGTGCATTATCCACTGCGCCACCTAGCTGTTCCTGAGTCCAGTGATTCTTTTCCATGTCCTATTTTCCTGGTCATCACCTTTTGATAGTATAGTTCCAATTTTGCTGTCTTTTGACTGTGCTCTAATATTTCTTGTTGTATGTACCACTGATTTTTTTGAGTTTTTTTTCTTTTATTACTTTTCCCTAAGATGTCCACTATTTTGCTAAGGTCCTCCAGATTCTGTTCTATGCTATTCACTGTCCTTTCAAGTTTTACATCATCAGTTCTAATTTTACTTCTCTTTTCTTCCTTCATTTCTCTAATTAAACCTTCCAGACACTCTTGGCGTCTTTGTGACCAATCCATTCTCTTTTCTGGGGTTCTATTTACAAGTACTTGTAAGTTCTACTTACAAGCTGATTTTTAAGGGGATGAATGTTCACTCTGATAATTTATCAGCAGACTTTCATAAGCCAGTTGAACTGGTTCCAGCTCTTCCTGCAGTGGCATCTGCTTCCCATGCTGTGTTCTCTTAGTTCTCCTCCTACCTATTTGACTGCTCCTCAGTCTCTTTTGTTGGATCTTCATTCATCTTCTGTCCCCCTGGCATTAGTCCTTCTCAAGGACCCTCCCTTCCTCCCTCCCTCTGTCCCTCCCTCCCTCCCTTCCTTCCTTCCTTCCTTCCTTCCTTCCTTCCTTCCTTCCTTCCTTCCTTCCTTCCTTCCTTCCTTCCTTCCTCCCTTCCTTCCTTCCTTCCCTCCTTCCTTCCCTCCTCCCTTCCCTCCTTCCTTCCTTCCTTCCTTCCTTCCTTCCTTCCTTCCTTCCTTCCTTCCTTCCTTCCTTCCTTCCTTCCTTCCTTCCTTCCTTCCTTCCTTCCTTCCTTCCTTCCTTCCCTTCCTCCTCCTCTTCCTCTCCTCCCTCCCTCTCCTCCTCCTTCCTTCCTTCCCTCCTCCCTTCCTCCCTTCCCTCCTCTTCCTTCCCTCCTCCCTTCCCCTTCCCTCCCTCCCTTCCTTCCTCCTCCCTTCCTTCCTTCCCCTCCCTTCCTTCCTCCCTCCTCCCTCTTCCTCCTTCCTTCCTTCCTTCCCTCCTTCCTTCTTCCCTCCCTCCTTCCCTCCCTCCTTTCCTCCTTCCTTCCTTCCTTCCTTCCCTCCCTCCCTCCCTCCTCTTCTCCCTTCCTCCCTCCCTCCTTCCCTCCCTCCCTCCCTTCCCTCCTTCCCTCCTCCCCTCCCTCCCTCCCTTCCTTCCTTCCCTCCTCCCTTCCTTCCTTCCTCCTCCCTTCCTTCCTTCCTCCTCCCTTCCTTCCTTCCCTCCTTCCTCCTTCCTTCCTTCCTTCCTTCCTTCCTCCCCTCCTTCCTTCCTTCCTTCCTTCCTTCCTTCCTTCCTTCCTTCCTTCCTTCCTTCCTTCCTTCCTTCCTTCCTTCCTTCCCTCCTCCCTTCCTCCTTCCCTCCTTCCCTCCTCCCTTCCTTCCTTCCTTCCTTCCCTCCTTCCTTCCTTCCTTCCTTCCTTCCTTCCTTCCTTCCTTCCTTCCTTCCTTCCTTCCTTCTTCCTTCTTCCTTCCCTCCCTCCCTCTCTCTCTCTCCCTTCCTTCCTTCTCTTTTCCTTCCCTTCCCTCCTTCTCTTTTCCTTCCCTTCCTCCCTCTCTCCTTCCCTTCTTTTCTTCCTTCTCTTTTCCCTCCCTCCCTTCTTCCCCCTTCCCTCTCTCCCTTCCTTTCTTCATTCCTCCTTCCCTTCCCTTTTTCTTCCTTCTTTTCTCCTTTCTTCATTCCCTCCCTTTCTCATTCCTTTCTTCCCTCCATTAAACCTGTAGGAGATGAGATTATCAAGGGAAAGTGTACATGTACAAGGTGTCTTTAAAAAGTATCAGTTCAGTTTTAAGGTTGGCTTTTGGAACCTTGTACATGCATACACTTTCCCTTGGTGATCTCATCTACTCCTAAGTATTTGAGTTCCATATTTATACCATCTCCATTTGGGAGATGCTAATGTCTCTCAAATCTCTGCAAAATCATCTCTCCAAGGCACAAGTCTGACCATGTCATTGTTTAATTAAAAAATCCTTGGCTTGCTCTGTATAGGATCTAGAATAAAGTCTAAACTCCTCAGCTTGACTTAGTTTGAAGTCCTCGATAACCTGTGTCCTATTTTTTCTGCCATGTTTCATGTTGCAGATTTGACACTCCACTCAACCTGGACTAATGTCTATTTCCTGAACTCAATGCTGCAATTTAGCTTTCTTGCCTCTGCTGACTGGTACAAGCTGCCCCTCATACCTGGAATTCCCTCTCTCCTCATCTCTACCAATCAGAATGGTTCAGCTCCCTCATGATGGTTAGTGTCCTTTTCCTTGAATTATATTTATTTGTCTACATATCGTATCCCCTCTCCTCCCCTCATCCACCCTCACAGGCTTGGTGGTGTAGTGGATAGCATACTTAGGAGACCTGAGTTCAAATTCTTCCTCACAAATTACTAGCTGTGTAACTCTGGGCAAGTAAGCCTAATCTGTAAAATGAGAATGATAATAGCACCTACCTCAAAGAGTTATTATTGGGGTCAAATGAGATAATATATTTAAAGTGCTTTTGCAAACTTTCAAATGCTACATAAATATTAGTTATTATTAGTATTATTTTTTGGTGGGGACTGCTTTGCTTTTATCTTTGTTTCTTCAGCATTTAGCCCTGTAAATTGCACATAATGGGTGTTAATAAATAGTTGTTGAATTACTAAATAAAGAAGCTAAGGGCAAAAGGGGAGGACAAAGGAAGCTATCCAAGGTCACAGAGAGAGCAACAAAGTTGGGATTAGAATCTAGGACTTCTGACTCCCAAACCAGAAAACTCTACACTGACTCTTTTGTTAAAATAATAGGAGTTATCAGCATTTGTAGCCATCATTCCTCCTCCCACCCCAACAGACACAGACACAGACAGACAGACAGACACACACACACACACACACACGCACACACACACACACAAACACTTTGACTTCTCTCTGAACTAAACAAGATCATGGCCAGTGGGAATTTGTACCAATGTAAGGAGTATAATGACTGATCAGCTGGTAGGGTTTAATCTGTAACTATCCCAGCAGGGTTTAACATGGTCATCTGACCATTTCAGAGGTGAGCAATAATAACTAGCTAGAGGCCTCCCCTCTTCCCTTGCTCACCTGGACATTGCTGGGATCATGCCTTCCATAGGTTTCAAAGTGAGGTTATTGATGTAGCCTTCAGAATAGCAGGAACTGTCTTCAAATGCAAAATTGAAGCCTTGCTCCTCATTGTTAATCATGTGTACTGTCTCTCGGGCTTCATGTCCTGAGAAGAAACGACCCAGACAAGTTGGAGGTCATATTTCAGTTCCCTGGTCAATTAGTCTCTATTCGATCAGTGCTGACTCTGTGAGTGGTGGCACTCAGGGATGGAGATTACTGGGGTCCCTTTTCTGGCATTAGGTACCGGACTCTATTGCATTTTCTTATGCCGGTCTGAGTCATAATCCTGGGTCTCAGTCCCAGGGCTAAGAGGAAGACTAGCACATAAGAGCTTGTGGCCGCAGGGGAGCAGGAACCCTCTTTTCAATTCCAGGGTAGAAAAGAGTGCTTGTGGTTGCTCATAGACCAGAGCACAGACCAGGAGAGTAGTAAACACACCTTTCCCTATATCCTACCACCTTGGAAGAACTGAAAACTTACAGACCCCAGAACTAGGTCTGAAAACAAGTACACAAAAAAAACCTTGAAGCTTGAGACAGGGCCCCCTCCATTCTGGGAAATGAGTCTAATTTTAACATAAAGTTAAAAGAAAAGAAATGGGCTGGAAAATGAGCAAAGAACAAAAAGGAACCTGATCGTAGAAACTTAATGTGGTGGCAGAGAAGATCAAAATACAAACTCAGAAGAAGACAACAAAGTCAAAACTGCTACATCCAATGCCTCAAAAGAAAAATGCGAATTGGTCTCAGGTCCAAAAAGAATTCCTGGAAGTGCTCAAAAAGAATTTGTAAAATTAAGTAAGAGAGGTAGAAGAAAAATTGGGAAAAGAAATGAGTTACGCAGGAAAATCATGAAAAAAAATCAGCAGCTTCTTAAAGGAAGCACAAAAAGTACTAAAGAAAATAACAACTTAAAAAATAGACTAGGCCAAATGTTAAAAGAGGTACAAAAATCTGCCAAAGAGAAGAACTCCTTAAAAAGCAGAATTGGCCACATGGAAAAAGATGTACAAAAAGTCGCTACAGAAAAGAACTTTTTAAAAAGCAGAATTGGCCAAATGGAAAAGGAGATACAAAAGCTCACTGAAGAAAACAATTCCTTAACAATTAGAATTTGGCAATTAAAAGCTAATGACTCCACGAGACATCAAGAAACAATAAAATAAAACCAAAAAGAATGAAAAAATAGAAGAAAATATGAAATATCTCATTGGAAAAACAACTGACTTGGAAAATAGATCCATGAGAGACAATTTAAGAATTATTAGACTAGCTGAAACCATGATCAAAAAAAGAGCCTAGACATCATCTTTTAAGAAATTATCAAGGAAAACTGTCCTGATATTATAGAACCAGAGGGTAAAATAGGATTTGAAAGAATCTACCAATCACTTCCTGAAAGAGATCTCAAAATGAAAACTTCCAGGAATATTATAGCCAAATTCCAGAGCCCCCAGGTTAAGGAGAAAATATTGCAAGCAGCCAGAATATAATGGAGTTTCAGTCAGGATCACACATGATTTAGCAACTTCCACATTGAAGAAGCAGAGGCTCAGAATATTATATTCCAGAGGGCAAAGGAGCTAAGATTACAACCAAGAATCACCTACCCAGAAAAACTGAGCATAATCCTTCAGTGGAAAAAATGGATGTTCAATGAAATAGAGGATTTTCAAGCCTTCCTGATAAAAAGACCAGAGCTTAATAGAAAATTTGACTTTCAAATACAAGACTCAAGAAAAACATAAAAAAGGTTAACAAGAAAGGGAAATCACAAGGGACTCAATAAGGTTAAGCTGTTTCATATTCCTACATGGGAAGATGATGCTTGTAACTCCTAAGAACTTTCTCATTCTTAGGGCAGGAGAAGGAGTAAACATAGAAAGAGGGTATGGGTGGGAGTTGAATATGATGGGACAATATATAAAAAAGTAAAATTAAGAGGTGAAAAAGAGGAATGTATTGGGAGAAGGGGTAAGGGAGAGGTAGAATGGGGTAAACAATTTCACATATAAGAGGTGTGAAAGAGCTCTTATGGTGGAGGAGAAGATGAGGGAGGTAGGGGGATTGCTTGAACTTTACTCTCATTAGAATTAGCTCAAAGTAGGAATAACATACAGATTCAGTTGGGTATAGAAATCTATCTTACCCTAAAGGAAAGCAGGAGAGGAAGGGAATAAAAGAAGGTGAGGGGAGATTGAGGGAGGCAGTACTCAAAAGCAAAACACAAAATTTTTTAAGAGTTTTTTAAAAATTAATTTTGAACTTACATACAAAAAGAAAAAAGAAAACATTTCCATGTACACAGCACAACATAAAATTTATGAACAGGCAGTTTTCAGATGAAGAAGTTAAAGCTATCTAAAGCCATATGAAAAAATGTTCTAAATCACAATTGATTAGAGAAATGAAAATTTGAAAAACTCTGAGATACTACCCCACATGTATCAGACTAATAGGACAGAAAAGGAAAATGACAAATGTTGGAGGAGATATGGGGAAATTGAGACCCTATAATGTACTGCTGGTGGAGTTGTGACTGATCCAACCATTCTGGAGAACAATTTGGAACTATGCCCAAAGGGCTACAAAATCATGCATACCATTTAACTCAGCAATATCACTAGTAGTCTGTGTCCCAAAGACGTAAAAACAAAAACCAAAAAGGAAAAGGACCTATATGTACAAAAATATTTATAGCAGCTCTTTTTGTGGTGGCAAAGAATTGGATATTGAGGGGATGCCCATCAATTGGTGGGTGGCTGAACTAATTGTGGTATATAATTGTGACAGAATACTATTATGCTCTAAGAAATGATGAGTAAAATGCTCTCAGAAAAACTTGGAAGGACTTACATGAACTGATATAAAGTGAAATTAGCTGAACCAAGAGAACATTGTATACAGTAACAGCAATATTGTACTATGATCATCTGTGAATGACTTAGCTATTCTCAGGAATACAATGATCCAAGATAATTCTGAAGGGCTTATGATGAAAAATGTTATCTACTTCCAGAGAAAGAATTGATGGAGTCTGAATGCAGATTGAAGCATACTATTTTTCATTTTTTTCATGGGGCTTTTTCTTTTGGTCTGTGTTTTCTTTCACAATGTGACTAATGTGGAAATATGTTTTGCATGACTACACATTTGTATCAAGTTTCTTTACTTCTCAATGAAAGGTAGGGGAGGAAGGGAAGGAGAGAATTTGGAACTTAAAATTTTAATAAATGAATGTTAAAAATTGGTTTTATACATAATTGGGGAAAAAAAGAAAATGTTCAATTAAAAAAAAACTGTCCTGCTTGTCTGTGCTTCCCTCTGAATTCCCTTCTGTTCTCTTTGGCATTTTCAAAAGTATAACAATGACCTTACTTAAATATTAATTTTTAGATTAACTAAATAACATGCAAATTATAAGTGAGTTATCATAGAAATAAAGACATTATATGGAACTTTTGGTAAATAATGAAATACTGAAAGAGGAAAGTATTTGCCTCAGCATGTGAAAATCGGAGCCAATAATTGAAGTCGCTGTGTAAGATTGTGGTATACAGAATGGTCCATTGGGCTTATCAGGTCAGGGTCCTGACTTGCCGGGGTTTTTCCAAGTTTTGATTTGGTCCCATGGCAAGCTTTAGAGCAGAACTATACGTAGCAGGTCCAGAAGCACGGGAAAGAAGAATGACCTCATAGCTATGACATGGATTAGATGAACTAAATATAGAATTCTGACAGCAATCGTATGGCTCGGCCAACATGTGGTAGGAAGGAAACGAGCATTTATTAAGCACCTACTGTGTACCAGGCACTGTGCTAAGTGCTTTACAAATGTCACCTCATTTGATCCCCACAACAACTCAAGTAGTTAGGTGCTATTATTACCCCCATTTTACAGTAGAGGAAACTGAGACAGGAAGAGATTAAGTGAGTTGCCCAGGGTCAAACAGATAGTGTCTGAGATGGGATTTGAATTCAGGATTTCCTGACTCTAGGTCCTGGGCTCTATCTGCCCTGCCATCTAGCTGCCTCTGACATAAGATCAAGTGTTGTTTATAGACACCTTGGGGAAGACTCTATGTCACCTTTTGATTAATAAAGAAAGGCAGGGGGCAGCTAGGTGGCGCAGCGGATAGAGCAACAGCCCTGAAATCAGGAGGACCTGAGTTCAAGTCTGGCCTCAGACCAAACACTTGACACTTACTAGCTGTGTGACCCTGGGCAAGTCACTTAACCCCAGTTGCCTAAAAATTAAAAAAAAAAAGAGAGGCAGTCAGTCATGTGTGTTGCATACAATAAGCTTCTTTTTTTGGGATGGGGTGAAACCTTGATCCCAGAAGACCGATGATTTTAGTCAACAAGCATCCATTAAGCACTTAATTATTATGGGCCAAGCACTGTCCTGGGCCTTGGGGGAGAAATGGTTTTGTGAAAGGTGGATTGTTTGATTTCATTGACAGCCTGTGTAGGCAACACATAGCCCATCCCATCCTGGGGTTCCATAACCAAAACTGAACCAACTTCTAAAAAAGCGGTGGGGTCCAGGGCGGATGGTGGTAGTTACTGCTATTTCCAGATTCAGTGTGTCCTTACCCATCAGGATAGAGCTGAAAGCGAGGTGAGGCACATCCAGAGATATTAAAGGGTCTACGGCCTTGCCCACCAGAAGGAAAGGCACCGAGATGTTGTGCTCAGGGATTAGGAAAGTCCAGAATGATTCCACGACATCCAAATGGTGAGGAGTGAACTGGAATGAGATCTAGAAAGAGGATTGAGAAGGCCAGTAAGAGATCCTGTCATTTCACAGCCTGCTTGTGCCCTGAAGGATTTCAGTGCATTTTAAATGACCTCGTTTGCTTGTTGCTGAGGAAATATCACCACTACTAAAATGCTGTGTATAAAGCAGCATCGCGTTGGACATTTCACAAGACTGACTGAAATACATAAGCTCTGGCAGTTCCTCGTGACCTGTTGAAGGAGAGAGGTGCTGGAGGGCGGCCTGTGTTCTCTCAAAGACTCTGCTGGTGGTGATTGAATGTGACCCTGGGATTGGGGAGTGGAGTTTTTCTCCAACATCTCTGTCAGGGTGCCAGCATGGTAGAAGAAGGAAACAAATATTTTTCATTGTTGTTGAGTCATGTCCAGCTCTCCATGACCCCATTTGAGGTTTTCTTGGCAAAGATACTGAAGCCGTTTGTCATTTCCTTCTCTAGCTCATTTTACAGATGAGGAAACTAAGGCAAACAGAGTTAAATGACTTGCCCAGGGTCACACAGCTCCTAAGTGTCTGATGCCACCACATTTGAATTGTCTTTTTAACTCCAAGCCCAGTGCTTTAACCACTATGACACCTAGCTGTCTCTAAGAAGATGCCGCTTCCTAGTAAAACTGAAATGGCACCATACTCATCATCTGTATCCTTTGGCAAATACCCTGTAAGTATTGACTACATAACAGATTTGGAAGCTAAAAAACCCAAACAACTCCCCTCCCAACACCCCCAAAACCTCACTCTTGGATTTTTCACTTGAAAAATAGACCCAAACATTTAGGGATGCCTTGGATTTGACTCTAGATGACTTTGGTGGGAACTCGCTCTATACCTCTTCTGACTTTCACTCATTCATTTATCTATCAGTCTATCCCAGGCATTGTGAACTTAGGATCCATAGATGCCCAAGAACTCGCAGATTGAGTCAGGGGGTTTTCCGTTAATTTGGATGGGAAAAAATGACATCTTTATTTTAATATAATTGGTTACCTTTGTGATGTGATGTGTTTTATTTATGCATTTAAAAATACTATTCTGAGCAGGATTCTGTGGGCTTCACCAGATTGAACCAGGTCATAAAAGAAGGTTTAGAATTCCTGGTCTATCCATTTAAACAACATTTACTAAGCACATGAGATCCTGGTGTTGTGCCAGTATGAGAGTCATTCGGTTTCCAGAGAGATTTCTTTAGTTTCACGGTTTCTTTTCTTAGGTCACTATTTGTAGTTATAGCCACACTAACCCAAAGAATAGCTTTAATGTTTTGACAGAAAACTCCTTAAGATATTAGATGGAAAGGTCTGTGAGGGTGGAGTGTATCCAATTTGTATGCTCCTTAGTACCTGGTAGAGCTTTGAAAGGGGACACGGAATACTTACTGGTGTGTATGTTCCACAAATGTCCATTGGATGAAGGAAGGAAGGAAGGAAGGAAGGAAGCAAGGAAAGAAGGAATCTCAGGACTTCTCCCTGGAATCCCTTTTACTCCAAGGAGGACTTTAGAGATGAGATGTACTGGGAAATCTGGCTTGATTTGAGCCCTCAGCATAGCGCCTCCATCCCCACTCACCTCAGCTCTTTTCTCTGGCTGGATTAAGCCTTCCTTGGTCAGGCATAGAAAGGGTGAAGGGTTCTGGAGAGTCTCAGTTTCTTCTGAGACCCACTGGTAGGAATAAGGACTGTTGGTAGGGTTCATAATGGTGAAGGTCCTGTCCAGGAGTTTACAAAAGAAAAGGAGAATTTAACTTTCAAAACCGACAGGTCATCATAATAGCAAGTCTCTGTTCCAGTGAACCAGAGTCAGACCAGAAATAAATGGTGAGTTTATGTGGAAAGGCATGTTCTGTCCATTTAAGAGCCTTAAGTGGCTTGATGCCTTCTGGCCTTTGGACAAACACTGAGGCCAGAGCTGCATTCTGGGCTCAATATGACTTGCACGTGGTTACACATCCAATTTGTCCTGCATATCACTTGTTTTAGACATATTTATTTGTGTGCTTCCTCCCCCTATTAGATTGTGAGCTTCTCAAGGGCAGGGATAGTCTTTGACCTTTCTTCGTCCCATCAGTTCCTGGCAGACAGTCGGCACTTAATAAATGTTTGTTGACTGACTGTCAGAGGCTTGGCATTCTAATACTTAGCTCTCACAAGGGTGCTGTATAGCCAAACAAGGAAGTCTTTGGCTTCTACCCAACCTCATCTACTGAGGTACTACCTGCCTTGAAGAGGAGGCCTTCTGCTGAGCCCTTTGGAAGAAATGCCTTATACAGACACAATCAATGAATAAATACATCAACTCACTGGGTGTTCTTTGCTCCCACACCCATGGAGGCAAACTCAATCACTCTTGTGTTGGGATCCAGAGGTGCGCCACTTGGACCGGGTAAGTCTGGATCGCGCCTATGGTTGCTGATGTAGTCAGATTCGTTCAGATCAAAATGGCAATATGGTAAGAGGCTTCTCCCTTTCACGTTCACCATTAGGCCTTGAGCTTCAGGAGCCAGATTAGGGATTCTGTGGAGAAGGAAAGTCGTCACATCTAGGACCAGAGAGTGTTGCTTCCAGTTGGAGAAAGCCCAGGGGGAAGAGCTGGGACATGGCTTTGGAGACCTCCCTGACTTTCTGAAGCTAAGATACTGGTCCACTCTTTCCAACATGCCTATGCACATTCATCTCCTAAAAGGCCTCTCTCTGCCTCAAACTAGCAGTGCCTGTCGAGTTCTGGGTTGGACTGTTTCCAGAACCCCCTAATGCTTTGTCTTTGTATCTTTTGGTACTTTATTGATCCCATTTGAAAATCAAATCTTCCTTTATAGTGTTTATTTATGGCTTGGGGCTCTAGTTGATACAGAAATACTTGTGATGTCACTGGCCTATTATTTGCAAAGGAAAAAGAAATGTCATTTGGATAAATGGTTCCGGAGAAAGGGGTTAGAAAATAGCTCTAGTTTTACACGAGAAAATTAAAACCAATCAAAATAGAAAATGATCTGAGAAACAAAGTGAGAAACAAAATTTAAAAAAAATACTTCAGAGTAAGTGAACCAGTTGAAGTTTGAGAAGTAATATGGTTGGAAAAAGAAACAACGTAGGATAAAACCATGAAAGATGTCCTCAAGTAGATAAGCGACACAGTAAAGGAATTAAACAAGAATTTATAGTGTAAGAAAAGCATTGGCCAAATAAAAGAAGGTTTTAAAAAATCATGAGCCAAACGCAGGCCATAATGAAAGGCGTTGAAGAGACTGGGAGGAAATAATGAAGAAGATGACAGTTCTGATGAATATAAGAGAAAACCTTGAAAATCTTTAGAAGTACTCAATAATACCCAAAGTAGCAGAAAATGGAATTGTACACAGGAATTATACTAAATTGCACTTAAAAATCAGAATTGCAAAAGTTGGAAAAATACTCGAGACCTACCTACAGAAATATTAGTTTATTTATAAAAGCAAAAAAAAAAAACCAAAACAAAACTGGAAACAGCCTACATGTCTACTGATTAAAGAAGGACTGAACAAATTATCGTATTTTAATGGAACAGAATACTATCGTGGGATATCTAGGTCATTTAGTGCATAGGGTGCCAGACCTGGAGTCAGGAAGACATCTTCCCAAGTTCAAATCTGGCCTCAGACATTTGTTGTGTGACCCTGGGCAAGTCACTTAACCTTGTTTACCTCAGTTTCCTCATTTTAAAATGAGATGGAGAAGGAAATGGCAAACCACTTCACTATCTTTGCCAAAAAAACAAAAAACAAAAAACAAATCCAAATGGAGTCAGGAAGAGGACAAGACTGAAAAACAATTGAATGACAACAAATGCTATAGTGCCATAGAAATGTGAGATCTGAAGAATGAAAGGAAATATAGAAAGATATGTTGCAATGCAAGAACACAGCCAGACCTGTGAATATATGTTCAATTATATATAGTTCAGTTACAGATGTGAGTATGCATATATGAGAGAGAAGAGAGAGGGAGAAGAGAGAAAAGAGAGGAGAGAGAATATGAAGGGCAGCATGGCCTCTATTTATTTAAGAGCTCTTTGATTTTAAGACAAAGCAACTGAAAGAAGCCATCTATAGAGAGAAGAAAGGCAGCAAAGTCAAAAGTATCGGAATATCCACTAATGTTCTTATCATAATTCCATCTCATCCCTACCCTCCCACAGTCCATCTCACCCTCTGTTCTGCCTAGAACATTTCCACTCTAGAATCCTTGCTCTGTGCCCTGAGTCTCTTCACTGCACACTCTTTCCATTTTCCTGCACTGTGGGAAAGCTGGCTCTTCCCAGAAGACCCTGCACCTTTGGCTAACCTCTCCAATACTGGCTGTTGCTTCTTTCATGTTTCCAAACACTGGGCTGAGAGGAGTAGGTATACTTCTCACACCCCTCTCCCATTTCAGATTGTCCCTTTACCACCATCACTCAGGAACTTGACTTCCTTTGAAATTCATTCCTTTTTATGGCCATCTGTCCTATGATGTCTAGGTCACAGTCTCTCCTTTCTCAAGGAGTTCCGTATCTGGCTTCTCGTTGCCTCTCACCTCTTCCTTCATACTTAGGGACTTCAATATACCCACTGATGTCCTCTCAAACATGTTGGCCTCCAAGTTTCACCAACTTTCTAAACTCCTGTGCTCTCCATTTTCATTCTACCTCATCCAAACCCAGGGATGGTCATACCTTTGCTCTGACCATCACTCACACCTTTCACTTCCGTCATTCCTCTCTCCAACCAAAACCTCCTTTCCCTTAATCTCTCAATCTGCCTCTGTCTTACAAAACCCATTTGTCCTCTTTGCAGCCTCTGCCCCTTTGCCCCTCTCTGTTCTCTTGCTCCGTTATCCTGCTCTGTTTCCCATCTCTTCACTCATGGTCTTGACCTTCTGGTAGATCTATTCAGCCACATGCCATCATGTGGCTTTGAATACTTTACCCTCCTGTCCTATCACTGGTCACCTCAGTAAACCCAGCCTTGGGTGGCCCTAGCCACCTTCTTCATTTCCACTCATCTACTGCTGAACATATTGAGGAAATCATGCAAGTGTACTGACTGGGTTCACTACAGATTTATGTTATCTAATCTCCACTGAACATTTATAGGCATATGACAATACTTTCATTATTTCATTTTTGACTCTCTGTCACTCCACAATAGCTATTCCAAATCTTCTCTGGCTTCAGATTTTCTGCACCATTTCATTATCCCTTTCGGTCAGCAGATGTGCTCACCTCCTACTCTACTTAAAAAAACAGAGGCCCTCTGTCACGACCTCCCTTTTTGTCCTCCACTCTACACCTCACTTATTCTGTATCATCCTACATTCTTTCCTTTGCTCCAGTGGATAATGAAGAGGTGGGCTTTCTCCTCGACTTCTCCATTTGTTTTTTTTCCCATCACTTTCCATCTCTTTCAGGAACTTACCCCGTCAGTCATCATTCCCCACTCCCTCTCATCCTTGTTCTCACCCTAAATTTAGCTTCTTCCCCTCTTCTTAAAAAGCATCCTTAAAAAAAAAAACTTACTTTGACTTTGTCATCCCCTCAAGCTATCATACTATACCTCTTCTCACTTCTTAATCTTTTTTTTTTTTTTTTTGGTGAGGCAGTTGGGGTTAAGCGACTTGCCCAACATTACACAGCTAGTGAGCATCATGTGTCTGAGGCCAGATTTGAACTCAGATCCTCCTGACTCCAGGGCCAGTGCTGTATCCACTGCACCACCTAGCTGCCCCTCTCTTCTCACTTCCAAACTCCTAGAAAGGACTCTTTATACTCATGGCATCTGCCTCACTTCCAAATCTCTCATGGTCTTGTTTCCTGATCCCAAAGTTTGACCAAAGCTGCTTTCTCTAAGGTCACCAATGATCTTTTAACTATAACAATAATAATGATGCTGATGATTATAAAAATACTAAAACCAATAATAATAGCTAGCATTTATGTAACACTTTAAGGTTTGCAAAGCGCTTATATGCTATCTCACATCATACTTATAACAACTTTATGAAATAGGTACTCTTATTTTCATCCCCATTTTATGGTTGAGGAAACTGAGTCTCAGATAGGCTAAGTGACTTACTCAAGGTTACATCTCTAGTAAGTGTCTGAAAGATCTAAACTCGGGTCTTCTTGCCTCCAAGACTAACCCTCTATTCGCTGTGCTGCCTAGTACTAAGGTCAATGGCCTTTTGTCTATCCTCAACCTTTTGGACTTTGCTGTAATTTGTGACACTGTTAATCACCCTCTCTTCCTGGATCCTCTCTCCTCTCTTGGCTGTAACACTTCTCTCTTCTGGTACTCTTCCTAGGTCTAACTCACCCATCTTTGCTGACTCTTCTGCTGGATTTTTCTTTTCCTTCTCCCCATTAAGCTTTGTCCTGGACCTTTTGTTCTTCTCTCTCTCTCTCTCTCTCTCTCTCTCTCTCTCTCTCTCTCTCTCTCTCTCTCTCTCTCTCTCTCTCTCTCTCTCCCCCCCCCCCCCCCTCTCTCTGTCTCCCCTCCTCCCCCGTCTCTTTCTGTCTCTGTCTCTCTCCTCTCCTTTGGTGGTCTCATCTATTTCCACTGGCTTAACTCATTATTATCTCTATAAAGAGGATGTCCAACTTTATATATTGAGCCCTAAATGCTCTCCTTATCTCTGTTCCCATATTATGAAAGCTCTGTGCTGGATATTTCCAAATGGATCTCCCAAAGGTTTCTCAAATTCAACATATCCAAAACATAATTTGTTACATTTCCTATCTTAGCTATTCTTCTCAATCTCCCAAACTCATGCCAGTTTCCTAATTTGGAGGCCAACTTCTTTTCTCACTCTATGTTCTCTCTCTTGATGACCTCATATGCTCCCACGAGTTACAACTATCACCTCTAAGCAGACCTTCTTGAGTCTACAGATCCAACCCCAGTATCCCTCCAGAGCTCCAGTGGCTCATAACCATTTGCCTATTGGGCATATCTATCTGGATGTCTTGTAGACATTTCAAACTCAACATATGCAAAACAGAATTCATGATTTTTTCTCCTAAAGACACACATTTCCCCTCCCCTGTACTTATACATGGTTTTCCCCTAGTACAATGTAAGCTTTTGGTGGGCTGGGTTATTTCATTTCTGTCTTTGCATCCTTGGCACCTAGCATGATATCTTGCATACAGTGAGTGCTTAATAAATGTTAGTTACATGAATCAATTTCAGAAGCACTTGAAATGGGACACAGAATAAATGTTTGTTATTATAATATAATGTAATGTAATAATATAATGTAATGTGATGTGACGTGATGTGATGTGACATGATACAATATATCATACAACATGATGTAACACATAATACAATATTTATTGTCTATATACTTGTTTGATTTCATTTATTGAATGCTAGGGATTTTATATAAGATGTTTCTCCTTATTTTTGTTGACTTGATTGTCTTTATTGATGTTATTAAGTTTTAAAATAATGTTTAATACTTTGGGTTTAATTTAGTGTTGACCTAGTCTTTACAAGCAGTGAGAGAGGGGGCTTCTTGGAATAGAGATGGGAAGAGACTGGGGTAGCTGTTGTCCTTCTTTCTCTTCCCTGAAGTACCAGGCACTCTTTCAATCTTCCTTGGGGCTACGTATGACTTTTTTTTTTTCCTGTCTCACCAAAGGAATTGCCCATCTTCCAAAAGGAAGTTCTCATGTGAGTTCCCAGGAGTAGTTAATTTTGACTATCTTGAAATACATAATAATAGTTTTTCTAAGTATACCTCCAGGAAGTAGGAAGTGCTAAGCCCTTAAGAGTAGGGAAAGACTATACTAGTGAAAATAGACCATTCAGGGTTCCAGTAAGAAAAAAATGTGGCTTAGTTAATGGTCTAACACTTTTGCAGGTGACCAAAAATATGGCCTGGGCTAGGGGTTAAAATATAGGATAACTCCGGTGTAGTCCCGACCATCCTCTTGATTGGCATAGTGATCATAGGCAAATCAACAAAGGGGAAAACGCTGGATTTGCTGTCATTTAAATCTGTTATTTATTATCTGCATTACCTTGGAGAAAACATTTAATCTCTTCAGGCCTCAGTATTCTCATCTGTAATATGAGGAGGTTAGAGTAGAATATCTCTAAGGTCTTTTCTAGACCTTTAGCCTATGAATTTATCTCTCTGTGGGACAAAAAAAGGGAACTAGATTATAAGTCTCTTACTCAACTCATAAGTTGAGAAAACAGAAATGGAAAAATACCTGCTAAAATATTTGGAGCCCCTCAGAAAGCAGGTGATAGATAAATATAAGATGTTATTAATAGTATTCTTAGTCAAAACTAAACTGGGTATGTTCGCCAGAAGTTTAAACAGAAATTCTGCGGGCAGTCATCTGTGATGATCTAAGAGTACTAGAAAGGTCACGGTCCAAAATTATCTCCCAAAGCCAGATGATAGAGCATCTGAAATTCTGCCATAGTCATCCATTCCTTTGTGATGAACTCCAGCTTCCCCTGCCTCAAAGTGGTTCACTTTTTTAGATTTCTTTCCCTTGTTTCCTCTTTTAAAATATCTGGCAGGGAAACAGCTAAACCTGATTCACATTAAGGAGTTAATGACTACCAGGTAATTTCCCTTTTGACAGGGCAGTATGGGCAGGCTGAGAACACTGCCAGGCTTGGGGCAGAGAGGTATTTAAAGAAGGAAAAAGATGCTGAAAAGGAAGGTGAGAAGTAGTGAAAAACATCTTTATCTACTTAAAATTTTACCAGATTCTAACTCTTACTTACAACATTACTAATGTGAAAATATGCTTAATAGGAATGTATATGTATAGCCTATATCGGATTGCATGCCCATCCTTAGGAAGGGAGGTGGGGAGGGAGGGGAAGAAAAATTTAAAACTCAAAAGCTTATGGAAGGGATTGTTGATAAATCAAAATAAATTAATAATTTTTTTTTTTACCAGAACAAATTTGTGAGTGACAGACATCATCAGCCTGATGAAATTCTGGAAGGTACTGGCGATGGACCCGCATCCCCAAGTGCCCTAGTGTTGTTGTCCCTGTGGCCCTAGGGATTCTATGAGCCCAGTAAAAGAGGGCCCTTCCCAAGGGAGAAGTGAACAGGGTGGGAGACGGGAAAAGGGAGAGGTAAGAGTGGGAGGGGGGGAAGGGGAGACGGGGCATGAGCGGAAGCATTGCCAAGTCAAAAGGCACGGCTTTGGAGGAATGCTTTCTTACTGGCAGTATATGCTGTTCTCAAACTCTCCGACTTCCAGGGGAGAGAATTTAACCTTGAGTTTTTGATGTTGCCCAACTGGGATGATGCCACTGATGGGCTCCATGGAGAAAGGGTAGGTGGAGGAACTGCTGTATGCGTGGGATGAAAAGCTGTCCGAGTACTTCCGGCACAGAAAGTTCCTTGACTGGACTGTTCCTTGCGGGCTATGCCAAATAAAGTGCCTAGGAATATAAAGGAAACAATTGAGGCTGACTTATTCAGTAGCTCAGAGTTTAAAAAGGTCTCAGAGGGCAGGGACTGTCTTTTGCTTCTTTTTGTATCCCCGGCACTTAGCACAGTGCCTGGCATACAGTAGGCACTTAATCAATGTTGGATTGTTGATTGTATATGATGAAGGGACTATTTTTGCTTGAAGACCTCCAGGGAGGGGAAGACCACAACCTCTGAAGCCTGTCAATTTCATTTTCAGGAAAAAACAAACAATCAATTTCATTTTCAGGAAGAAAAAAATAAACAATCTACCATTTATAAAGCTTGCTAAGGCTTACAAAACACCTCGTGGGCATTATTTCATTTGAGCCTTCGGCAGGAGGTTAGTCAACTAACATTTATAAAGCACCTACTACGTACTGGGCATTGTACTGAGTGCTGGGGACACAAAGAAAGGCAAAAACATGGTCCTGGCCATCAAGGAACCCATATTCTAACAGGTGAGACAATATGCAGACCACTTTCTCTGTACATAGATGATCCGGAGCAAACTCAGGGAGAGGGTACTAGCAATCTCAGGGAGGACTCACTGGGAAAGGCACCATGGTAAATAAGGAGGCAGGAAGACCTGAGTTCAAATCTGGCCTTAGACACTTATTAACCGGGTGACCTTGGGCAAGTCACTTGATCTTACTTAGCCTCAGTTTCCTCATCTGTAAAATGGAGATTAATAATAGCATCTACCCCCCCCCCCGGTTGTGGTGTGGATCCTATGAGATAATATTTATAACGTGCCTTGCACACTGCCCGGCACATTGTAAGTACTATATAAATGCTAGCTATTATTGTTATCATTTTGTTATTATTATTATTTACTATTATAGGGTTGTGAGGATCAAATGAGATAACATATGAAGTGCTTTGCAAACCTTAAGATGTAGGTACTATATAAATTCTAGCTATTATTGTTATCATTTTGTTATTATTATTATTTACTATTATAGAGTTGTGAGGATCAAATGAGATAACATATGAAGTGCTTCTCAAACCTTAAAATGATTACATAAATGCTAGTTATTATTGTTATTATTAATAGATTATCATGAGGATCAAATTAGGTAACATGTAAAAACACTCTGCAAACCTTAAAAGGGCTTATGTAAATATTAGTTATTATTATTATTATTACTCTAGGTATTAGCCATATTCTTCAGATGAAGAAAGTGAAGCTTGGGGAGGTCCACTGATTGGCTAGCCATGGTCACTTTGATGGTAAGTCCAAGAGTCCGAAATTGAATTTAGGCATCTCCTGATGCCAAAGACTGCACTCTTTCCCTTATTCGTCCCCCTCACCCAGGACCCCCTAAAGAACAGTCTTGATTTTATTGATGGGTGAAGATAGCTTCTCTATGGCAAGAACTGTCCAAGTGTGAGTCACCCCCTCCACTGTCTGGGTTCGTGTCTCGGGTACTGACGAGTGCTAGATATCAACATTTCCTTGGTTTCTGGTGTGCCAGCAGTCTTCACAAAAATCCTTTGCTGCCCTGCTGTGGGGGGTGGTTGCCATCCGTGTTCATGATGAGTGAGAGCCAAAAAGGACCGTCATGAAAACAAGTCAATCTCTCCACAACTACTATGCTAGGCACTGGGGATATGAATACAAAGAAGGAAATTATCCATATTCTAAAGAAGTCTATATTCTAATGTGGGGGATAAGCACAGCATAAATATGTACAGCATAAATATAATGTGAAGAAATACAAATACGTTTTTGTGGTTATTTAATTGTTTTCAGTCGCTTCTGACTCTTTGTGACACCATGTGGGGTTTTCTTGGCAGAGACATTGGAGTGGTTTGCCATTTCCTTCTCCAGCTCATTTGACAGATGAGAAAACTGAGGCAAGCAGGGTGAAGTGACTTGCCCAGGGTCACACAGCCAGTAAGTTTTTGAGGCTGGATTTGAGCTCAGGTGTTTCTGACAAATGTATACAAGGTAGTTAAATACAAGCTGGTTTGAGAGAGAGGGTACCAGGGGTTGGGAGCTTCAGGAAGGGCTCCATGTAGGAGATGACAGCTGAGCTGCAATGTGTGGCACATAGTAGGCGTAAAGAATGGCCCCTTCTTTTCTTCCCAAAGTCAGCAAGAATGAATTAACTGCTACAGATCACAATGCATCCATGACCTCTCCTCCTGTGAGATTCTAGTCCTTGCTAGCTATTACTGGCATGGTAAGAATAGCTAGCATTTATATAGTTCTTTATGGCTGGCAAAGCATTTTACATATGTTATCTCATTTGATAGGATTTATATTGGAGTCTAATCATTAGGGACTAAGCCCCTTGAGGGCAAAGACTGTCTCACTTTTGTATTGCGTCTAACACCCAGTGTAGTGCTATGTACACAGTGCTAAGCACAGCAGGAGCTTAATAAATACTTCTTGACAGACTTCGCACAGACTTTTGTGTATGGAAAGATTTTAAAGAAAGATTTTTTAAAATTTTCTTCTCATTAATGCAAACAGGATGCTTATTCATTTGTGGTAAGGTAGAGTGGATGATGTCGGCAATTTGTAATGCTTTTTGCTAGACCAAAACATTCCATGGAGTGAAAAGTTTGAGAACCACTGCTCTCTAAATAATCAGGTTTTTTAATGGCCTCTTTAGGACCCAGAGAATTCAGAGAACACAGGTCAATACTTTGATACTTCCAAGATCCATATTCTTATTGGTATCCCTCCACCAACTTAGATTACAAGCTACCCGTGACTTCATAAATGGTTTCTGGAAGTTGTGTGGCCAAAAAATCTATAGCCCTGTAGCCAACTGGGCAATGAGTCTCTAAAACATGCAATCCATCAGGCAGGCTGTGTGGAAAGCCTTTCCTGCCTGGTAGGACTTGCCAGAACTTTTACTTCATTGGCCATGCCACAATGGGACATTAGAGATGATCTGTGTGGCAGACAAGAGCAAAGTAGAAGATGCGGGTCAATAGTAAAGAAGAATTTCCTGAAGCCACACGTTTTTGCTGACTGGGCAAAGGTCCGAGATCCAAACAATCTGAGTTCAGTTTTGACTTCTCTCACTATTTCAGTGGAAGTGAATGGATTTTGTGAGGTCACAACTGCTGGACCAAAGGTTCAGTCCGGGCTTAGCAGTAACTCATTGAGAAACTCTCGCTCTTATTTCTTCCACTCATGGAGTACCTACCACTCAGTGGCTATTCTTGTTAGTTGTGTATGGGTCCTCTCTCTCCAATTGGATGAATTCCTTGAAGATGGGTCCTTAAGGACCTTTACGCTCCCCAGCCTTACCCTCCCTCATCTAGACTAGTATTTTGTATGTAATTAGTGCTCGGAAATGTCTGTTGAATGGATTGATGAATGGAAGGCCTTTTTTTGAGCATATTTATGTGATGCATTGCGCTGGAGTCTGCCATGGCCAAAAAGTCCATCACCTAGTGGCCAAGCTGCTGGTGATGAATTTATCTGTGCTTAATTAGACTTCCATATTGGTGGATGCTTGCCACTGTTTGTACTTCCCTGGTATAACCTTTGAGAACCCAGGGTCGCTTTTGTGATGAGGCATCTGATTCCTTAATTAATTAATCTGATGACTACAAGTAATCTTGGTGATGGCCCAGGAGAAGTACTGGCCAATATTGTCTCTCTTCTCACTCCCCAATTCTGCAGTAATCAAAGCCTTATTTTAGACTCACACCCAAGGAGATGCCATTTGGTACCTTAGCACGACAGCTGCCCGTACTAGGCGGGGCCAAGCACCACCAAAGCAAGATGAGCATATTTTAATTATTCTAGGTCATTAAACAGAGTCTGCAGGGGTGGAATATGATTATTTCTCCCTCCTTTCCATTGGATAAAGTGCTGGCTCTGGAGTCAATAGACTGAGCTCATCTTGACTTTGTTACTTACTATCTGGCATACCTGCGGGTGAGGAACGTGTTAGCCTCTCTGGACTAGGCTTTCACATCTGTGTAAGGTGGAGGTTGGACTCCATGGCCCTGGAGGTCCCTTCAGGCCCTCAGCCAAGCATCCCATGATCCCATGGGTCACTAACCCTTGACCTTTAGCTCTGGAGAGGTAAAGCTCTGGACCTGGGGAAGAAGACTGAGGTTTGAATCGTGGGTTTCCCCTTTGTCAGTTGTGTGACTCAAGACACGGCCCTTTCCTGTACTATGAGCCTCAGTTTCCTCCTCTGTAAAATGAAGGGATTGGACTAGATTATCTCTAGGATCCTATTCAGCTTTATCACAGTGTGAACGCTGCCACCAGGAGACACTTAACATCTATCCCACTGTCTCTTGGCCCTCGGAGTGGTCAGTCCTTAAAGTGACCAGGGAAAGTACAGATTCTACCTGAATGCATCCATTTCTTCAGCTGTACCCTATAAACAGAGATAGCTTCCAGTTCTCCAGTGAGGTCTCAGTTAATAGAACGAAATATAGGGAATTGTAACCCTATTCATATTCCTCTTCATGTAACACAGGGAAGCTGTTCTCATTCACTGGGATGTCTGTTAGAAATATGGTCCACAGTGAGATGGCAGGCCTTTATTCATAATGCTTGACTAAAGAGTAGTGTTCCTAAAACCTAAGATGAGGAGACTCCCGAAATGGGGTTAGTGTTAAGGTCGGGGAGACGGGTGGCTGCTTTGTGTGATATTTCATGATCTTTCGAAAGTAACTACAGAATGTAATACCAGTACCAGCCTCTGATACCCCACTTGCATGGAGACCTACAGACCCGGCATGTTCTACACCTTACAAAATCATTTCATTTTGGAATGCTAAGATCTTTTGAGAGTTTTTGGTCCCCACATTGCCAGGCCCTCATTGCTCATGAATCTACCCAGTTGGTGCCTCCTTCCTCCCCACCTCCTCCCTTTTTGGGGCTACAACTGGAGGAATAGAACTTGTGATTGTATCCAGTTGCGATCGACTGGTTCGCCACCTTCCCTGTAGCGATACATCCCTGGTTTACCTGGAGAAATCGAGCTCTGTGGATCAGCAAAGCTGACAGTCTTTGTTGGTTCATCTGAGGACAGCAGCCAGGTAAATCCCAGCTGCACAGGTCCTGTATTAGTCAGATCAAACCTGCAAATATGACAAAACCCACGTTTGAGAAGCATGCGACAGATGCCTTTATCCCCCCTTTCAATGAACAGTGCTGAGACCGCTTTTAATGACCAGTCCCTAAAGCCTGCCTCTCCAGCAGAAGGATCAGACTCATTATGCCCATTTTATGGAGGGAAGTAGAAAAAGAGTCAGTTGACTTGTTCAGTGTCTCGCAATTGGTGTAGTGGAATGGAAGGGCGCTTGCTGTGCAGGGTGAGGAGATGTTTGGGTGTGAATCCTTCCTCCAACACTTCCCACCTGAGACTCTGAGCATAAAACCTAATCTCCTGAAGCTTAGCGTCTTTATCTGTAAAGTGAGGAATGAAAATACTTGTCACAGCTGCCTCGTGAGGACACTGTGAGGCTCCCTTGGGATCATGTCTGTTAAGAGGTCAAGTGACAAGTGCCTAGAGGTCAGCTGTTGCTGGTTGAATGGTCAGAGTCAGAATTTGAACTCACATGATCAAATGAGATAATATTTGTAAAGTTCTTTGCAAACCTGAAAGCGCGACCGTCATTGTTATTGTGAGGACTCAAGCTCCTGGATCTGCACTGATTTTTGAACGGGCGAGGTCAAGCTGGCTTCTCACTAAGGCAGAGGAGGGAGCTTAGTCTGGCTTGATTCACAAGCAAGAGGCTGGCTAGGAGTTATCTGTCTTGATATTTTGCATTGAAGAGCAGGGTTCGGAAGAGGAAGTTAATCTGGTTAAGGCATTACCATTTGGAGAAGATGTTGGCAACCTCTCTCATGGGAGCTTTTTAGCTGAATCTTGGATTTGTGGAAGGGAAGTAATTTGGAGAAAACATTTTACAACACCATCACCTCCCAGAGTGTTTTTAAGAGATCAGGTTGCATTTGAGTGAAGAGGTGTATCTTCCTAATTTAGGTCATGAGAGCCATAAAGTAGCGCCTTTGTATTACACGCTAAGGAAAGGGTTTGGTTTTTGTGAACTTTGGGGGTCACCTAGGTATTAGACTGAGCTATCCCCATTTTTTGAGGTGATGAGATCTCTATATTTATTTGTCTTGCATTTTTTGTTTTCCCTTTACTGGAGATGGGAAGATGGAGATAACAACATTAAATACAAAAGCCTCTGGCATTTCAAGTTCAATATAACCTGCCCCCTTCTACCTTTGCAGTCTTCTTTCCCCTTGCTCTGCCCATATACTCCTTGATCCAGTGACGCTGGCTCCCTTGATGTTTCTCAAGAGGACACTAACCTCAGTCATTTTTGCTGGCTCTTCTGTATGCCTGGAATTCTTTCCTTCCTCATCCACACCTCCTGACTTTCCTGGCTTCCTTCTTGCCCCAGATAAAATCCCAACTTCCACAGGAAGCCTTTCCTAATCCCCTTTAATGCTAGCACCTTCCCTCTGAGATCATCTCCAATTCATCCTGCATATATCTTGTTTGTGCATAGTTGTTTCCACATCATCTTCTCCATCAGGCTGAATTCCTTGAAAAAAAGGACTGTCTTTTGCCTTTCTTTAGATATCCCCTGATTAGCATAGTGTCTGAATATAGTAGGAGCTTAATAAGTACTTATTGATTATTAATAATCACAATATTGATAATAGCATTTCTATAGTGCTTTAAGGTTTGAAAAACACTGTGTATTTTATCTTATTTGATCCTTACAACAACCATGAGAGATAGTTGCTAATATTATCCCTGCTTTACAGATGAGAAAACCGAGGCAGATGATAGGGTCAATGGCTCTCCCAGTGATGGTTATATAACTAGGCAAGTGCATGAGGCTAGATTTGAGCTCTAGCCATCCTAACTCCTGAGTGATTACACAGTTGTGAGCTTTGTATGTGTAAGGACTGTACAATCACGTCTTATTGAAACTGTATCTTCTTTAGTGCCTACCATAGTTGTCAATTTGTCACTGAATGAATGAATGAATGAATGAAAGAATGAATGAATGAATGAATGGAGATATTGGAAACACTGATGCAAGGAACCCTCTTTGAGATCTGAGTAACAGCATAATGTAAAACTTCTAGATTTGAATTTAGGGCTGTAACTGCTCTAGCATCCATCCCCATCTCTGAGAATGCACAGAGACCAGCTGGTTCCCTGTAGACAAAGGGACAGGAAGAGTTCTCTGTAAAGAGATGACAGTACTATTTGGTGAAAAGATGGGGGAGTGAGAAAGGGCTTTCATAAAGTGTCCCCATGAGCAGTAGCTGGAAATCCTCAGAGATATTTCTCTCAGAGCAAAATTTTGCATGGGATTTGATAAGCAAACACTCTTCCTCTTGCTGAAGGACCAGATGAATAATTCTAATATTTATGGATGTTTCATATTTACGGGTATTTATGGATAGTTCTAATATGTATGGATTCCACGGCCCTGGCTGAGAAACCCTAAGGCCCTCACATGAAAGGAATACAGGCAGAATGAGCTTAAACAGCGTACTGTGCTATCTTCATGGTTTTTTTGTGACTCACTCAAAAACTCGGGTCTGGAAAACCAGTGTATCCTTAAAGTTCACTTCTTTCACTTGGGAACAAAAGGAGGAATAGTCCACCACAGCGCTGATGTAAAGCTCTAGTTCTTGATAATTTTCTTCCAGGACTGTGTGTGCAGGTTCAGGGTCAGTCTCTATCACCTGGAAATCAAGGCAGCAAGGTCAGAGTGGCAGTCGCAGAAATCGTTGTTGGTGGGGCAGCTAGGTGGCACAGTGGATAGAGCACTGGCCCTGGATTCAGGAGGACCTGAGTTAAAATTCGGCCTCAGACACATAACACTAACAAGCTGTGTGACCCTGGGCAAGTCACTTAACCCCATTGCCTAGCTAAAAAAAAAAAAAGAAATTGTTGTTGGGATCATGTAACATTCATGAAGCAGGATGCCAGAAGCCTCCATGTACCCCATTCATACCAACCATGCTAATGAATCGGAGGTCTGTATGCCTAGGCCCAAGATCTGGAGGGAAGGACTAGGGCATATTTAATATAAATCACGGGCAGAGAGAGGAAGATAGTAATCAAAGGGGAAGGTGTAACCCAAAGCTTTGGAATGACATGTTTCTATGTTCATAGAATCAAAGAATCATAGACTGAACTGTATGATTCTGAAATTACATGAAATCTATGAAGAAGGAACATTAGGGCCACCTGGTCTATTTCCTTCACTTTACAGCTGAGAACTCTGTGAAAGGTCAGTGGGCAAAGGAATTGAATTAATGCCTTGTGGATGAAAGAACCCTGGGCTAGGAGTCAGGAGCTCTGAGTTCTGGTCATGACTCCCACCATTCATAATTCTTTTTATGGATAAAGCACTTAATCCTTCTTGATCTCAGTTTCTTCATCTCTCCAAAAAAAAAAAAAGACTAAACTAAATGATCCTTTCCAGGTCTCTTCTAGGACTGAGATTCTAGGGTTCTATATTCTGTGGTTCATTCCAGTGAAGAGGCTTAGAGAGTTTAAAATCCCATTCAATTCAGCTTAATTAGATCAACATTTATTAAGCACATATTCTGTGCCAGGTACTGTGGTAGAAGTTGGAGACCCCAAGATAAAGAATGAAAGCAATCCTGCCATTAAGCCGCTTAGAACTCCACCGGTAATTCTGGGGAACAGCAAGCACATGAATATTTAAATATAAGATAACTACAAAGTAATTCCATAGAGTTGGGAGTGGGGGACATTAATGGTTCGAGGAATCAGGAGAAACTTCTTGTAAGAGGTAACATTTGAATGGGTTCTTGGAGGCAGCTTGAGGTAGAAGTGAGGAAGAAGAGCTTCTAGGCATGGGGAAGTGTCTAAAAAGGGGGAAATGCAATGCTGTGTGTTGGGAAAAGATGGTAAGGTCAGTTTGGTTGGAATAAATAATCCAAGAGATGAAGTAATGTGTAATGAGCCTGGGAAGGTGGGCTGGAGCCAGACTGTGAAGCCAAACAGGATTTTGTATTTTGTCTTGGAGGCAAGAGAGAGCCATAGAAGCCTCTTGAGCAGAGGAGTGACAGGGTTCAATCTATGTTGTAGGAATATCAGTGTGACAGAAACATGGAGGAAGGATTATAATGGGAGAGGCTGGATGCAGAGAGACCGATCGGGAGTCTATTACAGTTGTTCAGGTGAGAGGTGGTAAGGGTCTGGATTTGGGGCTGGGGGTGGATGTATGAATGGACAGGATGAAAGGGACACGAGAGGTGCTGGGGAGATGAAGCCTATAGTACTTGGAAATTGGTTAGATATGGGGGTTAAATATGAAAAGAATCAGGGGATGGCCTAGTTCAAACCTGGGTGACCAGAATTATGATGGTGTCCTCAAAAGAAATGGGAAAGTCAGGAGGAGGCACAAATGTAGGTAAAAAGAACACGTAGGCACTCTGACATAACCTTTGTCGTTGTTCAGTCATTTCAGTTGTGCCCAATTCTTTGTGACTCCAGTTGGGGTTTTCTTGGCAAAGGTACTAGAGCAGTTTGCCATTTCCTTCTCCAACTTATTTTACAGATGAAGAAACTGAAGCAAACAGGGTTAAGTGACTTGCCCAGGGTCACACAGCTAGTAAGGTTGGGATTTGAACTCACATCTTCTTGATTCCAGTTCCAGCTCTCTATCCCCTGCACCACCTGGCTGTCTAACATTTGTCTAGTTATTTCATATATACTACCTCATTTCATCTTTGTAATTACCTTCTAAGGTATGAATCATAAGTATCATTATTCCCATTTTACAGATGAAGATGTGATGCTCAGAAAAAATTAGACGGTTTGCTACAATCACAAAGATACGACATAGAAGAGGTAAGATTCAATTCCAAGACTCTTCTAATTTACAGTCAGGAGACTTTCTAGGACACCACACAGCCTTTCTTAAACCGTATGGAGATGGCAAAGTGTCAGCATTCTCAGAGTCAGCCCGATTGCCTTTGATCGGCTATTGATTGGAAAGTTCAGTTTAGTAACGTTCAAACCATGTTGGTGTAGCACCTGGTCCACAGTAAGCTCTCAGCAAATGCTGACCAACTCACCCCAGTTATTACTAACTTGATTGACTCACTTTTTTTTTGGGAGGGATCTTGCTGGTCGGACTCTTCACAGAATCTATCCATTTGACCGTACGCATGTGGTTGTCCCAGTCTGGTACCTGGTCCACGGGCTGCTGGAAAACTATTCTCGAGAGTCTACACTTCACCAAGGTTTTCTTGAGGTTGACAGCTGAGCGAGATTTCAAAGTCACCGTGATGTCTTTAGCACATCCAGCATGAAGGTGGCCGGCCTAAGAAAGGACCTGCTATTATTGTCTCAGGAAATCACACACTGAATCCTGGCTGCTACCTCCTCAAGTAGAAGGAGAGGAAGGTAAAAAACTTCGCTATAAACCGGATCATTTGCCATTGTGTATGCAGGCAAAAAGGTACTTGTCTTTTGGTCAGAAATAAGTTTATCAATGTTCTATACATCTGGGAATGGAAGAGAGGACAGGTTCTATTATAAAATGACCTTCTAGGTCTTGGATACAGTTAGATCTCAGATTTAATCAAGCCCCCCCAGACACAAAGGGATGTCTGCCTTTCTTATGGTGACAAAGAAAGATTATAGAGTAAGCATCACCTATGCCCCATTTTTACTGAGGTCAACTGTATCTTCATCTTCTTCATGACACCATTCCTTGTCAACCCTTTGCAGTATGGTTTCTAACCTCATTGCCTGTGAAAGCTGGACAGTATACCAGCACCATGCCAGGAAATGGAATCACTTCCATTTGGATTGTCTTAGGAAGATCTTCAAGATTTTCTGACAGGTTAAGGCTAGACACTGAGGTCCTTTCTTAAGCAAAATTGCCAAGCATTCAAACTCTATTGCAGAGAGTGCAACTCTAATGGGCTGGCCATGTTCAAATGCCAAATGTAGGTTTGCCTAAAAGATTATTTTATGGAGAACTCATGCAAGAAAGGTGCTTACATGGTGGTCAGAAGAAGTGATACAAGGACACTCTCAAGGTTTCTCTGAAGAATTTTGGAGTTGATTGCATGACATGGGAGATGCTGGCACAGGACATCCCAGCCTGGCATGTCCCCATCAAAGAAGGTGCTGTGCTTTATGAGCAAAGCAGAATTGCGGCAGCTCAAAAGAAATGTGAGATGCACAAATTTAGCGAATCCACCCTAAATGTTCATATGATCTATTTGTGCCCGACCCATGGTAGGACATTCCAAACTTGTATTGGTCTGCTCAGCCACAGTCAGACACACTGTCACTTGATTCCAACATAGTGATATCATCTTGGTCCTCTTCGAGAATGAAGGACAAAAACCAACTAACCTCACCACTCAACCGAAAATGCTTTCTCCAAAGTTTCCAATCATTTATTTTTCATTTTCATTTTCATTTTTTAAGACTCACCCAAATTGGAAGCGCAGTGGTCACTCAGGGGCCTGAACTCACTACTTAGAGGCATGGGAGCTTTGACCTGTTCAGTTTCCAACATGCACCAGTTCATTGCTCCTTAGGCAGCCTGATGGCCCCTTCCCCTTCTCTTCTCTGTCTCTGCCTTCTTTCTGGGTGACCTGTTCAGTTTCTGTGGGTTCAACAATCACCTCTGTATAGATGACTTGCAGATCTAAATATCCAGCTTAAGTCTCTCCTGAGATTCAGTCATGTACTTCCAGCTGTTTACTATGTTTTGAACTGGCTGTCCCACAAGCACCTCAAATTCAAGTCCAAAACAAACTTACCATCCCCAGTGAACCCACCTCTCTCCCCAGTTTCTCTGTTTCTGACAAGGGCATTACCATCCTCCTTTACTGTGATAAGAATCCAAGTCCATGACCTTAGCATCATTCTTGGTTCATTTCTCTTCATCACTCCACTTAGACAATCAGTTGCCAGATCTTGTTTCTCCCTTCACAGCCCTTCTCACAGCTGTCCTGTTTTCTCTCCTCATATAGTCATCCCTCTAGTTCAGACCCTCCCTCATCATCGCTAGCCTGGACTCTTGTGGTACGACACCCAGTTGGTCTCTCTGTCTTAAGTCTCTCCCCTCTGCATAACAAGTGATTTTTTTCAAGTTCATGTCATTCTCCTACTCAATAGAACACAGGGTTCCCTATTATCTCCAGGAAAATAGAAATTATTCCTCTCTTGGGCTTTGAAAGTTCTTTGCAGCCTGGCACCAATCTACCTTTTCTAGCCCTGTTTTCCATTATTTCCTTCCCACCAATCTGTGGTTCAGCCACATGGGGAGTGGCTTTCTTCCTGTTCTTCCCACATAACTTCATCTCCCAATGCCAAGACTTTGCATTGGCTATTTCCAGGGCCTGGAATGTATTTGCACCTCACCTCTGACTCTTAGAATCCCTTATTTCTTTCTTCAAATCACAATGCAAGCTTCCTTATTCTCTCCCCCCAATTGCCTTGTATTTATTTTCTAAATGTTGTATTCATATTTATCGGGTATTCGTTGTGTTCCCTGATACAAAGTAAGCTTCTTGAGGGTAGACGCTGCTTCATTTTTGTCTTTATATTCTCAGGAAGTGCTTAATATTTGTCTGCTGGAAAAACTTGGGAACACCTCTATGAATTGATGCAAAGTGAAGTAGAACCAGGAGATCTTTGAACATAGTAACAGCAATATTTTAACCATATTCAACTGTGAATGACTTAGCTATTCTGATCAATACAATGATCCAAGATAATTCTGAAGGACTCATGATGAAAAATGCTCTTCACCTCCAGAGGAAGATCTGATGAAGTCTGAATACAAACTGAAATGTAATTTTTTTCACTTTATTTTTCTTGCTTTTTTTTTTTGCAATGTGCCTAATATAGATATATGTTTTACATGACTTCAAATGTATGATTGGTATTATATTGCTTGCCTTCTCAATGAGTGGGAGAGGAGCTGGAGAGAGGGTGAGAATTTGGAACTCAAAATTTAAAAATGAATGTTAAAAAATAATAGATTTATACATACACATATATGTGTATGTATATATGTATATATGTCTATATGTCTATGTCTATGTCTATGTCTATGTCTATGTCTATGTCTATGTCTATGTCTATGTCTATGTCTATGTCTATGTCTATGTCTATGTTTATATCTACATCTATATATCTGTCTGCTGACAGAGGAAACCCCTCCAAACAGAAACAGAGCGTGACCGGCTTAGCCTGTCTTTGTCAAAACTGCTGGAATATTTGTGTTGTTTCAAGTCCTGCACTGGGGGGAAATGGAAATTTACCCTGGAATGTGTGCATGGCCTCTCAATGAGTCTTGGCTTAGATGTTAGTCCATTAAACAGGCAACATAAATACCCTTTCTGCTTCGTTACTAGGCTTTGCTAGACTTGCACGCCTGAATGGAGACCCTTGTGCAGAGCAGAAACAACTCTGCAGTCTCAGTGTGCCCAAGTTTTTGTCTCTGAGCTCAGACTAATTGGTCTTCCCCAAAGTCTTGTGGCCATAAGACACACAGGGGTGCAGGGTCCTTTGTGTCAAAGCAAGTGTCTTTCTTGAGTCCACAGGGCCAAACCACATCTCCTTTCTTCCTGAGACTCCAGAGCTCGTAACAGGCAGAGGGAGCAGAAACGATTTTTCACTAATGAGAAGCAACAGAAGTGGCCAAGCCAGTGGGATGCCGAAACTGTGGTGTTGACCTTTGTTTTAATGTATGGGTTATATTAAGGGTGGAAGGTCTAGGACCTTCATTCATCAGATATCATTTGCTTCTTTAAGAGTAATAAATGAAATTTTCCATTCTAAGCCCACAACCTTCTCAAGAAATATAACGCACTCAATGGCACATGATTTGTTGGCACCTTGACTAAGAGAGGAGACTTCAAGATACTGGTTCTTGAAGGCCCCTTCTGAGTTGCCTGGAAGGGTCACTGGGTTGCCTCTTAGTCTAGGTGCCAATGCCCATGAATATCTTGCCTTTTGTTGGAATGGGATAAAAACCATATCAACCCTTACAGTCAGTGTCCAACAGGCCAGATTTGAGCTGACTCACAGTAGCAGTGTTGATTGTCTGAATTAGCCCAGGGAATGGAGAAGTTAACCCCTTTACCTGTGGTGAGAAATGGAGAGGATGCATGATAGGCCACTCAAACCTTACGGCATTAGCTTCGCTGCGATTGGTGATTGTGAAGGTCACTTCGTAGGTGCTGCCAACATGACAGTCCCCAAACTGAAGGTGATCTACCCGGGCAGCTAGGGAACAGAAAGAGGGACAGCTTTTGTATCTTGCCATGACTGTCTCATTGAAGTGGCTCTTAGGGCAGAGGTGCTGACCACATGGTCATTCCCCGACATTGTCACTCCCTTGCTTCTTAAAAGAGAGCTCTAAATTCAAAACAAAGATTTCTAGCCCCTTCCTAGCCACCCCACCCTCAACCCCCAAAGAAAGAAACAAACAAACCAAACCATATCTGGATTTTCAAACCCATAGATGTATGGGAAAAATACAGACTTGTATTTATTGATCTGGGGAGTTAAGAATACCAAGTAGGTTGAGCATATATTACACTAAGTCAAGAAATATGAATTCTGACTTGGGTTTCGCCTCTGACTACTACCTAATAGGAGATGGGTGCCATGCCTTTGGATGCCTCAGCTGTTTTCTGGGTGAGACTGATCAGAGATCTGGGTGGTTGATGAATTATGATAGGGCATTTTAGACTGACGAGGAATGAATGATAAATTCTCAAGCTGTGGCTCAGCCATGAAACAGTATGTGTATTATTTTCTCTGTATAATACCTGGAATATGCAACCAAGATACTTAATGTTTTTTTTTTTATTGCAAGGAGATGAGCATGGAGGATTTAATTTCCAACAGATTTGGAGTAAAAGGGCCTTGTTCACTGGGGGAAAGTCTCAGGACTATATCTCCTGGAGTGTTGTGTGCTAGTTAGCAATAGAGTGACTTGTCTCAGTATGGGGAATTTAAAAAAGGCTAGAGGCACAGTGGTGGAGTGAATAGAATATCAGTCTTAGGGAGACTGAGGTTCAAGTGTCACCTTTGACATATACCAGCTGTGTGGCCCTTGGCAGGTCACTTAACTTCTAAGTGTTTTCGGCAATTCTCCAAGAATCTAAGTTATAGAAGAGGAAAGATGTTGGTGGTGTGTGTGTGTGTTTGTGTGTGTGTGTGTGTGTGTGTGTGTGTGTGTGTGTGTGTGTATGAATGTGAAATACATCAGCGAGGCAAGGTGATTTGAAAAAATGTTCTTGAGATAAGCTAAGAACCAAGCATCGATAACATCCCCTTTCTGTCCCTTTTCTCTTACATGCCAACAATTGCTCCATCATTTTGCCTGTGACCTCAGTGACTTCCCCTGTATCCGACTTGGAGGTGGTAGCGAGTCCATGGATGTTGTCCAAGGTGATATCATCCTCATAGCCCTCTCCCAGCATCTGAATGGTGGTCTCCTCATACTGGTTGTTAACCACAGATAAATAGATGGTGCCCGTCACTTTCTCTGCCCTGCTTGGTTTGAAATAAACGTCAAACTCGGCTGTCTCTCCAGGGTAAAGGATGAGGGAGGCTGTATGAGCTTTCTTTGCTGCCAGGTACAAAGAATGTGAAGGCAGAAGATCAGGTTAGAGAAAAGAATAATCGATGATTAAAAAAGTTTCCACGTTGGATCAGGAACTCCAAAGGCAGTAGTCCCAGCTTTGGAATGAAGCTCAGTTAGAGTGAGCCTGTTTTTGGGGAAGGAGACGATAGGCCTCCTTTTCTTTGGCCCTAATTGAATCCAATTAGGTCCCCCCAAGTACCCTTTGCGTCTCATGGCTCTTCTACTTACACTTTTCATCAGGATGGTTCTCCTCTGTTATGTAGATATAGTTGGTGGTGGGCCTGCCTTTCAGGGAGAAGACATTCAGGTTGTCCCTCAGATCAACATGTACCTGGAAAATAGACACCAGGGATTGAGAGTAGGCTCTGGACATAGCTTAGAGGTCTTTCACTGGGGCTAAGTGTCTACAAAATAGAATTTAGATTTGGTTCAGTAGATGAAAAGGTCACAGTTAAATAATACATACATATATACACATACATACATATACACATATATGTATGTGTGTGTATACACAAACACACAGACACACACACTTTACACCCTAGCCCTAAGATAATCATGGAGTATTAGAGCTGAAAGTGGCTTTAGAGATCATCTAATTCAGGAGTCTTTAATCTGGGGTCTGTGAACTTCTTTAAAAACATATTTGGGCCAACTTTCTATCTTTGATTCTATTGATGGAGCATCTGTCTCTGCTCTCACTACATCAAAGTCAGAGTTCCCCAAGGAACCTAAGTGGCTGTCAAAGCTCTCCATTGGAGGCTTAAGCTTCGAGATGACAGATGAGAGTCTAAAGAGCCATTCTGAGCAATGGGTGCACTCACAGTCTGTGTGGTCACAATGGGTCCAAATACCAACCATTTCAGGGGGTGGTTTTTTTTTTTTTTTACTATGCTACAATGGAGGAGGTAGATGAAACCATCTGCAAGACCTCACAAAGATGATGGAAGAGTTGTTGAACCAAAGAGATCTGTTCCCAGAGAGGGCTCTCAAAGACCAGATGCCCACTTTTACACTCTCTGTGTAAAAGATCTTTGTGGGTGGCAGTAAGGAAGAAACTGAGGACCATTCCTTGAGACACCATCTGGAAACATTGAAGTGATTGAAGTCATGACTGACCCTAACAATGGCGAAAAGATGGTCTTTGGTTTTGTGACTTCTGATGACTGTGACTCTGTGGATAAGACTGTCATTCAAGAATATGACATTGTGAAGTAAGGAAAGCCTTATCCAAGCAAGAAATGGTCAGTGCTTCATCTTGTCAACGAGGGTCAAGTGGATATGGAAACTCTGGTGGTGGCCATGGAGGCTGCTTTGTTGGAAACGATGCCTTTGGCTGTGGTGGAAACTTCAGTGGTTGTGCTGATTTTAGCAGCGGCTATGGCAGCAGAGGATGGAGCGGAGGCGGAGATGGCTACAATGAATTTGGCAGTGATAGATGCAGCTTTGGAGGTGGTGGAAGCTATAATGATCTTGGCAACTATGACGATCAGTCTTCTGACTTTGGGCCCATGAAGGGAGGAATCTTTGGAGGCAGGAGCTGTGACTCTTACGATGGGGCTCAGTATTTTGCAAAATCATGTAATCAAGGTTGCTATGGTAGTTCCAACAGCAGCAGTAGGTATGGCAGTGGCAGAGAAATGTAATGACTGTTAGGAAGCAAAGCTTAGCAGGAGAAGGGAGCCAAAGAAGTGACAGGGAAGGTATAAGTTAACAACAAATTTATGAATTCAGCCAACCGCAGTGGTGGCAGGGCCTAGCTGCTATAAGACAACGTGTGTTAGGTGATGCTTTCTGTGTTGTATTTGTGACTAATTGTATAACAGGTTATTTTAGTTTCTGTTCTGTGAAAAGCGTAAAGTATTCTAACAAAGGTTAATGGTTTATTTTTTGGGGGGGCACTTGTGCTGTTGGCTACTAAATGTAATAGTCTGATCATGATGCTAAATAAATGTGTCTTTAAAACAAACAACAAAATATATTCTGATAAATGTATTTTAATATGAATGGTTACCTTTGTATTCTTATGTATTTTATTTTGGGCATTTAAAAAACATGATTCTGAGAAGTGGTCATAAGTTTCACCCAACTGCCTGAGGGGTTCAGGACATAGAAAAGGCCTTACGAACCCTGCTCTGGCTTCAATTTCCATGTGAACCTTGGGTAGGGGAGTTAATTTACCCAAGGTCACGGGACCACCAGTATAAAACTGATATTAGGGCTCTGGTATCCTGCCTCCTAGTCTAGTGCCCTTTTTACTGTCATTTAACAAGGGAGTCAAATTGTAGAAGAGGGAGAGTTTAATTGCTGACATCCCTTGGGATAACTAATGTCATGAGGCACAGCGATCAGATTTATCAGTGGAGTGCCAGTACCTTCCTTAATAAGCTCTGTTTGGTCTTTCTTTTGAACTGACATAAAGGAAGCCAGGTTCCTTTCTTACTCATTAAAGAACTGAATGAAGATATATGTGCACATCCAGATGATCTTCAGCTAGCTTCACCCCTTGAAGCCAAAATGGCGAATAAAGATGCATTCAGCTGAGCTCTCTCAATGTTCCCCTCCAAACAACTTTAAAATAACACCTCAAATTGAATTCTGGAGTGGCAGACCCAACAAAAGGTCAGAGTGAGACATTCTTCCAGCCCAAGATGACACGGGAGGGTAGAAAGAGAGATCTGTGACATGGGAGAGGAACCTGACCCAGAGCCCACGTGCATGAAACACCATTGGTGGGACTAGCTGGTAGTGACAGAAGCAGCACCAGCTTTGAGAGCTTCACACCAGAGATGGTAAGGGGACTTATCAGTTATTCAGAAAGAGATTACAGGGTACCCCTGTGCTAGCACTGGGTGCATGACCAGACGTTGTTTGGCAACTTCATTGTTTACACCCAATTCTGGGTCATAGTTCAAAGGCAGAGAGTAGCGTTTTTGGTCAAGACGGAGTGGAAACCCTGAGGGGCAGTAACATTTCAGGTCCCAAGAGATAAGGGATCTGAGGAACAGTATAGTATCATTTTCAGTCCCAAGAGAAGAAGAGCCCTGAGGGGCAGGATTACAATCTCAAGGGATCAGGGGACCTTCCTAGGTAAGGATGAGAGTACAGACCAAGAGAACAGTGACCACACCTCTCCCCAGATCACACCAGCTTGGAAGCACCAAAACCTTCTGAATCCCCAGAACTATGTCTGAAACAATAGTGTGAAAAAGCCTGAAGAGACTGTGCCCCTTCCCACCCCATTCTGGGAACAGAGCCCAACATTAACATAAAGATCCAAATTAAGAAATAGGGTGGAAAAATCAGCAAACTCAAAAAAGAACCTGATCATAAAAAAGTTATTATGGTGACAGGTGACAGGGTGACAAATTCAGAAGAAGACAATGGAGTCAAAATAGTTACAAGCAAAGCCTCCAAGAAAAAAAAAAAAGAGAATTGGACAAAAGCCCAACAAGAATTCCTGGAACAGCTAAAAAATGATTTTCAAAATTTAAAAAAAAGTAGTAGAGGAAAAATTAGGTAAAGAAATGAAAGCAAAGGAAGAAAATTATGAAAGGACAATCAATAGCTTGCTTGGAACAAAAGAAAGTTACTCCTTAAAAAGCAGAACTGATCTAATGAAAAAAGGGATGCAAGAATTCACTGATGAAAATAACCCTTAAAAAGCAGAATTGGCCAAATGTACAAAAGTTCACTAAAGAAAATGATTCCTTAAGAATTAGAATTGGGCAAGTGAAAACTAATGACTCCACGAGTCAGCAACAAACAATAAGACAACGTCAAAAGAATGGAAAATAGAAGAAAATGTGAAATATTTCACGGGAAAAGCAACTGACCTGGAAAATAGATCAAATAAAAATAACAAGAATTCCTGGATCACCTGAAAGTCATGATCAGAGACAATTTCTAGAACTGCCCTAATCCCCCAGAGCCACAGGGGTTCCAAGAGATGCCAAAATAAAAGCTCCCAGAAATATTACAGCCCAATTCTAGAGCTCCCAGATCAGAGAGGAAAAATACTTCAAGCACCAGGAAAGAAACCATGCAAATTCTATGGGGCCACAGTCAGGATCACATGAGATTTAGCAGCTACCACATTTAAGGAGCAGAGGTCTTAGAATATGATATTTCAGAAGGCAAAAGAGCTGGGATTACAGCCAAGAGTAACCTGCCTAGAAAAACTGAGTATAATCCTTCAAGGGAAAAGGTGGGTATTTATTGAAGCAGAAGACTTTCAATCACTCCTGATGGAAAGCCCAATGCTAAATAGAAACTTTGACTTTCGAATACAAGACTCAGAGAAGCGTAAAAAGGTAAACATGAAAGAGAAATCATAAAAGAGTCAATAAGGTTAAACTGTTTAACTTTAAATATGGGATGATGATACATTTATCTCCTAAGAACTTTATCGTTATTAGGACAGTTAGAAGGATTCTACATAGAAAGAGGGTGTGGTAGCAAGTCCATTATATTGGGATGATGCAAAAAAAAAATGGATAGGTGAGAATGAGGGATGCCCTAAGAGAAGGGGAAGGGAGAGGAAAAATGGGAAAAATTATCTCACATAAAAGAGGCATGTAAAGGAGAGTTTTTACAGTGAGGGGAAAATGATGGTTGAATGGTGCGGGTAATGCTTGAAACTCACTTAAATTTAAATTGGTTCAAAAAGGGAAAATATATATACATAGTGAATTGACAATAGAAATCTATCTTATCCAGTGGGGAAGTGTGTGTGTGTGTGTGTGTGTGTGTGTGTGTGTGTGTGTGTGTGAAGGGTATAAAGAGAAAGGGGGAAGTGATAAAAGGGAGAACAGATAAAATAAGGCAGTGGTTAGAAGCAAAATAGACTTTAAAGGAGGGACAGGATAAAAAGACAGAGAAGGACAAACAGAAGAAAATAGGATAGAGGGAAATGTACCCTTAGCAATCATAACTGTGAATTAGATGAACTCACCCGTAAAATGGAAGTGGATTGCAGAATGGATTAGAAACCAGAATCCAACAATAAATTGTTTACAAGAAACCCACTTGAAATAGAGACACACACACAGAGTAAAAATAAAGGGCTGGAGCAGAATCTATTATGCTTCAGCTAAAGTACCAAAAAGCAGGGATAACAGTCGTATCTCAGAGAATGCAAAATAAAAAGCAGACCTAATAAGAAAGGGTTAGGCAGGGAAACTACATCTCGCTAAAAGGAACCATCAACAATGAAGTAATATCAACACTAAACACATGTGCATCAAAATGGCACAGCATCCAAACACTTAAAGGAAAATTTGAAGGAATTACAGGAAGGAATAGGAAATAAAAGTATCCTAGTGGATGGCCTCAAATTTTCCCTCTGACAGCTAGATAAATCTAACCATAAAATAAATAAGAAAGACATCAAGGAGATTAGAATCTTTTGAGTTAGATATGAAAGATCTCTGGAGAAGACTGAATGGAAATAGAAAGGCATATACCTTTTTCTCATCTGTATATGGCATATTCACAAAAAATGACCACATATTAGGGCATTAAAAACCTTACAACCAAATGCAGAAAATCAGAAATATTAAATGTACCATTTTCAGATCATAATTCAATAAAAATTACCTTCAATAAAGGCCCATGGAAGCATACATTAAAAACTAATTGTTTCTGAGTTGTTCTTTGATCCATTCATTCTTTAGGATTAGATTATTTAGTTTCCAATCAATGATTTCATTAAAGAGAATGACAACAATGAGACAACATTCTACAACTCATGGGATATAGCTAAAGCAGTATTTAGAGGAAAATTTGTATTTCTAAATACATACATCAGTAAAAGAGAGAAAGAGCAATCAATGAATCGGGCATGCAATTTTTAAAAAGCTAGAAAAAGAACAAATTAAATCCCCCCAATTAAACATCAAAATGGAAATCCTGAAAATCAAAGGAGAGATTAACAAGTTGCTCATGGGTAGGTCAAGCCAATATAACAAAAATGACAAATTATCTAAGTTAATTTGCTTATTCAGTGCCATACCAACCAAAGTACCAAAAATTATTTTATAGAGATAGAAAAAATAGTAACAGAATTCATCTGGAAGAACAAAAGGTCAAGAATATCAAGGGAATCGTTGAAAAAAAAAAGTTAAAGAAGGTGGCCCAGCAGTTCCAGAATTCAAACAATTACTAAGGGGTAATCATCAAAACAATTTGGTACTGGACAAGAAATAGAGTAGTGGGTCAGTGGAATAGCCTAGGTACACAATACATCATAGCAAATTACCATAGTAATTTAGTATTTGATAGACCCAAAGATCCAAGCTTTTGGGGATAAGAGCTCAACATTTGACAAAAACTGCTGGGAAAACTGGAAAGCAGTTTGACAGAAATGAGGCACAGACCAACATCTCACACTACGTACCAAGATAAGGTCAAAATGGATAAATTATTTAGACATAAAGGGGGATATCATAAGTAAAATAAGGGAGCACAGAAAAGTGTACCTGTCAGATCTGTGGATAATATGATATGGATATATGGATAGTTTATGTCCAAATAAGAGATAGAGGAAGTAAAATAGGTAATTTTGATTACATGAAATTAAAAGGCTTTCGCAAACAAAACCACTGCAATCAAAATTAGAAGGAAAACGGGAAACTGGGAAAAACTTTTGCACAAAATTTCTCTGATAAAACCTCATTTTTCAAGCATATAGAGAACTGAACCAAATTGATAAAAATAAGAGCTGATAAATGGTCAAAGGATATGAACTGGCAGCTTTCAGAAGAAATCAAGGCTCTCAATAGTCACATGGAAAAATGCTGTAAATCATTACTGACTAGAAAAATGCAAATTGAAATTCTGAGATACCACCTCACACTTATCAGATTAGCTCACATGACAGAAAAGGAAAATGACAAATGCTGGAGGGGATGTGGAAATATTGGGACACTAATGCATTGTTGGTGGACTTGTGTATTAGTCCAACCATTCTGGAGAATTTGGCACTATGCCCAAAGGGCAACTAAACTGTGCACATCCTTTGACCCAGCAATACCACTAGTAGGTCTATATCCCAAAAAAGATTAAAGAGAAGGAAAGAAAATGACCTATTTGTATAAAAATATTTGTAGCAGCTCTTTTTGTGGTGGCAAAGAATTGGAAATTGAGGGGATTATCATAGATTGGGGAATGGCTAAATAAGTTGTGGTATGTGATTGTGATGGGATACCATTATAAGAAATGACCAGCAGGATGCTTTCAGAAAGACCTGGGAAGACTTACATGAACTCGTGCAAAGTGAAGTGAGCAAAGCCAGAACATTACATAGTAATAGCAATACTGTAACAATTTTCAACTGCTCTGATTAAGACAGTAATCCAAAACTATTCCAAAGGACTCATGATGAAAAATGCTACCCACCTCCAGGGAGATACTGATGAACTCTGAATGCAGCTTGAAGCATATTTTTAGAAACTTTATTTTTATTGTTCTGTCTTTTTTTTTTTTGTAACATGCCTAATAAAAAATGTTTTGCATGACCTCACATGTGTAATCAAAAGCAAATTGTTTGCCTTCTCAAAGGGGGGGAAAGGGCAGGAGGGAGAGAGACAATTTAAAACTCAAAAATTAAAAAAAAATGAATGTTAAAATGTTTTTTATATGTGATTGGAAAATATTTAATGAAATAAATGAAAATTAGGAAAAAATCAAATTGCTTGCCTTCTCAAGGAGGGTGGAAGGACAGGAGGAAGGAAGAGAATTCAGAATTCAAAAATTAAAGAAAAAATTTGTTAAAATTTTTTATGTGTGATTGGAAAATAGTTAACATAAAAATAATTTTAATTAAAAAAATAAAAATATGATCATCAGCTAACAGTTATTTACTGAACAGCTATCATGTGCTCTGAGAAAGTAGCATTTCACCCTTCTGAGACTCAGTTTCCCCTTCTGTAATGCTCAATTCATTTTTCAGGCCCCAATTCAAATCCTATCTTCTCCAGGAAACTTTCCCTGATCACCTTAAGCTAGAAGTCTCTATTCTTTGAGCTCCTATAGCTCTTTGCTTATCCCATTCTTAACACTTAGAATATAGTCTTTTCTTAGATAGCCAGCTTGTTAACTCCTTGAGGACTGGAATTGTTTTACATGTCCTTAGTGCCATGTTTGATTCAGAATGGCATTAAGTAAATATTTACTGCGTGAATGAAGTTTATCCAAATCTGGAGATCACATTAGAGTTAGGTAAGAGATTCTATGAGAAGAAAGTTCTAAATCTTGAATTAACTCTTCCCTCTGAGCTATCGAAATCTTCTCCTATGAGAGATCTCCCTCCTTGAGGGGTTTACCTGGGCAGGAATAGTTCCATTGTTGGTAAGGATGAGAGGAAGCTTCTCTGTGTGGCCCACCAGAAGCCTCTTAAACAGGAAGAGAGGGTTTCCTTTTTGGTTACAGAGAATGGGCCGAGTAACAGTCACTCGGGGTAGGTTCCCTTCTCCAACGATATCGAATGTGAGGTTTCGGGTCTTGGAGAGGAAACTGCAGGGAGAAAAGAATCACCAGTTTGCCAGTAAGGATAGTGACATAGGGGTACCATGTCCCTGCCCCTCCCTCAGGAAAAGGACCTGGAGGAGAATTACTTAGGCAAACCATCTAAGGAGGCTTCAAAGACACACTGATAGGTCTGCATTGTCTGTGGAGTGAAAGTCACGGTGGCAAAAGCCTGGGAGCGGCTGGAAATGCACATCTTGGTGGGCTCCACTTCAAAGATGTCGGTGATGCGAGCTACAGCCTAGGGAAATAAGGCAACATGGGTATATTAGTTCCTGGGTGCACCCACACCACAACCCTATTTATGCATTTTACAGCTACAGCTGGACACTGTGGGTGTTTCTCACTGTCCCTCCTCTGTTTTTGTCCAGAGTGCTCCTTGTGGATGGAATACCTTCCACTCTCTATTTGTTTGTTGAGTTCTTACTTATCTTTTAAAGTCCAATCCAAACGCCCCTTCTCCAAGAAGCCTTCCCAAATGCCCTGAGTCAGTAATGATTTTTTTCTGCTCAGACCTCACAAGCATCTCGTTTGCATTTTCTCTTCATGTTCTTATCATGATCTTTGCTAAATTAAAATTCTCCCAAGTCCTGGTATCTTTTCTCTTTCCCCCTCCCTCTTTGATCTTAATTATTGGAAAGAAGAAAATGGTGCCCACCTGAAGTGTGCATAGCAATGGTGACAATGGAAAGTGGGGGCTGGGAGGACTGCTGGAAAACTCTGGAGGTTTTGCCTTTATTTTGTAAGAAGGAGCTAGCCTCTGATGAACTGAGCACTGTAGAACCTTGTCTTTTCTTTGTTAGGAAAAAATGGTAGGGAGATGGAGAGGGAGGGAGGGAGAGAAAGCCTCAGTCCTCATACTCCTCACCACCCCCACCTTGGTCAGTGAGGTAGAAAAGGACAAAGAACTTGGCAGAGAAGTCATAACAATTCTAAGGGATTTTGGTAATGTGCATACATCTTTAGAACCAGTGGTCATTCATCCAAAACTCTCCTTTGAGTCTTTCTCCTTTTGGCATACTTTTTTCTTTCTGTAACACTGTGAACTATATAGATAGGGAGTATGTTTTGGATACTGGGGAATAGCATATCTGCAGAAACTCCTCAGCTTTCCTGTGTAGGGGTTTTATGACCCAAGACCAATGAGAAAACATCTTCCCAAATGTTCTTGGGCTACTCATATCATGAGACCTGCTAAGATTACATAGTTATGTAGGTCTGTGTCCTATCTTCTTCCTTGTCAGGGAGCCAGCTCCTTAAGGGTGGGGAATGTGCCTTATTTTATCATTTTTATCCTCAGCATGTACTGAAGTGCTCTGCACACAGCAGACACTCAATAAATGCCTAAATTGAAATCCTTTCCTATTCTTCCTTTTTAGGAACCCTTGCCCACTTTCATTTACATAGGTGTCAAGAAGCGACAGACCACATTTACAGCCACTCAACAGGGAAGGATCGTGACTCATCACTCCAGTGATAAAACTAGTGGATGCGGCTATCTATACCCAAAGGAGGGGGGGCAGCCCCCTCAACAAGCAGGTACCAGCATGGGTGATCATCTCTACCTACGGAAATCCTTCTTTGGCTTCAAGGCTCCCCTTGGGTACCACTTCTTCCATGAAGCCTTCTTCGCACCCAGTTTTGTTCCTCAGTAAAAGATGATTTCCCCCTCCTTAGCTTTTTCTCGAGTGCCTTGTCGGTATCTTTTCTTCCCCTCTCCCCCTCTACCTGGTCTCATGCTTATTGCCATCTGCACTGTGATTTGAGGGTAAGCACCTTCAGGACTCCACCTGTACCATGTTTTGATCTTTGTACTTTTAGTGCTTATTCCAATGTCTGAACTACTACAGGTGCATGACAAATGTCTGTGGAACAAATGGATGCATACTACCAGGTTTGTTCACGTCATGTAGCTCTAGCTTTCTCCTGAGCTATCGCCTGGCTACTGTGGACCAGTAACTTCCTCTTACCCTGGTGGAAATAGGCTTGACGGAGACATTGACGTCACAGGGAATCTTTCCCACGTTACTGATCTTGAATCGAGCTCTGGCTTGGTGTCCCACCAGGACGTTACGGAATACAAATTTGTTCTCATCCTCCAAGAACACCCCTCTACCTTCTGTGGTTTGCAGAGCCTGGTGCAGGTTGATATTGTTACATACTAGATGCTCTTCGAAAATGGAGGCCATGTCATCTATCACGAAAGCTAGGAAACAGAGAGGAGAGGAAGAGAAAGGTGAAGCAACCAGACAGTTCTTTTAAACACTTAGGACTGAATTCAAATGCAAGCAAATCCTAGTAAGGGTAGGGAAACCAGGTGAGGTTACATCTCCTTAGGAGATCAGAATCCTTGGTCACTGACTCCCAGATAATCCTGCTACTACCAGATAAAACTGCCCATTTGAACAGAGACCCCCGTTAGTGAGGGTGTTTTTAACAGTGCTTATATTCTGCAGGTGTGCTTTATAAATAACAAATGCAAACCTGGAAAGGAAAAACAGCTGAACATACTCTCTTGCATGAGCAAGCTGCCAAGGGATGTAGCATAAACCTTGTTTTAGAGAGACCCCAGACACTTCTATAGGCATTTGCTTGTTGAGAAGTGATTTTTAAGGCAAAGATCTTGGTTTCCAATACCTGGCAAACAGGCTTCAGCTGCCAACACGTATTGAATGCCTCCGGGCTGGTCTCTTGGATCTCTGTCTGAGATCTCAATGGCCAGAAACTCCTCACATCGTCCAATTGGGTCAGCAAAACAATCTACCGTGATTATCTGCTGCCCTCCCGGAGGGATGGATCCAAATCCAGGGTATATGGTGAACATGTTGAGGGTGAAACGAGCCTGCAGGAAGAATCTGAGAAATGACCACTTGCTCTTCTCTCACAGACACCCCCATCTGCCCATTTTCACTTTTCTCGAAGGCAGCTGGTGTCACGGTGGATGAAGCACTGGGCCTAGTGTCAGGGAGACCTCAGTGACTTTAAACACTTACTGTGTGCAAGTCACTTCACTGCTGTTTGTCTCATTTTCCTCAACCATAAAATAGGGGCTATAATATCAAGCAGGATTTTTGTGAAGATCAAATGACATATTTTTAAAAAGCACTTAGCACGATGTCTGGCACATACTAGGCACTCTGTAAAAGCTCATTCCTTTCCCTTCTTTCCCCTTTCTTTACTTCTTTGAAGCTTTGTGCCCTGGCAATACTACATTTGGAAGGAGTCCATTAGAAAGCCTTTTCCAGCGTCACACAAAAACTCTGGCAGGTGCCAATCAATTGGTATTTATTAAGCACTTATTACGTGCCAGGCACTGCGCTAAGTAGTGGGGATACAAGAAGAGGCAGAAGATAGTCCTGACCACAGGGAGCTCACAGTCTAATGGGAGAGACAACAGGCAAAGAGATGCAGCCACCAAGCTGGAAGCATAGGCCTTGGGATGGGAGGTTGTCCATGGACCAGCAGGGAGATGTATGACCAGAGAGTGGGCTAACGAATTCTAATTGGGTAGTTCAAATGACCTATTAGGCAAACCAGGTAATAATCCTGAAGACTGCCCGGAGAGATCAATCGGTTAAGAGCTGCATCAGTAGAGGGAATATTGGCTCCGGTGGAACCATTTGAATTGTTCAAGTATATCTCAGCGGTACAAGCTTACCTAATTGCCAAACGTTCCTATTAGACTCACAGAGCCCAAGCCCCGTGGACAATGCTAGGTTCCTGAAGTCTGGACGTGTGTATACTTTACCTTGAATTAGACCTACTTTACCCTGGCCTGAGGAGGGTCAATGTATACAGTAGGAAAAACTTCCGAAGAGGTAAGATTTGGGGGGAAAAGTGGGGAGCATAATATTTGTGAATAAAGTGGTGGGCATTTGTGGAAGAGGGAAGAGAAATGCTTATAGCCACAGGGTGATAGTGGGAAGTGTTTACCCAATAAAGAGTTCTGGTAGTGGCAATTTAAGTGAAAAGCTGCCAATATTCGAATCCACTTCAAATGAAAAGTTGCCACTATTCTAGTCCATTAATATGCCAATATAATTCTTTGGAGATTCTACCATTTTAACGTCTGGTCTGGCTGGCTGGGATGCTATCCTAGAGAAGGAGGGAGCTAGTCGAGAGGGCTATGTGGAATGTGATTCTAGGGGCAGGCTAATCATGGAAAAGGGGAATGAATTACTCACTTGGTTCATTGTGCTGGTGTCTTTTTGGATTGATTCAGTGCCTTTGGGTGTTCTGGTAGCAGAGAACTTGTAGGAGCTGATGTTTTCCTTAGATCGCACATGCTTAGCATTATGCAATGCTCCTCTGAGGAAAGAAGAACACGTGTATTTATCCATCGGTCACCAAGCAGAAATTATGTGCCAGGTGCTGTGCTAAGTGCATACCACTGGATGCAGTGACACTGGGGCTATCTCATAGCTCATAATGAACATCCTCCTAGGAACGGGCACAATTTGCTCTGTCCAAATAGGAACAAAAAGGCTGACATATTTAATTCTTTAATTATTGATTAGCCAATTTTGACTAGATATTGCAAAACTTTGCAGTAGTTACTTTAATTAAATGGGATTTTGATGAAAAAAGGCAGCATTGGTAGAATGGAAAAATTCTGCTGCTTACTTCCTGTGTGACCTTGGACAAGTCTCTTTCCCTCTTTTGGCCTCAGTTAACTCACTAAAAAAAATAGAGGGATGGAATAGATGATTTCTAAGACCCCTTTCAACTATAAAGTCTTTTATTAATATATAAGGTGCAGGCTAATGCAAGACAGGGGCAGCTAGGTGGCGCCATAGCGAATAGAGCACTGGACCTAGAGTCCGGAAGACCTGAGTTCAAATCCAACCTCAGACACTAGCTGTGTGACCCTGGGCAAGTCACGGAACCCTGTTTGCCACAGTGTCCTCATCTATAAAATGATCTGGAGAAGGAAAATAAAAAAGCATTCCAGTATCTCTGCCAAGAAAATTCCTCCAAAAAGGGGTCATGAAGAGTTGGACATGACTGAAACAAATAAACAACTACAATCTGTTAGAGTTATTGTTTCAATGAAGCCTTGCTGTGGGCAGAAGGGGCTAAATTAGCTGTTTTGCTGACCTAGCTTTTTGGGAAACTACTAGCACCTGGAAGACCTGAATTGATGACCATACTAAAAAATAGTTGGGGGTCTATTGCCTTCTCAATTCTGTATTTCTTTGCTCCTTTTTCTTTCTTTTTTTTTATTAATTTATTTTGATTGTTCAACAATCACTTCTATAAGTTTTTGAGTTTTAAATTTTTCTCCCCCTCCCTCCCCAAGATGGCGAGCAATCTGATATAGGCTATACATATACATTCCTATTAATCATATTTTCACATTAGTCATGTTGTAAGGAAGAATGAGAACCAATAGAAGGAACCACCAGAAAGAGGAAACAAAACAAAACAGAAGAAAAAAAGAGCAAATAGTATGTTTCAATCTGCATCCAGTTCTTTCTTTGGATATGGATAGTATTTTCCATCATGAGACTTTTGGAGATATCTTAGATCCTTGCATTGCTGAGAAGGGTTAAGTGTATCAATACTAGTCATCGCACAACATGGATGTTACTGTGTACAACATTCTCCTGATTCTGCTCGCTTCACTCAGCATCAGTCCATATAAGATTTTTCAGGTTTTTCTGAGGTCTGCCTGCTCATCATTTCTTACAGCACAATAGTATTCCATTACATTCACATACCACAACTTGTTCAGCCATTGCCCCGTTGAGGGGCATCCTCTCAATTTCCAGTTCTTTGCCACTGCAAAAAGAGCTGCTATAAATATTTTTGTATATGTGGATCCTTTTCCCATTTGTATGATTTCTTTGGGATACAGCCCTAGAAGTGGTATTGCTGGGTCAAAGCATATGCACATTTTTATAGCCCTTTGGGCAGAGTTCCAAATTGCTCTCCAAAATGGTTGGATCATTTCACAACTCCACCAACAATGCATTTGTGTTCCAATTTTCCCACATCTTCTCCAACATTTATCATTTTCCTGTTTTATCTATCATGTTGGCCAATCTGATAGGTGTGATGTGGTACCCCAGAGTCTTTTTGATTTGCATTTCTCTAATCAATAGTTATTTAGAGCATTTTTTCATATGACTATAGATGGCTTTAATTTCTTCATCTGAGAACTGCCTGTTCATATCCTTGGATCATTTATCAATTGGGGAATGACTTGTATTCTTATTAATTTGACTTTTTAGAAATGAGGCCCTGATCAGAGACACTGATTGTAAAAATTCTTTCCCAGTTTTCTGTTTCCCTCCTAATCTTGGTTGCATTGGCTTTGTTTGTGCAAAAACTTTTCAATTTAATGTAATCAAAATTATCTATTTTACATTTCATAATGTTTTCTGTCTCCTATTTGGTCATGAATTCTTCTGTTCTCCATAAATCTGATAGGTAAACTATTCATTGCTCTCTCCAGTTTGCTTATAGTATCAGTCTTTATATGTAAATCATGAACCCATTTTGATTTTATTGTGGTATATGGTATGAGATTTCGGTCTGTGCCTAGTTTCTGCCATACTCTTTTCCAGTTTTCCCAGCAGTTTTTGCCAAATAGTGAGCTCTTTTTTTTTTTTTTGAAAAAATAAGTACATATTTCATCTTCACCCTTCTAGGAACCCAAAGATCAGGGGTTAGGCTTCTCAATGCTTTGATCCTGGTATAAATCTCATACTCCCAACACAAATACTAGAAAAGAATTGGGGGGTGGGGTGGAGAAGTGATTCAAGAAGGCCAATTTTAGGCTAGAAGTTAGGTGCCCCATCCCCTTTCATCATTAACTGGTTCTCCTGCTGTCCCCTTGCTCAGGGGAGACCTGAAGAAACAGAGGTTTGAAGGTTCTGTTAAAAAAAAAAGGAGTCAGGGATATTGGCATTACAATGAAGACCAGGGCCCAGAAACAGAGGAAGAGGAGGCATGATGTCCTCTCTTCCTTATTCCAAAATGTATCCTTGTTTTCACCCTAGTATGGTATTGGGAGGAGGATCTGGAAAGGCACCTGGGGGAGGTCAGGACTTCAGCTGATTGGTGCATACTCTGAGTAGAGCCTATGTCATAGTAGCAGAAGGCAGGGGCCGCCTCCTACCAGCAGAAGCGCAGGGGCCCCTACAACCACTACCACGATTCCTAGAACCAGAGGTGAGAAGGAATCCACTGGGGGGATTCCCATGCCCAAGACAGCAGACCAACTAAGGTAGTGCTGGTCCTCATAGGCAGGAGCAGTAGAGTCTCCAAATGTCTGGTTGAAGGTGCAGAAGTTAACGGAGGAGCCAAAGAAAGCTCTGACAACAGGTGATTGGGGAAGTAGGGTAGCCAAGGTGGGACCAGGAGGGGATACTTGGCAGGGTGTTTTCCAATCTGGTTGCTTCTGTGAGAAAGCTACTGGCTGCCACTGTAAGAAGCCTTCTGGTGAGGAACGCCACAGCAGCTGATCCAGCTGGAAGCTTTCATCATCAATGGATTTCTGCTCCTTCAGCTGGGGACACTCAGAATCCAAAACTGGAGTTGCCATCTCCAGCCCGAAAAGGGAGTGGTTGCCTTGTGGGACAGAACCAGTTCTAGCTGGGAGGTATCCGCCGTATTTAAGAGTCGAGGGAGATGGGCTGGACTACCAGAACCAGAATCTTGAAAGCCAGGCTGCCATTGCTGAAGGCCCCCAAGGGATCCTTTGAAGGACGACCTTGGAATGTGGCACTCAGAAGGACACCCGGTGGGTCTGGTCCCCGAGCAAGCCGGCGGGGGCTTGGAGCAGCAGCAGGTACTGGAGGAGGAGCAGAGAGCGGCAGCGGGCAGGGACCCCCCGGGCCGGGGAGCGCTCCCAGAGCACGCCTCCGCAGCCCCACAGCCCTAGCTGCTGCTCAGAGCTTGGCCGAAGTTCGGGTCATGTGTCCAAATAGTGAGTTCTTACCCCAGAAGCTGGTATCTTCAGGTTTATCAAATAGTAGATCACTATAGTCATTGACTACTGTGTCTTGTGTACCTAACCTATTCCACTGATCCACCACTCCATTTCTTAGCCAGTACCAAGTAGTTTTGATGATTGCTGCTTTATGATACAATTTTAGTATGGAATGGATAGGCCAGCTTCCCTTGTATTTCTTTTCATTAGTTCCCTTGATATTCTGGACCTTTTGTTATTCCAAGTGAATCTTGTTATTATTTTTTCTAGTTCTATAAAATAATTTTTTGGTAGTTTAATCCTTTTTTTTTTTTTTTTAAAGAAGCAACTGGGGTGATTTCTTGGTACCTAGGAGACCATAGAGAGGTAGGGGGTTACTTGGTTACTAATATAACTTGCATCATTCTAGAAGAAACAAACAGAATAGGATCAATAATCCTAGAACAGCCTAAAACCATATGCATTGGCTAACCTAGAATTTTTTGATATGCTAGTTTGACAGTGCAGAATGAGAGGAGTTAAACTTCTGGGGAGGGGAAGGTATCAAGCAAATGTTTCTTTCTTACATTTTCCGTGTTTGAAGTAGAGGAGCATCCCTATTCAGCCTGCCGATGTTGAATCTGAAGTCCAGGGCACCTTGGTTTTCAATGATGAAGGTAGAAGTTTTACGGCTGCCACAAACCATGGCTCCAAAGTTGATGATGGCAGCAGGGCTGATGCCATATTTGGAGTATACTGCATTCACCGAGAATTTAATTGGAATGCTGGCAATGATTTCACCTCCGCCTATGCTGTTGGGTTCAATAATCTAAAAGGACAAGGAGAGTTAGGAGTGGTGAGGAAAATGTTAGCCCATGTCTAAATCTGGAGAATCTCTTGAGAGGCAAGAGGGTCTAGTGGAAAAAGCGACAGACTTAGATTCAGAAGACCTAGGTTTACTTCCAATCCAAATTCTTCCTCCTACTAGCTCTAGGCAAGTTTATTAACCTCTTTGGGCCTTGGTTTTTCTTTTTATACCTTTCTAGGAGCCAACTGGTCAAGTAGGTGGCACAGTGGATAGAGCACCAGGCCTGGAATCAGGACTTATCTTCCTGAGTTCAAATATGGCTTGAGATACTTATTAGCTGTATGACCCTGAGCAAGTCACTTCACCTTGTTTGCCTCAGTTTCCTCATCTGCAAATTGAACTGGGGAAGGAAATGGCAAACCACTCCAGTATCTTTGCCAAGAAAACCCTAAATGGGGTCACGGAGAGTTAGACACAACTGAAATGACTCAATAGCAAAGGAGACAAGTTCTAGAAAAAGGTGTTAGTACTCATTGTCTCTACTTCTTCTCCTCTCACTCAATTATCTCTTAAAATATTTATTTTTAAAAGCATATATTATTTCTCCCTTTCATTTCTCTTCCCCAAATGAATAAAAAAACCACTCGTAACAAATATGCGCAGTCCAATAAAACAAATTGCCATTTTCTACGTTCAATGTAAGAGACATGTATGTCTCAGTTTGTATTTTAGGTCCAACACTTTGCTGGCAGGAGGCGGGTGGCATGTTTCATCTTTAGTTCCCCGGACTCTTGGTTTATCGTTGCATTGATCAGAATTCTAGTGTCTTTCAAAATTTTTCTTTAACATGTTGTTGTTAGAGAGGCCACTAGGTGGTGCCATGGTGCACAGAGTGCTGGGCCTGGAGTCAGGAAGACCTCAGTTGTAATCCAGCCTCAGATGCTAGCTGTGTGACCCTGGGCAGGTCAATCAATCTCTGTATGCCTCGGTTTCCTCATCTGTAAAGTAGGGATAATAACAGTACCTACTTCTCAAGGTTGTTGTGAGGATAAAATGAGTTAATATTTGTGAAGTAACCTTAAGCACTATGTAAATGCTTCTTCTTCTTCTTCTTCTTCTTCTTCTTCTTCTTCTTCTTCTTCTTCTTCTTCTTCTTCTTCTTCTTCTTCTTCTAGAAATTGTTCTCCTGGTTCTGTTTGCTTCACTCTGCATCAGTTCATAGAAATCTTTCCAGTTTCCTTTGAAATTGTCAACTTTGTCACTTCTTATGTCACAATAATATTCCATTATAGTCACACACCCTGATTTGTTTAGCTATTCACCAGTAGGGGAGCACCTCCTTAATTTCTGCCTTTGCAGCTACAAAAAGAGCTGCTGCACATATTTTTATATTCATGTTCTTTTCCTTTTCCTTTGATCCCTTTGGAGACATAGGTCTAGTTGGGGTATCGCTGGGTCAAAGCGCATATGCAGTTTTGTAGCTTTTTGGGTATGGCCCCATGTTACTTTCCAGAATGGCTGGACCAGTTAGTTCCCAGCTCCACCAATGGTGCATTTATGGTCTCAACTCATTTCTCAACCCCTTGCCATATGACTTTGGATCTCTATATTCAACTGAAATTGCTCCTTCCAAAGTTAGCAGCGGCCTTTTAACTGCCAAATCTGATGGCCTTTGCTCAATATTCATGCTTCTTGCTCTGTCTGAAACGTCTGATGGTGTTGATCACCCTCTCTCTTTGGCTATTTTTCCTCTCTGGATTTTCATGACCCTGCTCCTTTGGTTGCCCACATCTCTGATCAGTCCTTATCTCCTTTGCTGGACCATCACCCATGTCTCAAGGCTCTGTCCTGGGTTCTCTTCTGTTCTAGCTCTAAACTCTCTCTCAATGATCTCATCAACTCCCATGTATTTAATTATTATATCTATCATATGAATTAGATATCCATCCCAAGTCTCTCTCCTGAGCTCCTGTCTTCCAGCATCAACTGGTTTTTGGACGTTTGGAATTAAGTATCATACTGGTGTCTCAAACTCAATATGTTTGAAACAGAATTCATTACTTTTTGCCCCAAACCCGGTCTTCTTCTAAAATTTGCTATTACTATTGAGGGTACTTTTATGTTACCAGTGACCCATGTTCACAACCTTGGAATTATTTTCTACTCCTTACTCCCCTGTCCTCTCTACGCCCCACCCCATAACTGAGTGCCAGTTGTATTTTTCTCCTTCTGTACTATTTCTCATCTCTAGTCCCCTTCACCCCACTTGCATGGTCCCTACCCTCATTCTCTCTCTTGGACTACTGCAGCAGCTTCTGTTTGACCTCCAACATTATCCGGTCTCTTACCTCTCCTACCTTTCTTCCACACAGCTGCCAAACTGATATTCCTACAGGATGGCTCTGCCCACCTCTCTCCCTTCCTCCATTAATTCCAGGGGCTCCCTGCTATCTGTGGGAGTCTCTATAGCTCGGCTCTAACCTCTCTCTGCAGGTTCTTTGGGCCACCTAAACTGGTCTTCTCGCTGTTCTTCTCCCATGGCTTTCCCTCTTCTGTCTGTGGGCTTTTTCATTGACTGTCACTAAGCCTGCAAAGTACTCCTCCTTCTCATCCCCACCTCTTGGAATCCCTAGCATCTTTCAAAGCCCAGTTCAAATGCTATCTGTTACATGAAGCGGTTTCATCCTAATCCCAGCTGATAATGCTTCCTCTGGAAATTTACCTTTGGATTTTTGTATATCTTATGCATATCCCTGTCTTCCCCTGCTCAGAAGAAGGGGCTATTTCATTTTTGTCTCTGAATTCCCAATTTCTAGCATGATGCCCAAAATATTGTGTTGCTTAATAAATTCTTGTTGCTGTGTCAGTATGCCACAATAGGGGGGTTGGTCCCCCCCGGATAATAACTTACAAGGTACATTCTATCTATCTATCTATCTATCTATCTATCTATCTATCTATCTATCTATTTATTGCTAGGCAATGGGGTTAAGTGACTTGCCCAGGGTCACACAGCTAGTAAGCATCAAGTGTCTGAGGTCAGATTTGAACTCAGGTGAACTCAGGTCCTTCTGACCCTATGGCCAGTGCTCTATCCATTGTACCACCTGGCTGCCCCCACAAGGTACATTTTAAGAGGGAATTATTCATGCATAGGTTGGGCTAGAAGGCTTCAGAGACTCCTTCTGACTCTGATATTCTATGAGAAAATGGCATCAGCCCCCAGATCTTGTAACTCTATACCCAGATGGCCCCAGAGGACCCTTTTGACTGAAAAACAAATCAGTGATCCTGGGTTATAGAGGTGAACACATCAGTCACCTTTCAACCCTTGATTTCAACCCTCTGCCAATATTCACTTTATGTAAGTTCAGACTTGATGGAGGGATCTTCCTCTAGGAAGACCTCCCAAGAAAGACCTCCTGACAACAGTCCAAAGAGCAGGACCAGCTTCCGACTGTCTCACCTGACAGCGAATGATGGGCTTGTTCTCAATTTTCACTTCTCTTTTTGAACGGAAGATCACTTGGATGTTGGTGGGGCGGTCAGTTGTGGTCAGTGATCCTTTCTTGGGTTGGGTAGAGAGGATGGAGTTCACATTGGGTAGGTGAGGTGCCAGGGGCTCCAGGGAAAAGCTGAAGGACAGAGGCAGAAATCAGCTAGACATTCAAAGACAGCTGAATTATTATTTACAATTATAAGGACCAGGGCAGCGAGGTGGTATAGTGGATAGAGCACCAGCCCGAGTTGTGAAGACCTGAGTTCAAATCCTGTCTCAGACACTTAGGATGAATGACCCTGGGCAAGTCACCAATCGCCCCCCAAAATTAATAATTACAAGGACCATTAGGGAATAGCTGATGGTGAAACATTCTTCTTCTTGGCAGAGAGGTTGGGGGTCAGGGGAGAACTACAGAGGCCCAGTGCTGCATACTCTGATAAACATAATTACTGTATTGAGTGGTTTGGTGTGATTGTTTTTTTCTATTAGCAGGAGTGAACAAATGTATCAGGAAATAATTGTGGTATAAAAAGAAAACAAAAGGTATCAGAAAAAACTTTAAAAACAGAGCAAACTACTTTGGGGTTGATCTGTTCAGTTGTGTAATTCATTATTAAGGTATCAATAATAAAGAAAAATAACATTCAGGAACAAGCAAATTAGGGGTGGTGGTGGGATATGATGAGAAAAGACAGAAGATTTGTTTTTAAATCCTGTCTTCTGAAGTTACTGCCTTCTGATTTTGGACAGGTCATCATCTCCCCGGGCCAAGTTTCTTTATAAGTTAATGAGAGACCTGAATGAAGTGTCCTCTGAGATCCTTTTTAGATCTAGACCTTCTGAGGTAGCTATGTGGTGAAGCAGATAGACTGCTGGACCTGGAATAAGGAAAAGCATCACTGGGCAAGTCACTTAACCTCTTCTGCCTCAGTTTCCTCATCTGTAAAATGGGGATAATCACAGCACCTCCCTCCTAGGGTTGTTATGAAGAACAAAGGAGATAATATTTGTGAGGTGCTTTTGTCAACCTTAAAGCTCTATCTAAATGCCAGCTGTTATTGTGAGATCTATGATCTCCTTCAAGTTTCAGTTCTGGCACTAATTCTGCTGTGACAAGAGTCAATTTCTAAGTCATCAAAACTTTGTTGAATTTTCAACATTTTTTTTGTAAATGATTTTATTTATAGTGTCTATAAAACATAATTCAGCATGAAAATTCATGTGTTTTTAAATGTACATAGCTTTTTACTTTTTAAAAATCAATTAATTTTAGTTTTCAACATTCACTTCCATAAGCTTTTGAGTTTTAAATTTTCTTCCCCTCCCTTCCCAAGATAGCACATAATCTGATGTAGGCTCTACGTATACGTTCATATTAAACGTATTTTCACATTAGTCATGTTGTAAAGAGAATTAGAAGCAATAGCAGGAACCGCAAGAAAGAAGAAACAAAACAAAACAGAAGGAAAAAAAATAGCAAATAGTATGTGTCAATCTGCATTCAGACTCCATAGTTCTTTTTCTGGATATGAATAACATTTTCCATCATGGACTTTTGGAGATGTCTTAGATCCTTGTGTTGCTGAGAAGAGTCAAGTCTATCAAAGTTAGTCATCACACAATGTGGCTGTTACTGTGTACAACGTTCTCTTGGTTCTGCTCACTTCACTCAGCATCAGTCCATACAAGTCTTTCCAGGTTTTTCTGAAGTCTGCCTGCTCATCATTTCTTATAGCATAATAGTATTCCATTACATTCACATACCACAAGTTATTCAGCCATTCCCTAATTGATGGGCATCCCCTTAATTTCTAATTCTTTGCCACCACAGAAAGAGCTGCTATGAATATTTTTGTACATGTGGGTCCTTTTCCCATTTGTATGATCTCTTTGGGATACAGCCCTAGAAGTGCTATTGCTGGGTCAAAGGGTATGCACATTTTTTATATAGCCCTTTGGGCAGAGTTCCAAATTGCTCTCCAAAATGGTTGGATCATTTCACAACTCCACCAACAATGCATTAGTGTTCTATTTTCCCACATCTTCTCCAACCTTTGTCATTTTCCTGTTGTGTCATGTTGGCCAATCTGATAGGTGTGCTGTGGTACCTCAGAGTTGTTTTGATTTGCATTTCTCTAATCAATAGTGATTTGGAACATTTTTTCATATGAATATATACAGCCCTAACCCTAACCCTGTTCATATCATTTGACCATTTATCAATTGGGAAATGGCTTTTATTCTTATAAATTTGACTTAGTTCTCTGAGTTTTCAACATTTAAATCATGGTGGTTGAAGACTGGTTTCTATTCAAACCTTGGTGCCATCTCATTCACTATAGTAGAACACTGGAGGTACAGCCCAGTCCTGGTTTGTTTAAATAATGAATTCCCCTGAAGTGGTTGCATGTAATCATATTTGTGTTATTTGAAGTTATAATGATATAAAATAAGATAACTGGCTCCTGCTGAATGGAAATATTCTGTGCAAATTCAAGTAATTCAACCACTTTAAGGGGTTCATTATTTGCACTAATGGAGACCTACCTATAAAGTGATTTGAGGTCATAGAGAAAATCCTTCTTGCATTTTCTGGATTATTTTAGTATTCTAAGGACTATAACCCTATACTTGTAATGCTGTCCTTGTCCCACATGCTCTGCCAGAGGCAGAATGTTAGAAACAAATAAACAAACCCAAACCTCCAACTTGATTACTCAAACATTACCTGAAGGCAATTTCATATTTTCCTTTGTTCTTCAAGGCCAGAAACTGCTTAGCTTCTTCCATCACTCGAACAACCCCCAAATCTAAGGCTCCTTCATTCCCTGCAGAGGGTCAGGTATGCAGGGTAGAGGGGGTGAGGGGAGAGAGATGGAGGGAGAGAGACAGAGACAGAGACACAGAGAGAGACCAAGAGAGGGAAACAGATATACATGTATACATACAGATACACATATATACATATACATATACATATGGAGAGAGAGAGAGAGAGAGAGAGAGAGAGAGAGAGAGAGAGAGAGAGAGAGAGAGAGAGAGAGAGAGAGAGAGAGAGAGAGAAGGGGGAGGGAGAGGGAAAGAGGGAAGGAGGAGAGACAGTTTAAATACTCTGGTTAAAGTATTGAGTTGATAAATGATGACTACAAATCAAATTCAGATTCCAAGATTTGCTTTCTGAGGTGACACCCTAGAATATTTCTAGAAGATGCTTTAGGGGCAAAACCTCAATCTTTTCCTAGCTCTTTTCTGAATCTGCAGTGTATCTATCCACTTTCATGGTTTCCCCTGAGTTCAGGGGATGATTTCTGCACTTTTTAAATCCCAAGACTTTAATTCCTTTGGGCCTATCAATATTAATGACACGAAACATGGCTGGAGGAGAGAAGAAGAATAGTGTTTCCTTTGATTTGCCCAGGAAGGCAGAGCTGCTAAGAAGAAGGTGGGGGGAGACTGGGGGGGGAATGAAAGGCTAATGAAGGTCTTCGTGCTAAGAGGAGAGGGAGCTTAAAAAGATTGAGAAGGCAGTTGCTATCAAATAATTGTTCAGAGGAGAACTCTGAAGATTTGGTTTCCGTGACCATGACACTGTGACCTCAAGCTGGAGAAACGGATCCACAGATGTGCGGGGCTCGGGATAATATCTTCTAATGGATGTGCTTCTGACATTGCTATTTTAGAAATACTGTTTAATATCCAGAGAACTGTGGTTGTGATCGTCATGTACATATCTATGTATTAGGAGGAATTGGTTGGGGTGGGGGGGTCCAGACCTCTGTGTCTGAGTGGAGGGCAGTGATTGCTGATGGTGAGCCTGGTTTTGGAAGTGTGCGATGGTGTGCGATGGTCATTATGACCCCCACATAGTCTGGCAGCAGGCAGAGACCCGAGCCTCTGCTCTGAGGACTGACCCCCATTAGATAGATAGTCTCCCCAACAAGATGATATATGAAAAATCAAAACACAAGTCCTGGATTTGTTATAAAATAGCCTCGGCTTAAAGGAGCAAACAGACCTTTGGGGAAAGTGATGTCCAACGCAATGTCATATGATTCTGCAAAGATCTGGATGTTTTCAATCTGAACAACTCCAAGGAGATAGTCGGCATCTAAAACCTGACACAGAAAGAAAAACTCCTTTGCTAAGGGCTAATTCATGGCTAACCACCCTTCCCTGGTATTACCAGCGTTGCCTCCCCATCTCTTGCATCCTAATATGGTGCTGAGTGCCAAACTCAATCTAATCCTCCTTAGAAACTCTCCTGAGCAAGGAGAAATCAGAACAGTGGGGCTCTTGGGTGATGGACTTCTTCATTCCCCTAAAGCCATTCTACCTGAGGGGGACTGCCTGCTCAAGACTGGGCATATTGACCCAAGGCTGAAACAAAAAAGGAAAAGGGCTGGTTTTCAATTTCTCAGGTGAAAGATTCAGAGAAATAGCAGGGATCAATAAAATTCACAGAGAGATAAAGTCATATTGAAGTTAATAATTTCAATATTTCCTTTTATAAAATATTAAACAGCTACAAAGTACAGAAAAATTGAGTGATTTGTATTTTTAGAATAATAGCTTCATTGAGTTGGAAGGGCAGTCAGAGGTCATTTAATTCTACTCCCATGCTTTCATGACTGCCCTTGATAACATCCCTGGCAGCAGAGGTCATCCAGCATCTGCTTGACCGTTAACAGTAACATCTTCTGGAAGTGGTCTATTGCAGCGCTTCTTAAACTGTGGGTTATGACCCCATATAGGGTCATGAAAAAATTGGCAACAATAAAAGGTTTCTGAATGCACAGTGACCAACAATTAATTAAAAATCAAATGTGTAATGAGTCCGAGGTGTTTCTGGCAGCGCTTGCCCGGGTTGTGTCATGTGACTACCCTGAAGCCTTGGTTCTGAACACAAAGCATGTGCACTTTGTACTGTGCATACCATCATGCCATGCAACACCAATGAATGCTTCCAAAACGTGAAAAGGGGGTGTGAGTGGAACAAGTTTAAGAAGCCCTGGTCTTTTGAATTGTTGGATGGAATTACTTGTTGGCAAGCTTTTCCTTATAATGAACTGAAGTCTGTCTCCTGGCTGTTTCTACCAATTGGTTGTAATTCAACCTTCTTAAGCTACCTAGAGAAAAATACAACCTCTCTTCCGTATGACATATTTCCCATATTTGGACACAGTGATCAAGCCCTCCTACATTTTCTCTGTTGTGGACTAAACATCCCAAGCTTCCTGAACTCTGATGTTAGTAAATAGTCCATTGCTGGACCAGACCAGTTGTGTTGGACTCTAGGTTCAATGGGAATTTCTTTTGTGGGCGTGTGTGTGTGTGTGTGTGTGTGTGTGTGTGTGTCCGTGTGTGGTTGGGAAGAGCTTTTATTCCTTTCTCTTCTCCACTCCACCACAATGATTTGAGAGAGACCAGTAGAAGACAAGGCATCTGGATGAGAATGGACAAACATAGCGCAGGCAAGTAGATGCCCACCCAAGAAAAAAGAGACTATACCTGGGAGCAGAGAGAGATATGGAGGGGACAAACACAGACAAGGAAGGATAGCCACCCATGGGAGGAAGCAGCTGTAGTGAGGGTGACCTCCTGGACCAGAGAAGAATGCCAACTATGGACTCGAGAAAGGACTTCCAGGTATGATGAGTTGTGATTTTACCCTTTGGCCCCACGTGTGCCTCAATATCATTACATTTCAAATGTAAGCCCATTTATCCCCGTGGACTCTGTGCATACTTGTGGGGGGCTGTGACCAGTATTTGGAGGAAGGATGATTTTTGCCAACTGTTCTTAACATACTTTCTAAGTAAATTCTCTTTTCTGAAAGTGAATTAAAATGTGATTTAAATGGAAAGCGTATTGGTGGAGGCTTGTGAGCAATGGTCCAAGAAACCAGGGCTTCTAACTAAGGTTACTCCTAGGACTCTCAGAGGAAAAGTAATCAGCCTTCTCATGGGGACCCCAACTATTAAGTGAGACAGGCTAGTTGGAGGAGTGGCCCCAGAGAGGGCACTGCATTTTTTAACCTTTTCAGGTTTACAAAACACTTTCTTTACAATACCGCATGTGGTAGATAATACACACATTAAGTGTCAGAGAGAGCATTCAAACCTAGGTCTCCCCTCACGTCAGCTCAGACACCCTAGATACCACATCACACTGCCTTGAGATTGGGTAGAGGCATATACCATAGTATCCAGAGCTAGGAGAAGCCTTCTGGCTGAGCACCAGAGCTCATCTCGTCCTTGCATGTTTTTTACTTTCTCTCCAGAGAAGACCAGAGATTCTCTACCTGATGATAAAATTAAAGTTCCCCAGAAGGAAAACCCTATTTCCAGGTTGCCCCTAGACCATTACTTTTCTCCTTCAGACGACTGGGTTACTGCATCATATCCAAGGAAGTCTACAAATATTCTGATTTCTCTATCTCTGTGTCTGTCTCATTTCTCTCTCCATCTCTTCCTCTGCTTGCCTCTCTCTCCTTTTTCCTGTCTGTCTTTCTATTTCTTTCTCTTTCCTTTCTCTCTCCTCTGCTCATACGAACTAAGTCATGCATTGCATCTCATGGCTAATGTTTTTTTTTTTTATCTATTCCTCTGCTGTGGCTGACTGTTCAGTGCTTACCTATAGCCATGAATTGTCACAGCAAGGAAAAGGCTGGATGTCAGTGAGCCTCCTATGTCCTCTCAGAGGCACTAAGCCATGGCACTCTACCCAGATCTCCCATCCCATCACCTCTAGTGTCTTATGATCCTTCACTGTGTCAGGAAGAATCGTTGACCCTGTTCTTTCTTCATCCACACTCACCGCATGAAAGACAGCATGTCTAGAATTCTGGATTTGAGTCAGAAAGACCTGGGCTCAAATACTGCCTTTGAAATTTGCTAGATATGTCACCCTGGGCAAATCACTGAACTTCTATCAGACAATTTCTTCATTTGTAAAATGGGGATAAAAGTACCTGGAATACTACCTAACAGGGTTATGATAAGGCTTAAAGGAAATAATACAAAACATTTTGCAAGTGTATCAGTGCATCTCAAAAGTCTAGGGTCAGGGTTTGGGACACCCTGTCTATGTGTTAGCCATCATTGTACATTTATTTATTAACACCACACGTCTGGTTAGCCTTTGCTCTTAGAGAAGTGACTCTGCATAATATGGAGTTGAGGAGAGGATGGGAGAATGGCCTTTTGCCATTTCAAAACAATTTTTTTAAAAAATTGAGAATTGAAGAAATTTATTTTGAATACCAAAGTGCCCGCTTGAAATGACAGAGTTCAGGGGCTATGGGGCTGGTGTTTCTTAATTGTGCCAAACCAAACACCAGAGGGATGCTAGGCCCCACCTCTAAGCGAATCGCCTTCTTGGCGTTGATGGCCTTGGTGGGCTGGAAGTGGACTTGCAGGCAGTATTCCCCCCGAGCCTGGATGAGGCCTTGTACTCTGGAGACACTGAAATCTTCCCCCAGGTGCTCGAGGCTGCTGATCCTCCAGGCTGCGGGCAGGGGGGTGACATTCCGTAAGAAAATCATCTTGGATTCTTTCCTGCAGAGAACAGAAGAAGCCTCATCACAGTCAAACGATGTTTATTTCAAGTGCACCAGCTTTGCAGTGTTATTTCTGGTGGATTTTTAGTGAGGCTGAAGGCAGTCAGCCAGTCAACAAGCTTTTATTTAGTATTTACTAAGTGCTGGGATAGAAAGGCCTGCCCAGAAGGAGCTCCTAGTCCAGGGAGGGGAACCTGTGGCCTTGAGGCTACATGTGCCCCTCTAGGTCCTCAAGTGTGGCCCTTTGACTGAATCCACAAATCCCCTTCATAAAAGAATTTGTTCTGTCAAACTTGGACTTGGTCAAAAGTCCATGCCCAATGACCTAGACAGCCACACTTGGCCTCTAGGCTACAGGTTCCCCACCCCTATCCTAGTCTAATGAGCATGTAACCAATAGGCTTCTGAACACAGTGTCCATGGGAAGTAATCTCAGAGAAAAGCCATTGAGGAGGGAAAAAAGGAGGACCAGGAGAGACCTTGTGGAGAAGGTGGCATTTGAACTGAATGGTGAAGGGACCCAGGAAGTAGAGGCAGAACGCTCCAGGCATGGGGGGTGGCTTGTGAAAGGGAATGGCATCAGGAGAGTGTTGGGGTGACTGGGTCAGAGCAAAAGGGAGGAAGAAGATGGCAAAGGTGGGAAGGAAGGAGCCAGCCATAGAGGGCTCTAAACACCAAATGGGACTTGATATTCCATCCTAAAGGCTTTGTTTTCACAAGAGAAGTCTTGCCTAGACATCAGAAGATCCAAGTTCACATCCTGGGTCTGACCCTTGCACTGTTTGACCCTGAACGAGTCACTTAACCTTTACTGTTTTCCTGAGCCTCAGTTTCTTCATCCCTAGGATGGGGATGATGATACAGATGGTGCAAAGCCCCCAGGGCTTTATAAAACAAAGAACCAAATAAATGCCAGTTGTTGCTATCATTCCCTCTGGACAGATGAAGGAAAGAAGGTGTAGAGACGTTCAACGAGCTAGTTATGGTCAGCTCTCTAGTGAGTGCCGAGCTGTTACTAGAACCTGCACCACCTGCCTGGCAGCTCCGTCCTCTTCCCATTAGACCACATTGTCTCTCACGTAGCTCCCCTCTAACCCACAAGGGAAGGAGGCAAAGGGTAAATCTAGGACCCCCAAGACAGTGACTCTGTAGCTTGGGGAATCCCAGGTAAATGAGGCCAGTTTATCCGATGTCTGACCTGTGGAGGAGCAGCTTTTCAAAATGCAGCTGCTTGTGGTCCAATTCCAGCTCTGGCCGGATGCCCTGGCAGGTTATTCTGAAGATGGCGGGCTCTGGGTTTTCCTTGATGCAGCAGACAACGGCGTCATCGAATATGCCCACGGAGGTCGGGTATGCCCACACGGACAGCACCTGAGGGGACAGGAAGGCCAAGAGTAAGGGGAGAAGTCATCTTGAGGACAGCCACGCTTCCAGCTTCACGAGGGCCGTCAAGATGGTGGGATTGCCCCTGAGGCTTTCCTACCTGCTTCTCATTGGGCTTAAGGGTCATGGAGGGCGGGTCCAGGATGTAGGTGTTGGCTTTGACATCATACTGGAAGATGAAGGTCACCTCTGCAGTCAGTGGGGAGTCGTTTAGGATTGTTAGCTTCTCCATGTTGTCTGGGAACTGGATTGCTTTATACCTGAAAAGGAAGAAACCTTGGTATGGAAGGGAAGGGACTTTGTGTGATTGGTTCATCCTCAAGGTAGTCTGTGACAAGAGATGTTATCCTCCCAGTAACTCATTAACCCAGTGTCTGGCACGGGGCTTTGTAAACAGCTGGTACTTAACATCTGTTGGATAAGCTGAAACAAATCATGTAACAAATATCTGCTGGTAATTTGGCCTCTCAAGCTTACTGAATGATAGGAACACAACGTGTAAAGTGTACAAGTATGTGCAGCCTTCACCAAGGAAGCCCCGATGCTACCTGCATCATGGGGGCTTCCCTATCAATGACGTTTTTTCCTTGCCTCTGGACTTCAGTCTAAGTCCTATTTATATACGTATAGATGTGTTTTGTAATATGTATGTTCATGTTCAAAATGTTTGCTGGTTGTTTTCTGCAGTTGCTAGCAGGTAAACTGAATCAGATACCTTGGAAGAGCAATTGTTCCCAAACAGGAAACTCTTTGGGTGGGCGCACTTAGAAAGATCACTTAATTATTAATATCTCCAAGATTGAACCGGCCCCACCTGTCCTCAGTGGACTTATGGGGCATGCAAAGATGACCATGCTGTCCAAAAAATGTCCTTTTGCCTACTGCCTGTCTTTTGCTATGGTTCTACTCCATGATTTAAATCAGTTTTGTAATTTATAATTGAATCTTAGGGGCAGCCCTGAGTTCAAATCCAGCCTCAGACACTTGACACTTAGTAGCTGTGTGACCCTGGGTACGTCATTTGAACCCAAGAGCCTTACCCCCCCCGAAAAAATGTTTTTTGAATCTTGTAAACTTAGAATGTGCAAATGGAGAAATCCATTCATTTAAAAGAAATTTATCATATTTCAGAGATATCTGTCTGCCAATAGATGGGTTTCAATATGTGTGGCATCTCCTTTCACAAGTAACTTAAAAAGGTTCTAGATTTCTTTTGTGTTTGCATGGGTAGGAATTTAAAGTATCTTTTGTGAGCTGAGTGGTTTTCTTTTCATTTTGAACTGTGCAGACCACATTTTTAAAAGCTATAATGCAATGTGAATAAAAGGCCAAAACTGCATGTAGTTGATTTTTTTTAATGTTAGTCAAGGAATAACTTGCAGCATGCATGAGTTAGCACAATTTTAACTCTTTCTTATGGCTTACAGAAATGTACATATACCTCCATTGTGTTCATACATTCCTTCTGTTTAGTACCGTAATAAAATGTTTTGGGTAACCTTTAAATCTAAAAGGAAAAAAGCTCCAATAAAGCCAACATTTCACAATAGAATTTATTATAGCAATAATAACTACATAGGTTTATACTATGTGAACTTGGAAGAATTATCAATAAATGCATGCTTTTGTTTATACTTAAACTGTCCTCTCTAATAATTTGTTAGATTATCTTTACAATAATTAACACCAGTAAGTATCGGTTGAGTCTGGGCCATTTCTCTCAAATCACTTTTTTTGTTTTGTTTTGTTTTGGCTAAACACTTCCATGAGAAACATTGTGCTAAGGTTAGGATGAGTTTAAAGTGTAATCAATCTTGTGAAATTAAAATTCTTTGTATTTATTTGTGTTCATATTGTTCTGATCAAGGTGTAAGTTTCAACTTTAAGTTCATTGGTCTTGACGATGTAAGAGTGAAAAGAACCATGATTGGTTAGTAAATCATTCTTCCTGACTATGAACAAGATTTTCATGAGACAATGACCCATTTGCCACTGGGAAGAGATTTTGGTACACATCACATTGAATGAAACATGGGAAGTGACAATGTCATTTTGCATTCAAGTTTCTGGTTTAAGCATTTTAAATGAAGCTTTTGAAATTTTTAAATAGTTCTAGATTGATGTCCAACTTAATGTACTTTTGAAATAAAGTAATTCAAGAAGGCAGTTTTCTGTTTAAAAAAACAAAAACCAAAACCAGAAATGTCCTTTCATCAAGTCTTTTATTGGAGCCATTCACCTGTCGCCATCATTTGGTGGACTTAGGGAGGGCAGCTTTTTGAGTGATTAAAATGGTGATAAAGTTAATAAATAGCCCAGGGTCACAGAATTGGCTCTCTTCATTCACCCTTTAAGAATTAGACTCTGTGAAAACCAAACCGAACCAAACCCAGCTGGGTCAGTACTTGGAATCCCCCTAGTTCCTGGGAAGTAGAGTGTCCTCTCTGACCTAGAGGAATTTACGATGGGTTAGCATTGACGCGTGGGGCAAGATCTCTGCTTGTTGGCCAGGTACTTCTGCCATTTGTGAAAACTGTAGGATAACTTAGGGAACAGGAAGCTGAGGCTTGGGGCGAACTCTGCTGAACAAGGCTGCCATTTCAGGGCTAGTGGGAATGGAATATGGGGCTATGGATTTCTACTTTTCCCGTATATTATTTAATAAATATCTTTTTGGTGTAGTTATTTCCTGGAGCTTGTATTTATAACCTTGAGCATTGATTAGCATGTTTGACCATACTAATATACTTATTGAATTGAATTAAATGATCCGGAGGTTGAACTTCCGTCATCTTGCAGAATTGCCCTAGTTATGGGGAAATTCTCAGGCCTTGGTCCTTGTGGCTCCTTGGATATCTTGTGACTTGTTCCAAGCAGGGGCAGGCAGGATTGCTAATAGGGACCCACCATCGGAAGGCAAGCTTCACAGCTAGCCCCGTGAGTGCCTAGTGCCCCGTGTGTGTGCCCAGTGGGGAAGGATCGGCAGACACACATCAATCTGGGGAGTTGCACACACACGACCAGCCTTGCTATCAGGAGCATTTTCCTGGAACATGGCAGACAAACTTCTCACGGCACAGACATCTACCCATATACATGTGCCTTTGGTGACATTGGGAAAGAACTACACCCACTTTGAGAAAAGCTAAAAACCACAGAAGGGAAATAAAACAATTCTCTGTTGTCAATGAGACAAATCTAAAAGTACCTGTGATCTCCTTGGTGATGGGACACTTACTTATCTCTTGATTTCCCACACAGCAATGGACCAAAATGAAACAACTCCTGATTCATTATATATTTCTTAAAGACAATCTCTTCAGGTTTCAACTCCTTTTTCCGATGAGGGAACACCACCCTAACAGTAAAGTAGAATCAGGGAATGTTAGACGTTGAGCAAAACCTAGAGATTCATCTTATAGAAGAAAATAAGGCCTGAAGAAATAAAATGCTTGTACGTAGATAGGCAGGTAGGTGTCTCAGTGGATAGAGTGCTGGGCCTAGACTCAAGAAAACCTGAGTTCAAATCTGGCCTCAGACTCTTACTAGTTAGGTGACCCTGGGCAAGTCACTTAACCTCTGTCTGCCTCGGTTTCTTCAACTATAAAAAGAGGATCATAATAGTGCCTCTCTCCTACGGTTGTTGTGAGGATCAAATGAGATACTAGTTGTAAAGCACTTAGCACAGTGCCTGGCACACAGTAGGCACTTCATAAATGCTTTCCTCTTCCTCAGTGGAAAAGACAGGACTAGAATTCAAATATCCTGATTCCTGTGTCCTCTGGTTTTCCACTGTGCCATCTCACAGAAATAAAAATCACTTGACCACCATGTCTTTTCCCCGTGGCTCTTGGGGTAAGGACTCCACTTCAGTTTTGTGTCCAGTAATCCCTTCTTGCTCAAAAAAGAGGTTTGACTGTCTCTTGATTAATTGACATTTAGTCTGATGGCCTCATTAAACAATCTAGGGCATAGTTGTATATACAAATAGCAACTGGATGAATTCTATGTTTATTTTCGAACTCCCACATGTCCCAGGCCATCTTTGGAAAAGTACTCTCTTCAGGACACCTGATAGTATAAAGAGACACAGGCCTAGCTGTCAAGACCTTTCGGTTTTACTGATGGCCATCCATATGCTAGTGCCCATGGCTTAAAGAAAAAAAAGAGTTGAACTCCTTCTGCTGTCTCCTTCCCTCCGATCTCGCTCCTTGGCCAACAGCTGGAAATCTGCCTCCTGCAGGATGATCTAACCCAGGACCTCGCCTCTATACAAAAAGAAAGGTAGCCCAGAAGGTACAGAGAATCAGGCTTCAACTTTTATACTCGAATCCCTCCCTGACCTGACGTCCCGGCTGATGGAAGGGTATGTGCAAATTCCCCGGCAGTAGAGTTGATACTGGCGGCGAGTTCCAAGGACCTCAAAGTTGAAAGTCTGATCAAAGTTCCCAACCTCGTTGGAGGAGAAGTGTACTCGGAGTGTCACCTCTTCGTGGGCGGGGACGATCCAACGGAAATTATTCAAGCTGGAAAATAACCGAGTCTATTTTATAGATAGAATCTCTTTCTCATTGGTTGGGCATAGCATGAGACCAAACACTACTGGAAGAAGCTATGGAGTCTGGCATGGGGTGAGAAGGTCTACACTCAACTTGAACAACAGTAGAGTTGTACAATGACATGGTTGGGTGGATACAGGACAACTGCGTCTAAGAATAATACTGGTGACAATGGACATTTATAAATTACTTTATAGTTCAAAAAGTGCTTTTCTCACGACAATCCTGTGAAGTAAGGATTGTAAGTATTATTATTCCCATTTTCCAGATAAGGAAACTGAAACTCAAGAGAGCGCTGGATCTGGAGTCAGAAAGACCTGAGTTCAAACCCAGTCTCAGACACTCACTAGCTCAATGACCCCGGGCAAGTCAGTGAACTTCTGTTTGCCTCAGTTTCCTGTTCTGTAAAATGTGGATAATAACAGCATCTGCTTCTTGGGGTTGTGAGGATCAAATGATAATACTTGTCAAACATTTTGCTGACCTCAAAGAGCTATAAAATCCTGGTGGTTATTAATTAGTGTCTTTGTACCTCCCTGAGACTCACAAGTTATAGGTACCCAGTCTGTGTTTCTTGAATTGAGTGATCTTAGGAATCATGGGACAAGGCCCTGGGGAAGATGCAAGGGTGGAAGGAACTTGGTCCACATGAGAATCACCCCCGGTCCTATGGTACGTCCAGCCCAGCTGTGCTGCCACACTACGTGCAGGGGCAGGGACGTTCACTGTGCTGCTAATTCCAATGTTTCCTTAGGTTGGTGGCCTACCTCATGATTTTATCCTGCTCCTGCTGGGTGGTGAAGGTGTTCTGGTCTAAGCCTGTCAAGGGGGTGATGGATGCCACAGGCAGAGCCTCGGGCAGCTTCCTGAGGACTGCTGCATGCCCATGCTTTTCCTTATGGGCCTCCGCACCTTTGTCTTTCTGTCTTGATCGTGCCTTAGCTGGTGTGACTTGATCTTCCTGTGAAGGAAGAACAGCAATTTAAAACAAAACAAAAATAAAAAGGCGACGTGCGAGAACCCTTGAAATGACACATTGCTGCTGCTGGCACCTTGGAGTAATAACCTCATGGCTGAGTGGCAGGATTCTGCCCTTAATCGTTCAGCCATTGGGCCCTTGGGGGTCCTCGAGTATGCCTGGTGTTTAAGCTCACTTGGTGTCCTTTCCACCGAGGAAGGTGCTCAAAGGATAGTAGTAGTGAAATATGTCAGAGAGTCTAGAGCGAACTGGGAAAGAGCAATGCTGGATGGAGCTTGAGCTCAGAGAGGGACAGGGCAGGAAAGGTGGCGCATCAAAGTGAAGAGTGTGCTGGGCCCCGAGCTGGGAAGACTTGGGTTCAAATCCTACTTCCCATACTTATTAATCAAGGTGACTGTAGGCAAGTACCTTTCAGAATCCGTTTTCTTCTCTGTGAAATGCAGATAATGATATCTACATTCCCAACAACATAGGGTTGCTCTAAGAGGGTTGATGTTAATTGTTACGGGAAAGGGTCCAGGGATGGCACGAGAGTCTACCTTCACGCCTGAGCTTCTCTCTGGGGAATTTCAAAGGTCTTTGCTGTATCCTTAGAGGAGAGTGGCAAAGCCAATAGTCTTCACCAAATTTATTCTTCTCGGTCAAGTCAGTCAGTCAACAAACATGTATTAAGTATCAATTACGTGTCAGGGACTGTGCTAAGAGGCAAAAAAGCAGTTTCTGCTCTTGAGGAGCTCATATTCTAATGGGGGAGAAAACATGCAAAGAAGTATGTACAAACAAGCTATAAACAAGATAAATGGAAAATAATGAACAGAGAGAAGGCACTAGGATTGAGAGGGGCTGCGGAAGGCTTCCTGTAGAAGGTGAGATTTTAGGCAAGACTTAGAGGAAGCCAGGTAGTTCAGTGGTCAGAGTAGAGGAGGCATGGGGGACAGCCGGAGAAAATGCCCAAAGCTGGGAAATGGAGGGTCTTTTTCTAGGAAGGAGACCAGTGTCACTGGATAAGGGAATAAGGTGTAAGAAGACTGGGAAGGGATGTATGTGTGTGTGTGTATGTGTGTGTGTGTGTGTATGTATGCATGCATGTGTGCGTGTGTGTGTGTGTGTGTGTAAAGAAGGGCTCTGAATGCCAAAGGATTTCATATTTGGTCCTGGAGGTAATAGGAAGCCACTGAAGTTTCCTGAGTAGGGTAGGGGGTGACTTAAGAAAATCATTTTGGTGGCTAAATGGAGGATAGATTGGAGTGGGGACAGATTTGAGGAAGGCAGACCCTCCCAGGCAGAACAACCACCACCACTACCCCTCATCCCTCCCACCAGCCTATTGCAATAATCTAGGTATGAGGTGATGGGACCTGGACCAGTGTGGTGGTACTGTCAGAAGTGAAGAGGTGTGTTCAAAAGATGTGGCAAAGGTGAAATAGACAAGCTCTGGCTACAGTTTGAATATGGAGGGTGAGAGATTCCTAGGTAGTGAGCCTGGGGTCCTGGCAGGGTGGTATTGCCTTTAATAATTATAAGGAAATTTGGAAAGAGGGAGCCTTTGGGGAAAAGATAATGAACTTGGCTTTGGACAAGCTGAGTTTAAGATGTCAACTGAACATTCAGTTTGAGATGTCTTAATAGGTAGTTGGAGATGTGAGACTGGAGGTCAGTGGAGAGGTTATGTTTGGATAAGTAGATCTGAGAATCATCAGCATAAGAAGTGAAAATTGAAGCCATGGGAGTTGATTAAATTATCAAGTGAAATACTTACACACACACAAGTATATATATTTCAAGTGAAATTAGGTATATGTGTATATACACCCATATGCATATTGCATATATATATGTATATTATATATACATACATGTATATCATACATACATACATATGTATATACACAATTACATGTATAGTATACATACATATGTGTATATATATATATTATATATGTGTATACATATGGCATATCCTAGGGGTCTTAGTGCTATTTTAAACAAAGCTTATTAAAGCTATTAAAGCTGGGACACTATGTATAACGAAAATTTCCTTCTAGAAAAGAGTCAGAATGCATTAGAAATGACAAGCACTAAAAAACAACACAAATAATAAAACTGGCTATATTGTAATAGATATCGGTTACCAATGTGGGACCTATTTCTGAATCAAATGTCTATATACATTCATATCAATGATTTCTTACAGTAAAAATAAATTAAAATCAAATTAGAACAAAGGATAAACATAGGGAAAATATATAATAAGCAATTAAAAGAGATACCAAATGATCTGTCTAAACTAGCGATTATTACTAAAAAATGGGAAATGGATAAAGGAACAGATATGGTTTCCTACTACTTCCTGTGGAATTTTAATCTGTGTAAACCAATTGTTGCAGGAGGAGTCCAGAAGAAAGAATCTTAAAGAAGATGTCTTAAAGGTTCACCTTTAAGATATCTTCTGGGGAAGAACTATAATAAAAAATAAATGAAACTGGGACACAGAAAGGCTAAGTGACTTGTCAGCAACTCCAGCATGGGGTGGGGGGAAGGGGGAAGGAGATTCCAACAAAGTGCTTGTGAGATTTTTTAATCTCCTCTCCAAAAATGACAGATATTTTTATTCTGTACTTTTTGGTAACTCATGAGCAGAGCTGTAACCTGGGCTGGGTGAATGGAGCTTTGCTGAAGGGAACTGAAATTAGAGGATACTGACAGCATTTGTGGTCCTTAAGTAGCATAGGAACAATAGAAGTCAGCATTTAGCAGGAATTATTAGTTAAAATAGGAAGCTCCCAGCTATGCCCAGCCCTCTCACCCAGGGCCAAGTGCCTCTCCATCAGTGGTGTTCCATGATGTTCCAGGGTCTCTGTTTCCCTCTTCTTCCTCCCCCCACCCTGCACCACCTGGCACTATCTCAAAACCCCCTCAACCGAAGGTGTGTTGCCTGCCCCAAACAGAATTCCTACCCATGGGTCTACTAAGACACCCTCAATCTGAAGTGTGTGTAAGCGGAGGAGATCATCCCATCTCTTACATTCATTGTTGGGGTGCTGCTAGAAACCTCAGGTTCACTTCCATTTTCCTTTTTCTCCTCGGATGTCGTGGTTTCTTCACTTGGCGGGATGACAAAAGTGAAGTGTTTAAGGATTTCTGTCGAGACCACGGGCACCCTTTTCACTGGGAACGGGATCATTGAGAACAAGGCGGGAGGTGGGATTGGTAGTTCCATGACTCCAACGTCCAGGATATCCATCATCTAAAACAAAATCCTGGTATTGAGTCAGAACTTGTTTTCCCTATGTATTCTGTGGGTCTTTACTCTGGTAAAAAGCTTCCTTTGTCACTGGGCAAGTTGCTAGAATGAATTTGTCTTGGCCAAAGGTCGTGGTAAAAGTTATTATGGACAGAAGGAGCTTAGTTCCAAGGCTTTTGTGACCTGTAGAGTGCTTACATAATGTTTCTTTTTACCACAAAAACTGTTCTTTTGTTCTAAAGGAACCCCTTTTTCATTCATTCATTCATTCATTCATTCATTAATTCAACATTACTGAGTCCCTACTTGTGCAAGGCATTCTTCTGGTCACTGAGCGAGATAAGAAGGTGAATAAAACCTAATCCTTTTCTTTTTAAAAATATCTATCTATTTATTTATTTATTTTTGGGTGAGGCAATTTGGATTAAGTGACTTGTCCAGAGTCACACAGCTAGTAAGTGTCAAGTGTCTGAGGCTGGATTTGAACTCAGGTCCTACTAACTCCAGAGTCAGTGCACTATCCACTGTGCCACCTAGCTGCCCCAACCTAATCCTTTTCCTAAGGAGTTTATTATGATCTAGTAGGAAGATAAGACCTGCACATATACATAACTCCAAAACAAATTAGATTGTCATGAGTGCATATGAGACAGATGGAGAAATCATTTTGGCTGGGTGAATGGGATAAAATTCTGGAAAAGATAGCACTGGGTGGGGCTTAAGATTTTTTTTTTCCATTGAAAAACCATGAAATAGATTTCAATAACTTTTTTTCTTATTGTAAAATTGGTAGAAAATTGACAAGAGGGGAGGCAAAGGAGAATTCGTAGCAAGTCAAAGGGGTGGCAGCATCACGTAGCTGATACCTTTCTAGCTTTGAAGCCAGGATGACCTGGTTGTAAGCCCACCTCTGACTGACCCTCATTGATAAAGGGAATGTCCTCACCTGGGAGTTCCCTATACTGATGAAATCAAAGGTCTAGCCCCTCTCCTCTAGCAAAATGGGAAAACAGGAATAAGAAAACTGATCAGTCTTAAGAGAGAAACTCAACTTTTAAAAAGTGACTACAATAATGGGAAATTAAAAAAAATTATAGCAAGTGTCTCCAATAATGGCTTCATTTTTCAAATATATAGAGAACAGAGTCAAATTTATAAGAATACAAGTCATTCCTCAATTGATAAATGGTCAAAGGATATGAACAGGCAGTTTTCAGATGAAGATATAAAAGCTATCTATAGTCATATGAAAATAATGCTCTAAATCACTACTGATTAGAAGAATGCAAATTAAAATAACTCTGAGGTACCACCTCACATCTATCTGAGTGGCTAACATGACAGAAAAGTAAAATTATAAGTCTCGAAGGAGTTGTGGGAAAATTGGGACACTAATGCACTGTTGGAATTTTGAACTGATCCAATCGTTCTGGAGAATAATTAGGAACTGTGCTTAAAAGGCTCTAAATCCATGTATACCTTTTGACCCAGCATTAGGTCTGTATCCCAAAGAGATAAAAAACAAAAAGAAAAAGGACCTATTTGTACAAAAATATTTATAGCAGCTCTTTTCATGGCCGCTAAGAATTGGAAATTGAGGAGATGTGCATCAATTGGGGAATGGCCGAATAAGGTGGTATAGGAATGTAATGGAATACTATTGTGCCATAAGAAATGACAAGCAGGACAATTTTCAGAAAAACCTGATAAGGCTTACAGGACTGATGGTGAGCAGAACCAAGAGGATATTGTACCCAGTAATAGCACTATTGTACAATGATCAATTGTGAATGACTTAGCTATTTTCAGCAATACAATGATCCAAGAAGGACTTATGATGAAAAATGCTATCTACCTCCAGAGAAAGATCTGATGGAGTCTGAATGCAGATCAAAGCATACTATTTTTCACTTTATGTTTTGTGTTTTTTTTTGATCTGTGTTTTCTTTCACAACATGACCAATATGAAAATGTTTTGTGTGATTGCACATATATAACCTATATTAAATTGCTTTCTGACTCAGGGGCAGGGGAAGGAGAGAGGGAAAGAGTTTGGAACTAAAAAAATACCCTCAAATGTTAAAAATTGTTTTTACATGTAATTGGAAAAATATTATTAAAAATGACTATAATAAATGAACAGATGTCCTGAAAACCAGGGAGTGAGTATCTTTATATCAAAAGCCATCATGAGATGACCTATTTGAATAGGTCTGTGAGAAGCACTCACTGGACATAAGGAAGCTTAGAAAAAACATACAAAGTTTTATGGTCCAAGGCAGAGGTATCAAACACGTGGTTACAAGTGTAGCCCAAACCAGATTGAAATGTAATTGGGAAATATATAACAAAATGAATTAAAATATAATGAAATATGGATAGTGTTAATATGGGGTTTTTAAAAAGTCACTATGTACCCATAAGGAGCCTTACATATGTTTTCTTGGCCCCTGTTTCTGAGTTTGACACCACTGGTCCAGTGGTATTGCCAGTGTAAGACTGACAAGAGGAAAGTTTCCAGATTCCCTTGTTGATAGCAGTATCAGTAACGTTATTGAGGATGGTATGGAGGCTTGGCTTCTAAGGACCAGGTGGTTTGCTTTATTTTGAGAAGTGGTATTATAGGAGGCCAGGAGGTGGCTACTTACATGTATATTTATGTAGATATACATGTACATATACATGTCCACACACACATACATATACACGTACCTGCCATATGCTTTTTTTTTAAGGCCCAGGAGCTAAGATGTTGGGGTTTTTTTTTTCACATTTTTAAACATAATAAAACTTTAAAAATGTAAAAACAATTCTTAGCTTGTGGGTAGTACAAAAACAGGCAAGGGGCAGGATTTGGTCTGTACACCGTAGTTTGCCCATCCCTTCTCTACAGTAAGGTCTGCCAGTTGGTTTCCAGCAATTACTTGCAATTAGACCTGTGACCCTGGACTTTGGAAGCTCATGGTCAAGAGAATGGGAAGACCTGTTTATTCTCAATGATAGCCAATACATTATGCAATGAGTGTCTTGGTTTCTGATGTGGCATCTCAAGGAAAAGGCCTAAAACAAGGCAAGGAAATGATTCTAGTTAGAACAATTCTTAAAAACAAAATACCTCTTAGAAGACACTGATCAAACAATAGAGACCAGCCCAAAGAGATTATAAAGGAGATAAAACTTGTCTCTGAGGTGCTACCATTTTATTTTTCCTTCCTTGGGCTTCCCTCTAATATGCTTTGGCCAAGGTGGTAGTCTTGTCTTCATGTGGCAATACCCAAGTCTGTTTCTCCCTTTATCCAGCAAAACTTATCTCACCTTTGCTCCCTTCTAAAGGATCCCCCTCCGTGCTTTCCAAGGGGATGTCAGTTATCTGATAAAGATGTTTGATAATGGGTATTAACTATTATCTACTCCTCCCCTGGGAGTATGGGGGGGGGGTGTGTGTGTGGAGTTCTGGAGATACAAATGCCTTGATCTAAAGGAATAACAACTGACCTTTACATAGCATTTTAAAGCGTAAAAACACTTTAATCTACGTCTGATGGTGGAATTTCAGACTCTGTGGTAGGCTAGGGGCAGGGAGCTTTCGTCCACATCACCCAGGCTGATGCTACCCTAGCTGTAAGGCTAGCCTCCATCTACATTTACTCAGCCCAGACTCAATAATTCTTCAAAGACTCTACCCAAACGCAGCTTCTTGTGAATCAGGAATGGATTCTTTCGATTAGTGGTGCTCTTTGGGCCAGCTGGGTTTACACCAAATAGAAAATGATTGTGATAATTATCACTGTTCTCATTGCTGAAGGCTTAAGGGAAGGAATGGATCTCTAGGTAGAGATAAAATAAATCACGTGAAGGAAGGAGGAAGACTGGGTAGTGGGACAGCTCTGGCTCAAAGCCTGCACGAGATTCTGAGAGGAGGCTGGGGGCAGACCAGCTAGCTAGCTTTGCGATGCCTGCCACAATGAAACGCTTCCCTGTCTTTGTAAGACGCTTTTACCTGCTCTATCTTTGGCAACCTTTCTGTCTCTAGGATCTGCTTCCAGTTAAACTCCTCGGAGACAGTCGGCTGGAAGTCCAAGATGGGCACCCCAAAGTCCTTTTTCCCTTCGTGGTCTTCTTCCTCTCCCTCCCCTCCGTCGCTCTTGTCTTCCATCGCCTTGAGTTTCTCCAGACGCTCCTTCTCAGCCTTCTCCTTCTCCAGGCGCTCCCTCTCGGCCCGCTCCTTCTCCAGCCTTTCTAGCCTTTCCCTCTCACGATCCTTCCGGCCCTTCCTCCCGGAAGTGGCCTGCTTTTGATCTTCTGCCTCGTGCTGGGTATCGTCAGTGCCCGCGTGGGGTATCCAGATGCCCTGCTTCCGGTCCCAGCGCATCAAGACTTGTTGAATTTCCTTTAGGCTCATGTCATAGACTTTGAACTTATGGGCCAGCTGCTTCTCACTCTCTCTCAATAAATCCCTTTCACTTTCTACTTGTTCTACCAGGGGTTGTAAGGACAGTCCTTCCCCCAGCTGCTGTCTGCTCCTTTTTCTTTTCTCCTCCTTCTTGTCCTCCAAGAGTGGTTGTTCTCTCATTGACCCCTTCCTTTCTAGTACGATATCTGACTTGATGTCTGCTTTGGCATTTGCACTGGCACCCTAGAAAAACAAAACACATACAACACGCTTTAAGTCATTTTTGTGAAGGCTAATCTGAATGGGATCAATTCCTGGGGTGGGGAGGAATTGAAGAAAGGGTCAACAGAATGAACAAGAAGATGGAATTTGACCTCACAGAAAATTTCCTAGGATTCTAGAGGAATAAAATAAAATGGGGCCCTTGAGGGGGGAAGAAATGTACGCACGATATATTTGTGTTTAACTTGCATTATTGATATTCTCTCCCACACTAAGCCTGGACAATCAATAAAATAATAACTCAAGCCCTGATTTATAGCATTTGCTGATTTCTGAGGCATACTCCCACTGAAAATTGAACAGCTGGCTCTCCAGAGTCCATTTGAGCTGGCTCTAGCCCGTCTCTGTTACCATCCATAATCATGACTGGAGCTCTCCTCTGGGCTGAATGGGTAGAACTGCTTAGTATAGCATTAATGTTTTGTTTTTTGAGTATACACCTCACATGATTCTGTTAAGCATTGCATATACCTAGATAATAAGACTAGAGTAAACTCACTGACTGCAAGGTGTTTACAGTCAAATGGGTGACTTAGGCCACACGTGAGCAAGGGGGCCAAGGCAATAGTTGTGAGGCACATAAAGTCCAGGGGAAGAAGAACATTCCATAGGGGTCTTCCCTTCAAAGCCTTCAAAGCTCACTAAGTTACCGACCAGAATTGGGCCAATGTGTAGTAATTGGCTTAAACCAGTTGTTACAACGTTGGTGGTTAGTCAGATGGCCAGCCTGATAAATTAATTTGAGAGGATGTTGGGTGTGTCTTCTTCATTCTTCTTTCCTCTGTAGATTTGACCCATGATAGAAGGATGGGCTGAAGCTGTAAACAAGCTGTGTTTTAATAGAGATTAATAGAAAGTTCTGTACTTGGGATGAAAAAACAAACTGTGTAAGTAAGGTCAGCGTGGATGGGTAGGAAGCCTTGAGGACTCCAGTGGGCTACAAGCTATGCATGGCTTGGGTGATATTAGTAGAGCAGAGGGTCCAGAACAGGACAAGTGTGCCCTGGGCACATCCCATCTCTAGTCCTGGGTCTACTATTATAAAAGGGATAATGACCAGCTAGAATGGTTCTGTGGCATAGTGGAGAGAGTGCTGGGCTTCTTTCTGTCAAGTCCTGACATGGATTAGCTGTATGACCAAGAATCATTCTCCTAACCTCTTGGGTTCCCCCACAGCTCTCTAAGACTCACAGTTCTAGACAAACTGCTGATCTAGGTCAGCAGTGAAAAGGGTTTCTACATTGAAAGGTCTTATATCAATGAACTCACAGCTGCCAGAACAAAAATAAAAATTAAAAATTAAAAAAAAAAGGAGGCAAGATGAACCACGTTGAGAAAAGGATAATAGGGTTGGAAAGTATGCAATGTTGGCATTGGGTTGGCTGAAGGAACTGGAGAAGACTTAGGGGCTGGGGGCATAAAAAGAATCTTTAAATAACTGAAGGGTCAGCAAATGGAAAATGAGTGTCCAAAAATAGAATTGGACGCCTTGGGAGAAATGAGTTCTCACCGGGGCTCATTGAAGGAGAGGCTGGAAAGCCACAGGTCAGGAACATTGTAGGACAAAGGTAGCCAATTCCCAGCCTGCAAAGCTCCAGTCGTCCCTCCCGCCCCTATTAAAATGTAAATAGGAAATGTTTAATCAAATATACAAAAATATAACATAACCTAGATAAGGCTAATGTGTGGTTTTTTAAGTCAGTGTGTGGCCTGCTGGAGCCCTTTCTACTTGTTTGATATCCCTGTGGTAGAGAACTTAGGAAATGGGGAAGGATTGGTCTTGAGGCCTCTGAAATCTTTTACTTTAAGGCTATTTTATTTTCAGGTCTTGGGTGCCAGTTTGAGCATGTAAAATGTCTACTGACTAACCATGATACTCACCCTCAAACGCACTCTGGAAACCACAGAGGAGGGGAGATGGCACCTGTCCTGCTTTCAGCTGTCCCCCGCACCCTGGGTGCATGGACTTGTCTGCTTTTTCTGAATCATTAGATACTGTCTTCAGTCTCCCAATATTTCCTGACCATTTTCTTTTTCCTTTTATTAAGGGGACTTGTTCTGTGAAGTTTGGATTCAGTCCAAGGGCCACACTTGAGGACCTAAACTTGTTCTGTAAAACTTGGACTCAGTCAAAAGGCTGCACCCAAGGCCCTAGAAGGCCATATGTGGCCTCGAGGCAGGTTTCCCACCCCTGTGGGGTCTAAACCTTGCCCATGTCGTCTAGGGTGTTCTGATGCTCCAGCCTCTGACCTCAGCTTCATCCACCCCTAGCACAGACCTCTTTGTCTATGTGAACCGGCACATGGACCTTGATCGCTTCCCTGTGTGTGCCAGTCTACTGGCTTGATCTGGCTACAGTCTGTAGCTAGCTACGAGATGGCATTTTCAGAGTGGACTGATGCAGTTTGCAGGCTGACATATTCTGCCTATAAGGATAAACTAACACTACACAGCATTTTCCTTGGAAATATATGTGTGTGTGTGTGTGTGTGTATGTGTGTGTGTGTGTGTGTGTGTGTGTGTGTGTATTTGGGGAGGGTGAGGCAATTGGGGTTAATTGACTTGCCCAGGGTCACACAGCTATTAAGTTTCTGAACTCAGGGCCAGTGCTCTATCCACTGCACCACCTAGCTGCCCCAAATATGTGCATTTTTAATAGCTCATATTTATATTGTACTTTGAGGCTTAGGTGACATTTTTCTCAGAAGCACATTGTTCTTGCCTGGGAGGCTGGAGGAAGAAAGGGGAGCTCAGAGAGCTTGACGCAATGTGCCCAAGGTCAAGGATCAGTGGCCCCATAGTCTGCACTTGAACCAAGTCTTCTCAAGCCCAATCTGAGAGTCCTCTGCTGTATGTCTGACTACTACCCGCTGCTGTCTGTCTACTCCCTGCGCTGTCTGCCCACTGCCACGGCTGTCTGTCCACTGCCCATGGTTCTCTGACCACTACCCGCCGCTGTCTGTCCTCCACCTGCTGCTGTCTGTGCACCTCCCGCTGCGGTCTGCCCTATGTGTCTGCTACCTGGGTCTGTGATGACTGTCTTGGTCCAGCAGGTTTCTTTGCTGGGGCCTCCTCTTTGACGGGTTCTCTCTGCTTTCTTTTGTTTTTCTTTTTCATCTCTTCCTCCTCACGTTGCCGTTCAAGTTCCTGCTGTATTTTCTTTTCCTGAAGTTCCCGAGCTAATTTCTCTTGTTTCCTGGAGGAGACAGACATTGAGCTATGGATAACTGTTCCTATTTCTATAAGGCTTTCCAAAACGCTTTCCTTACAACAACCCCCGTGGGGTAGGCTGGGAAACTAGTCGGTATGCCCATTTTACAGATAGGGAAATATACTTCAAAGGGTTGACTCATCCACAGTCATCTAGCTAATACATGGCAGACCCACCATATGAAGGACAAGGTCTGTGCAGTTTCCATACTGCCTTTCAATCTAGTATCTCTGGTTTCTTTTTCTTTTTAAATCTCATCCCTAGTTTATTTTCCATGTTCATTTATCCAGAATGTTCTGGCCCCAGTAAGGAGAGAGATGTAGCTTAACAGAAACTCTCAATATCAGTAGACATCCTTCATCCACTCTGAGTGGGATGGAAGGAACAAAGGAAGGAAGGGAAGGAGAAAAGAAATAAGCATGTATTATTTGTTTGCTTGTTTACTGCATAACATAAACAAGCATTTATGAAGCACCTGCTATGTGCCAGGCACTGTGCTAAGGGCTTTACAAACATTATTGTATTTCAGCCTCACGGCAACCCTGGGAGGGAGGTGCTGTAATTACTCCCATTTTCCAGGTGAGGAAACTGAATCACCAAGCAGTTAAGAGACTTGACCAGGGTGACTTAGCTAGTGAGTGCTCGGAGCTGAATTTGAACCAGACTCCAGGCCCAGAGTTCTCTCCTGTACCACCTTGCTGCCTCTAATAGCAATACGCTAACTTCAGTTAACTGGAACTCAACTAAGAGACTTTTTTACTTAACTGGATTTTTCTTTCTGTCTTTTTATTTTAGGAGAAAAAGGAAAGTGACTACATTTTACGGAAGATACAGACAAATAGGAGGAGAGTGATGAGGATTGTGAGGGGGGTGGAGAACGTGATCTCTGAGGATGGGGCAAAGTGATCTGAGGAAGAGAAGACTCGGGAGGAAGAGCGTTTGATGGTTATTTTCCAGTGTCTTAAGGGCTGCTATGTAGTCAAGCTAATAGACTTCTCCTGCTGGGTTCCAATGGGCAGAGCTAGATGCAATGGATATAAACCGCAGAGGCTGGTTTAGGTTGGATGTGAAGAAAAACGCATTTCTAAAAGAACTGTACAAAGGTAGAGAAGGCTATCTCAAGAGGTGGTCAGTCAAGAGCCTACTACATACCAGGCACTATGCTAGATGCTGAGGATCCTCAAACAAGGGAACATTTCCTGCCTCCAAGGAGCCGTGGTCCTAGTTAAAGGGACAACACGCACATGTATAAATGCAAAATATGTAGAAAAGCAATATGCTGTGGGGACTAGGGAAGCTCCCATAGTAGGAGGCAGTGCCTGAATGGGGCTTTCGAGAAGTCTAGGGAGGGACTCTTCAAAAGAAAGTCAAGGAGGGAATGAAACCCAGGAAGGGGGACAGCCTATGGAAAGGGGACGGAATGTCATGGGCAAGGAATTGGCTGTGTCTGGCAAAATCATCAGGGAGTAATGAAGACTGAGCCCAAAGCCAGATTGTAAAGAGCTTTTAAGGTCAAACAAAGAAATTTGCATTTTATCCTGGACATAATGGGGAAGCCAGTGGAGCTTTCTGAAAGAGGGAATGACCTGGTGAGAACTGTGCTTTAGGAATATCACTTTGTTAACGGCCATAGATTGGGGGTGGTGTGTGTGTGTGTGTGTGTGTGTGTGTGTGTGTGTGTGTGTGAGAGAGAGAGAGAGAGAGAGAGAGAGAGAGAGGGAGAGGGAGAGAGAGAGAGAGAGAGAGAGAGAGAGAGAGGAGAGAGAGAGAGAGAGAGAGAGAGAGAGAGAGAGAGAGAGGGAGAGGAGAGAGAGAGAGAGAGAGAGAGAGAGAGAGAGAGAGAGAGAGAGAGAGAGAGAGAGAGAGAGAGAGAGAGAGAGAGTTGATACAGTGAGACCTATTAGGAGGACCAGTTATAGTAGGTTCCAGCTCACTCGAGGTCTTCAGGCAGAGACTGGATGAATGTTTGTCAGGGATGGGTTTACTTCTGAGGCTCCTTCTAACTCATACTGCATGATTCTATAACATTAAGCACAAAGAGAGATGGGGAATGGAAAGGATATGTTCACTTACATGGAAATCCACCAGTCCAAAGCAGGTGGCGTACGAGAGTCACGATGAAAAGAAGAATCAGGGGAGTATAAATGGTGGAAGTGGAAGAAAGACCACCAGGACTGCTGGAGGACTTGGATGATGACTCCTTGAAATAGATGAAAAACATACAACCTAGCCCACAGCAGAATATGGGTGGGGGTGCTTAAGCTATCCAGGTTTTTGCCTATAGGTCTCTCTACTAAAATAAAGCAACTGATAAGTTCCTGACTTGACTTTCTGAGAATTTTGTCTTTCCATAATGTCAAAGAAGTCATATAAGACACAATGGATTCAAGTTATGTACCTCTCTATCCAAGTGCATCTAGGATATGCAAAGTGAATTGTAAGCTCAGAAAAAAGTGAGAAGGTCAGCAGTAGGTGCATTTCTGTATACACTGCCAGTAAAAGGGCTGTATTTTGTACATGAAGCCCTCTAACACCACTGAACTCCAAGGGGAGGAGAGAGAGAAGTGGGGGCCCTACGAGGAAGAGAGGCAGTGGTGGGACGCTGGATAGAAGAGCAGTATTTCTTGATTCAAGGCACTTTATGCCCTAGCTGACAGCTCAACCCTTAGTACCAGCTCTGCATACATCCATCTTCTGACTTTCCTTTTCTACAGTTTCAACACACTACAAGATGCTTATCTTGGAGACCTTCTGTGGAGAAGGGACCTTACACCCAGCCAATTTTAGAATGGGGCTCCCCTCTTGTTCTCCCAACCCCCACCTTGCAAGGTGCCACTTATCACAATAACCATTGGTTGGTGAATTAAAGATGCTCAGAATTTGTGAGATATCATGCAGGGAATACAGTCTTCTAGCAGAATACTTTAGGAGGGTGGCATTCTAAGGGCTCCCACATTTTTCTCATTTGTAGTGGGGTGTTGTATGAGGTTTCTTCCTGCTACAAATCTAGGAGGTAAAATACCCCAACCTCCCTGCCCCTTGAAAACGTGAAAGACAAACACTGAGGATCTCACTTGCTTAAGAATGGAAAGTATAAGAAACACTTTGATATCAGGAATTCATTTAAAAGAATATTAACTTTAAAAGGATGTCCTGTTAGCACTACAGATTAAGTACGATCTATTATAGTTGTTATACCTACACAATACAAACATGCCCAGAATAATGACTCTCAGGCATTTCTTGTAGAAACTTATTATTAGAGAAAGTCCATTATATTTAGCAATCTGCATTTTCTAAGGAAGAAATGTAGACACAGACATAACCAACAATTTTGGTGCCTATGCAAGCAGTAGCAAGAAAAGTCATCATTAAATCAAATTTGCAAATTTGCAAATCATTAGGTGAAAATTGTATAAGAAGTAATTAAAAGAAATTCAGTTGTGAGGGGAAATTAGTTACTATAGTGGCTTACAGGTAAATGTTATTAACGTTATAGAGCTTCCTATTTTAACTAATTCTTTTTGCTAAATGGGTACTATACTCTGTTCTAATTATAATTATTGTCATCATTATTATTATTACTGCTGGTCCCCTGGTATAAAAAGTCCTGATTTTTTAACCCAGTTATGGTTCTGCACAGAAAATAGATATATTTCCAAAAAGAGTCAAGATGAGGGGTTTCTGGTAAGTTTTTTTATGATCATGTGATCAATTGATCATTACCTATTGACACACATTGCTGTTAATGGGGGTCACACTGACTTGTATTTATGTCCTTCCTTTTTCCCCCCCAGAACAGTTAGAATGTCCACGAAGCAGAAGTACGTCATGATTCCAGAGGGTATGGCTCTTTCTCAAGGTCACAAGGTAGCAAACAGTAGAGCCTGGATCTGAAACCAGGTGCTATGATTTTCTGCTTCTGCCTTCTGAAGGACTAAGGCTGTACGGCAGAAAAGGTTGGAGAAGGGACTGCGACGAACGAGGAGAAACCATGAAGGCTTTGGACTCTCGAAGGAGGTCAGAGATTGAATTTAAGGAGGAGGAATTTGGGAGAATTTGAGGAAAAATCATCACATGAGTTGAGGGAGGAGAAAAAGAGAAGGGGTCAGTCTGAAGTAGAAAAAGAAGAGAAATAGGATGCCAGGCTTAGAGTTGGAAGGGAAGACATCAAACCTATCCCTTCCATTTCACAGATGAAGCAACTGAGTCTCGGAAAGGTTAATGACTTACCCAGAGTCATAACTCTTAGCAAGTGTCTAAGGCATGATTTCATCATTGGAAGGCATGCAGGGTAAGGGGACTATTTATCAATGCATACTGGCACCTATCAATTCTTAGTCTCAGAGAGTTGTCTGGGGGCACTGAGAGGATAAAGGTGTAAAGAATGGTCAGGGAAGTAATGAAGAAAGCTGAGATCAGCCTCCCTACCCCAAGAACATGAAGGACAAAGACTGAGGATCTCATTGCTTAAAAACAGAAAGCAGGGAGAAGTTACAATGACTTTCATGGAGTATGTAATGTTTGTATTTCTGCCACACCCAAATGTATCTAGAGGCAGCTAGGTGGCACAGTGGATAGAGTGCTGGGCTTGGACGCAGGAAGATCTGAGTTAAAATTATTAGCTGTGTGACCTTGCGTAAGTCACCTCACCTCTGTTTGCCTCAGTTTCCCCATCCACCTCCCTGAGTTGTTGCGATCAAATGAGATAACTGTTTGTAAAGCACTTAGTGTGCCTGGCATATAGCAGGTGCTTGATAAAATATCCTTTCTTTCTATGTTTAAGTACAGACTGGTCTCCCTACTGGAACATAGGATGAAGGAGATTATGAATGCCTCTCCCTTTTCTAGGTTTTTGGGGGATAATGAAGTGTTCCTGAAAACAACAACAACAAACCAAACCAAAAACCAAACCAACTGAAGGGGGGTCTTCCATATAAAAATAAAGGAGAAGATGGAGACAGAAAATCACCTGTGTCAGGTCAGGAGAGGGGAGGAACATTCCACCGAAGAAGGGAAGAAGGAGAAAGATGCCCAGAGCTAAAAAACAAACCAGAAGTTCTCTTGCAATGGTTGGAGGGAAATGGAGGGAGTAGTTCATCCTCCAAGGAATGATAAAGTTCACTCACAGGCTCAGTTAGATGAGGCAAAGGAAGAAAAGGCACTGTTGGTGGAGTTGTGAACTGATCCAACCATTTTGGAGAGGAATTTGGAACTATACCCAAAGGGCTATAAAACTGTGCATGCCCTTTGACCTAGCAATACAAATACTAGGTCTGTCTCTTGAATAGATCAAAGAAAAAGGAAAAGGACCCACATGTACAAAAATATTCATAATAACTCTTTTTGTGGTGACAAAGAATTGGAAATTGAGGGGATGCCCATCAATTGGGGAATGGCTGAACAAGTTGTGGTATATGATTGTGATGGAATGCTATTGCTCTACCATAAATGATGAGCAGGCAGACTTCAGAAAAACCATGAAAGACTTGTATAGACTGATGCTGAGGGAAGTGAGCAGAACCAGGAGAACACTGTACACAGTAACAGCAATGTTGTGTGATGATCAACTATGATTGACTTAACTCTTCTCAGCAGTACAGTGATCCAGGACAATCCCAAAGGACTGATGATGAAAAATGCTGTCTACCTACAGAGAAAGAACCTATGGAGTCTGACCGCAGATTAAAGCAATATTATTTTATATTTTCTTTAGTTTTTATGGTGTTTTTCTTTTTTGGTCTGTGTTTTCTGTTGCAACATGACTAATATGGACATATAAATGATTGCACATGTATAATATCAGATTTTTTACCATCTCAAGGAGTAGGGAATGGAGGAAAGGAGGGAGAGAATTTGGAACTCAAAATTTTAAAATACAAATGTTAAAAATTGTTTCTACGTGGAATTTGGAAAAAATAAAATATTATATAAAAAAGGAATATATTTGGCTGATATCCTTCAAATCTAATCAAAAGGGCTTTAAACTGTAAAAGGAAAGGTGGAGGGAGGGGAAAGGAAAAAACAATCACCACATTATCTGCCAGACTAAGTATGTCATAGGTATGTTATCATAAGAGGTCACCAAAACACTCCCAAACACACAAATCCAAGAAAGGAGCCAGTACTAACACCCATGACCACAAATGCACAAAATATAGACAAGATGAACGTGAGACAGAGGGACATAGTGATTAGAGTCCGAATCAGGAAGTCCTAGGTTAGAATCTCCTATCTGACTGGCCAAGTCCCTCCACTCCTCAGGGCCCCGGGGCAACTTTCCAAGACCAGAAGTCACAGATTACATGTCAACTGATGGACAGAGGGAGTTTTCTCTATACCTCCTCCTCCTCAGCTTAGCAGGAGACCTACCATCTTCCCCAGAATGCCGTGGGGTCCTGAGGGGAAGGCTGGTCAGGCCAGACCAGGCCAGGCCAGGAATCTGGTATAGACTACTTTGGGATTCTCAGGGTTTGCGCATATAGCAGCTTGATGGTACAGTAGAAAGAGTGTTGGATCGGGAGTCAGGAATCTGAACTCAGGACCTGAGTTCAAATCCTGTCTCAGACACTTATTGTGTGACTATTCATTTCCTCAACTGTGAAATGGGGATAATAAGAGCACCTACCTTCCAGAATTGTTGTGAGGATCAAATGAGATAATATTCATAAAGCACTTTTGCAAACAGCTTTAAAGCTCTCTGCCAGCTCTATTAGCTGTTATTCCACTCTGCTGCAACTGGGCAGGGACGAGGGTTACTACTAACTGACAGGCCTATCAAGAGCCATCATGGTGCTTGGCACATAGCATGCACTTAATAAAGGTTTTTTTCATTCATTCATTCATGACCCAGACTGGTTTTGGGGGCGGGGCTCCCCTTCACCAACTTTACATTCATACCACAGAGCTGGCTTTAGGGTTCACGTTTCTTCTGTCCTTTCTCCTTGCATGCTCTTGTATGCTGCAGGTCCTTCTGCCCTTGTACCCATTCTTGCTAGGGATCCTTAGAAGCCTAGGCAAGCTGGGAGGCAGCAGTAGGTGTCAGTGCAGAGATAGAGGCCCCCAGCGGGAAGGCAGTGTACTCTATGCTCCCCCGCCCCCATCCCTTGTCCTGGCTTCATTATCTCCGAATCACAGACCTTTTCTTGCGCTCCCGAATGGCCTGCAGAACTTCCATGTCAAACATCCTCTTTTCTTCGTCCATTAGGGCATCATATTCCTCCTCATCCATCTTTTGCAGATGAGCCTTCTCTCTTGCAATTGCTCCCTGGTGTTCCTGCTCTGTTGAAGGAGAGAGGAAACCAGTGAACCCCAGGGAAAGGCTGGCCGATGGCTTGGGGGCACTGAGTCTTTTCTGCAGTGTCCACAGCCAGCTGGCGGCTGGGGGAAGGGTTCATTATACTGACAGGTAGTTGGCATAGCTGTTAAAACCTCTGATCTTTGACCAAGTTGCCTGAATTCTAGGCCTCCCTCCCCTTTCTCCTTCTCTCCCTTGCCTGCCTGCCCTTTAGAAATGGTCAAACTAAAGAACTAGATCTGTTGGCTGAATATTGGAAATTTCTCTCCCATATCCCAAGGAATCTTTAGTCATTCAGGCTCAGGTCTGACGAATGGGTAACATTCAACAAGTTCATAAACTTAAGAGTTAAGAGCTATAAAGTCTTAGAAAGCCAAGATATGAACAACCCAGGCCCCCTGATTCCAAACTTAGGGCTCTTTCTACTACACCAAGTTGTGCCTCATATGTTTTCTGAAAAAAACCCCATGTTTTTCCACCTCTGCATTTTTGCCAATGCTGTTGTCTCTGCCAACAAAAATCCTACCTTTTCAAGGTTCAGTTCAAATGCCATCTCTTCCATGGGGCTTTCTTGGGTTCCCCAACTCTCATCCAGAGGAAAATGTCGTAACACTTTGTACTTTTCATAGAATCATAGGAATTAGATCTAAAATTAGTTTTTTAGTCAAACTCTCTCATTTTAGAGATGAGGAAATCGAGGCCCAAAAAAATTAAGTGACAATCTGGTAGAAATTGGATTTAGATCAATATATCATACCATATACTACAGTAAGTTCCAAATAGATATACAACCTAGATATAAAAGGTCACATCATAAACAAATAAGAGGAGCAAAGGAATAGAGGGATTCACAGGAGATAAAATGGACAGTTTTGATTACATAAAATTGAAAAGTCAATGCAGTTAGAATTAGAAGACAAACAGTTAACTGGGAAAAACCTTTGTGGTAAATTTCTCTGATAAAGGTCTGATGTCTAATACACAGAGTTGATTTAAACGTATCTAGATAGCAAGATGACATAGTGGATAGGGCATAGGATTTGGAGTTGAAAGAGTTGGAATTAGAATCCTTCCTCAGGTACCTACTAGCTGTGTGACCTCAGGCAAGTCACTTAACCCCTGTTTGCCTCAGTTTCCTCTTCTGTAAGATGAGGATAATAATAGCACCTCCTTCCTAAGGTTGTTGGGAGGATCAAATGAGGTAACATTTGTAAAGCGCTGTGTAAGTGTTACCTATTATTATTATCTATGAATAAGAGCCATTCTCCAGTAGATAAATGGGCAAAGAATATGAATAGGAAGTTCTAAAAAAAAGAAATGCAAACTATGACAACCATATGGAAAAATGTTTCAAATCATTACTAAGGAAATTCAGACTAAAGCACCTCTGAGGTTCTGACTCACACATCTGACTGGCAAAGGTGACGGGCTATGGGAGGCCAGACACACTAAGGCACCATTGGTGGAGGTGGAGGTAGTTCAACTGTTCTGGAAAGTAATTTAGAATGATATCCAAAAAATCACCACTGTGTGAATACCCTTTGACCTAGCGATACTACTATTAAGGTTTTATCCCAAAGATATTAAAGAAAGAAGGAAAGGAACCATGTATTAAAAAAAAATAGCAGCCTTCTTTGTATTAGTAAAGGAAGAGGTAGGTGGTCATCAGGTAGGGAATGGGTGAACAAACTGTAGCATATGAATAGTAGCCCTCTTTGCCTCCTAATTTTTCTATCACTGTCATGGGAATCACTCAGTCATCTAGCTTTGCAACCCATGGTGGGTCATCCTTGACTCCTCACTTTCTCTCTCACCCTTATGTTCAACCGCTCGCTAAGTCCTGTTGATTCCCTTGAATATACTCCCTTCTCTTCTCTGGTTCAGGTCCTCATCACCTCACATCTGGATTATTACAATACCTGCCTCCAGTCTGTCCTCATGCCGGTCTGTCTTCTACTCAGGTGTCAAATTGATCTTCCTAAAGTGCATGTCTGACCATCTCCCCTCTTGTTCAATAAACCCCAGTGGTATCATCTCCAGGAGCAAATGCCATATGCTCTGTTTGTCATTCAGAGCCCTTTACAATCTGTCCTCCTCCTACTTTTCGGTCTTCATATACCTTACTCCACCCCTCCTGTTCTCCCCTACCCCACATGCTCTGTGATTCAGGGATGTGTGCTGTTCTTTGTGCTTCATGCCTAGAATGCGCTCCTTTCTCCTCTGTGCCTCCTGACTTTCTGGGATCCCAGCTTGTACAGAAAGCTGTCCTGATCCCTCTCAAGTAACCTCCACTTTATCCTGTCTACAGCTTGTCTGTACATATTTGTTCGTATGTTGTCTCTTTCCCACCTCTGTCCCCCATTAGACTGTGAGCTCCTTGAAAGAAGGCACTGTTTTTTGTCTTTCTTTGCATTCCTAGCATTTAGTGTGATGCCTGGTACATGGTACATGTTCAATCAACATTTTTTGACTGATTGAATGACTAATGTGATACTACAGAACTTTAAGAAATGATGAAAAGGATGGAGTGAGAGAAATCTGGGAGGACTTGTATGAACTGATGCAGAGTGAATGAAATGCATACATTTTATACAAAGATTATGAAGGAAAACTGTGAACAACTTTAGCTCTATGATCAATGCAGTGCCTAATCATGACTGCATAAGATGGATGATGCAGCACATTTCCCACCTCTTAGCAGAGAGGTGGTGGACCAGGTATGCCCAAAGGGATACACATTTTTATACATGGTCAAGGTGTGGATTGGCTTTTTCAAGACTACTCTCCTCTTCCTCCTTCTCTTCCTGGGAAGTTTTTTGGGAAATGAGGAAAAAGCTAGGGGAGGCACTGGAGGGTTAGTGGTAGTAACATTAAAAAAAGCAGAAAAGAAAGTAAAGAACATCAACGAATCTTAACAAAAATAAAAGGAAGAGATCAGAAGGATGTGCAGAAGGGGGACATAGACAAGCAAGGGCAATGTTGGAACTACCATGTTAAATTTGAAATATACAAACCCCACCCCAAACATACACACACATACACTGCCAACATGTTGTACCTAGGGGAGATTTACAACTTTATATGAAGTCCTCTTTTGCTAATTTGCTATTTGATGTCTGCATAATATTACAAAGACAAAATTTAAAATAAAAATAAAAGAAGTTGAGTTACTTTGTCCAGGGTTATGTAGGTAGTAAATGGTAGAGTCTGGATTCAAACCCAAGTCCCTTTGACTCAGAGTCCCACAAGCTCACAGTTGGGGCCATCTAGTTCAACCAACACTTGACAAAGAAACCCCATTAAAATCCACTCAATGAATGGACTTCCAGTGAGGTACAACCCACCATCTCCGATGGTGGCCTGTTCTGAGAACTTGTAATTGACATTTTTTGCTTTTACATTACCTTCATTTCCCAATACATCCCTCCCCTAACCCCCACCCAGAGAGCTAACTCTTTTGATAAAGAATGGAAAAGGAAAAAAAAAGTCCAGTAAAAGTGACCAAGCCATCAACTGAGGCCAATAGTGTACCTACTATTCCACAAACTCAGTCCCCCACCTTGGCAGAGAGGAGAGGGGAGTACATCCTCATTTCTCTTTTTCCACGCCAAGCCCGGGCTTCATAATTATAGTGTTTAGTTTCAATTTTTAAAATCTGCTATTTCCATATCCATTACTGTTATCGTACGTGCGGTTTCCCTGGTTCTGTTTAATTCACTTTGCCTAATTTCATCGAAGGTTTTCCATGTTTCTTATAGCATAGTAATATTCCATCCCATTCACGTACCACAGTTTATCTGTCCATTTTAGTAGGGATTCCTTTTGAGTTTAGACTGGACTAGATAATCTTTCAGGTCCCTTCCAACTCTCAAATTCTGTGATCCTGTGATTTCTGTCCTGAGTAAGCTCGATGATAATAGCATTATCTATGATATTTAGCATTAATAGCACCTACTATGTGCTAAGTACTTTACAGATATCTCATTTGAGCCCCACAATAATCCTAGGAGGTAGGTGCAATTTTACAGTTGAGCAAACCAAGGCAAAGAGAGATTAAGTGCCCAGAACCAGCTCTGGCATGAGCCTGAGACTTAGTTTGTGCCCTAGCTAACCTTACCTGGGAGTCATTCTATCTTTTCCTCTTGAGGATGTAGCTCTAATTATTCTCTCAATGGGGCATAATTCCTTTGTGTGGAGGTTAGGAGAACTGAAGAGGGGGTGCAGAGAGAGAGAGAGAGAGAGAGAGAGAGAGAGAGAGACCAACCCACCATCTTGCTCAGGCTTTTGTAACCTAGACAATTTCTTCTGTCTTGAAAATTCCATGATTTTTTTTTCGTCCTGAGGTCTTACCTATCTTTTCCACCTTGGCTTTCTCCCGAGCCTTCATGATGCTGTAATCCTGGGCCACGTTGACAAAATATATGTGCTCCCGGTTGTTGATGGCTCGGAGCAGACACTGAAGAGCACAAGCTGCGTTCCTGGCAAAGACTGTTTCTATTCCGTCAAATACCACTCCTCGGTAGCAGTCACTGAGCTGAAATAAGGGACCAAGAGAGAGGCACGTTTACCATTCAGCAATTTGACAGGCATTTTAGGAACCTACTATGTGCCAGTTACTGTGCTAGATTCTAGGAACAGAGGAACACAAATGAAAATGATTTCTGTCTTCAGTGCCTCTCAAGGTCCCTCTACTGAGGAGAGACAATGGGTGCACTGATAATTACACACAAGATACGTACACGCAAAGTCATAGGTTGTAGGGTGAAACTAGTACTAACAACCAGGGGAATCAGGAAAGATTGTGAGCTGGTGCAGTGGATAGATGGATGGTCCCGGCGCAGAGTGGGTGCTTAATAAATGCTCATTCCCTTTCCTTATTTAGGAAGTGGCACTTCAGCTGAGCCTAGAAGAGAGTTAGGGATTCCAAGAGGCCTTTATCACCAACTTTTTTTTTGGCAGCTGGGGTTAAGTGACTTGCCCAGGGTCACACAGCTAGTAAGTGTCAAGTGTGTGGTCTGAGGTGGGATTTGGACTCAGGTTCTCCTGACTTCAGCGCTGGTGCTCTATCTACTGTGCCACCTAGCTGCCCCTCCTTTATCACCAACTTTGAGTGGCCTGCAACACCTTAGGAGATGGTACATGGCAGGATTTGGAGTAAATAGTCTTGCCATAGGAGTTTGTTTAGTCAGAATTCTAAGGGGTTCTGGGGATGTACATACATCTTTATCCATTCACAGACTTTTGAGTTTTTTCCCCCTCTTTGCTCTAATAAAACGTCTGTCAGATTGTGAGTTGTGTGCTTGCAAATGGTGGATCTCAGAATCTGGGGGTACTGTGCATTTGTTGTCCCAAATTGCTTGGATGGGAGCCACGAGACAAGAATTAGATAATATCCCAGAGCGCCTACCCCTCCAGCCCTTTGTGTCATGAGCTAATTCTGCACACAAAGCTCTTTTGTGCTCCATCCAAGAGACAAAAAGCTTGCCTTGCCAGCAGGAAGACTGGGGTACAGATCCTGCCTTTGGCACATACTAACTGTGAGACCTTGGCCATTCTCTCAGGGTATGTTTCTAAGACGATGCATTTCTTTAATTTTTTAAAAAAATTCTGAATCTGAATTCCCATATACAAAGTGGAACAGAAAAGAGCATTGTACATGAAACAATGAATCTGTTACATATATTGATTACTTTCCCTTTCAAGTATATAACAACACATTTAACTTGCAACTTTCAAGCTGTCCCATTTGTGTGTTTCTTTGAGACATTTGTTCTCTTCTGTTCATTTAAAAATGCTTCAATAACCCTCTTTTCTTTTTTTGGGAGGGGTTGGTGATACAGAGGGATGCAACCTTATTACTATGCCCATGAGGTAATTTTATTTGTTTGACTAAGCTTATTTATTATAAGAATTTTTTCTTTTTCTTTTTTTTTCCCAATAGGATGGAGGTGTGGTAGGAAGGAGAGAAAATAAATTTCTGTTCATCAAAAATTAAAAAGAGTCTGGCAACCTTTGATGAATTTTTTTTGGCACATAGAAACTCATGCTATTACTAAGATGTGGAAGGGTCTCAACCTGCTCTGGTGGAGAGAACAATGATACCATTGAAATCACAGACTTTTAGACTGACTGAGTGACTGAAGTCTCTAGTGTCTAACTAAAGTCCTACAAAGAAAACTGGTGTTGCTGCCTGAGATACTTCTGCAGCCAATAACGTTAGTTGTGGAGAAAGAGTCTTTAGTCTAAGTTACTGGCACATGTTGGCCAATGTTTATCTCCTTTTTTTTTTTAATTGTAAATACAGGAAATACTGGGATCTTGCTGACCTGCCTTCTAGCCGTCAGGAGAGACGGATTAGCTGCATCTGGTGAAGGACATCTTTCTGTTCTGAGAACAGGCAGGGTGATCTTGTCACATTTAAATGTGCTCCATTTTGATAACACCTTGGAGCTGGAAAGCCATTTCCTCATAAACAGCAAATAGGTCCAGATGGCCTGATGGTCAAATTCACTTACAGGTAAAGTCCTTGTTGGAGGTTTTTGGCTTTCAGAGACTGATAGAAGCTTGCAGCCTGGGAGGTTGCAGATGTGTGTTGGAAGGCTAGATGATAGTGTCTCAACATGGGGGATGGCTGTGCATGGGAAAAATGTTGCCAATACTCTGTTGGCCATCACATTTTTTTGTTTTGTAATTAGTATAACAATAGGTAGCCTTCAGTCCAAGTGCGTAATGACTGGAGAGGTATGTTTATCAGTTTAGTTCAGCTAATGGTGGGGAATTAAAGGTAAGCTCATCTCAGAAACAAATTTGGGAACCACAGATCCAGTTTGTGTCGGGCAGGGAGTCAGGGGTCATTGTGTTGCAGAAACAGCCCTAATGCAGCTCTCGTGGATGTGGCCTTTAGGCTGGGCTGCATTTGGAAAAGCACTTAGCGCTTGCTGCTGATCCCAAGCTGCTGGATGTCACAACAGCCCATTTCTTGAACTCCAGCCTTCTCTAGGTGATGCTCTATGGCTGCAAATAATGGAAGACCAGGATATTGGAAGGATCTAAATGACCAGTGACCTGAAGGCAATGGAAAGAAGCGTGATGGGGATAAGAAGGTTGTAGCATGTTTACCAGTGATGAATTCTATGGGAGAAGTCAAGCCAACAAGCACTTATTAAGTTCCTACTATGTGCCAGACATTGTGCTAAGCTCTGGGGAAAGAAATCAAGCAGAAAGGAAGTCAGACCCTGCCCTCAAGGAGCTTACATGCTCATAGGGGAAGACAGCACACAAAAGGGAATTGGAAGAGGTGAGAGGGAGAGGAAAGATAAAAGGTATATGGTAATGGGGCATTGCAAGGAAAGTCCAGGAAAGCCAGGAGTGCTTTCTGGAGAAGAGTGAAGATACAGCTGGTCTAAGTGTCAGTCTTAAAATAGAGATTAAAAAATGGATGTCATTAAAGATATTTGGAGTCATCTCTGACCAGAAATGGAGGGGGTGTTGTTCATGTAAGTGAGCATGATGGACCCTAACTGGAAGGCCCTAGAGAGGTGCCGATTGATTTGGAGGATGAAAGATCCAGAGGAAGGCCTTCCAGCACCCTGGATAGCTCTCCTTGCCTCCCGGCTCTCCTCTCTTTAGTTCACTCTCCATTCAGCTGCCAAAGTGATTTTCCTAAAGCTTAGGTTCCACCATGTCACCCTCCTCCACGAACACTGATGGCTCCCTATTGACTTGACTGTCAGACATGCCCTTCATGACCTGGCCCTGTCTGACCTTTGCAGCCTTAATGCTTTCTCCTCCTTCCTGTACTCTATAGCCCAGACAAACTGACCACCTTGTGACCCTTGCGATGCTTCATTTCCCACATCCATGCCTTTGTACTTGTTGTCCTCCTTGTACTTCCTCCTTACCTTTTCCCTTAAAAAACAGACTGCTTGTGATACACTTTTCCTGATCCCTAAATAAGAAGACAGCTTGAGCCCATGTATCCAGTGAGCTTCCCTAAAAATAGGGGGAGAAAATATATACAGGAGTGGTGACCAGGATTGGGTATTTTGTACTGGGAAGTCTCTGGGATGGGGAGTGGAACAGTAGGTCATTCTATTTATTATCCTTTCCAAAATCAATGGTATCACAAAAGGAGGTGGAAACGGGTAAGGATAGAAAGAGGGAGGCTGCCGTGAGCACAGCAGCAAGTCAGAAAATGGCGGGTCTGATGATGGGCATTCACGGTCTAGGTTGAGGATGAAAGAAAGACACCTTGTTGGGGGAGATCCTTTAAAATGGCGCCCACTTTGGCACAATCAACCAACAATACCTACAATGGCATCTTGCATTTCTTGCACCTTTCTGTCAATTGGGTGTCAATTGTAGAAGTAGCCTGCAATAGAATATTATTTGCACAAGGCTGCCTGTTTCCTGCTCATACTTTCATTATGGATGCCCTCAAGGTATGCAGAGATTCTTTTTATAAATATTTTATAGAGAGAGCAGAGTAGGAGTATGGATCAGTAATTACTGCTTATGTTTTCATTTGTTTTTCCTCTCTCATAATTGGGTACACAATGTTTTGCCAGTGTTTGGTATCCTTGCTTCTTTCTGAACCTTGAGATTCAGTCCTTAAAAGTTGCCATTAGCATGGGCCTCCTCTGTGGATACAGGATTGAGCTCTGTCTTTGCTTCCCTGACGGTCATTTCTATTTCCATATGCAGCATATTGTGGGCTATGATATGGTGGTGACTCCATTATCATTGATGGAGCACAGAGGTTATTATAGAAATCTTGGAAGATCTTTCACACTTTTTTTCTGTTTGCATACTCCTCCAATTTCATCTTTCAACATTATTGGGATGGGTTGACTGAATTGGGCATCCCTATGTGAGGGGAATCCTAAGTACTACAAATAAAAGAATAGACATTGGGCTATTACACATTTCCTAAGTTAGGAAGGCTATTTCAGTTTCCAAAAAAAATCAGTGTATCAGTTTTTATCAGCTTCCACCAAAAAAAGCCTAGAAGCTGACTTCACCAGCAAGCATTTAATGTATTTTCCAAGTGGCAGCCAAGGACAACAATAGATGAGAATAAAAAAGGTTCATTGCTTAATAAAATGATGAGGAACTATTGAGGAAATAAATTTATAAAAGGCTTTGTGAGACCCCTGGAAAGCTCCATGTTTTAGGTATTTTGTGGGTCAGCAACCATTCAGAAACATAGCTCATGAGCCCCTAAAGGATGTGCTTACTTCTACTAAGTCAACCAAAAAGGATGCTTTAAACTAAATACAAAAGCCATTTAATCAAAAAGCATGGCATCATGCAGAGGAAGAAATGGAGGCACAGAGAGGTTAAGTGATTTGCCTGGGGTCACACAACTAGTGTCTGAGACCATATTTGAACTCTGATCCCCCTGACTCCAAGTCTAGGGAACATGGAAAAATTGTGACTTTGCCCTGCTCAAGAGTGGAGCTTCTTCTGAGAGCTGCATATACCTGTATCCTCTCTTCTATGATTTGCACCAGTAGGTCCTCAGGAAGCACACAACTGAAGAGTCCCATATCTCCTTCACTGGAGCTATTCATGAACCGAAGCTGAATAGGCGTATAGGTCAGAGGGCTGGATGGAATCTGTGAAAGGGGAACACTGGGAGGTCAGTCCCTTTGGAGATACTGGCCCAGCTAGAGAGCCCTGAATGTTTTCTCCTCTGGGATCGCTGAGAGTGAAGTCAGTGATAACACTGAAGGAATTAAGATTTCTAATGGATGCCAATTAAAACAGTGAGTCTCTGTGCTTAGAATTAGTAGCTCAAGGCAACAAATATTCCTGACCCACGGCCCTTTTGTTTTTTCTACACAGGGAGCACATAGCTACAGAATGCTGCTGGAGACCTACAGAAGTATCCTTTATATAATTAATTTAGATAAAAAAGAGGATATCAGTTCCAATTGGTAAGATACTCTAGTCGTGGACAACTTAAAACTGAAGACTAGAATGTGGAAATTCCTTGGTGTTGATCCTTAAATAAAATGTGTAATTTCTCTTCAAAACAAATAATTGACTATTTCTAGATAGGACACCAACATATTATTTTTGGAACTTTGAACAAAAGCATATGATATTTAAAATGACACCTCGTAAGCATTTTTATTTACAGTAGCTGTTTGCTTGCCTATAAAGTCCTTAAAGACAGGGACCGTATCTTCTCTACATTTTCTTTCTCCTTCAATGCTGACCACAGAGCTCCAAACATATTAGACATTTAATAAAATGTTCATCGAGTGAATGAAAATATCAATGAAAGCCTTAAGTTTCATCTTTAAGGAAGATGTGGTTTTATAATTTATAAGCTCTTAAGGGAATAGATTGTCTAGAATGATTCTGCCTGGGCTAAGCATGAGGACGGCATCTTTTCTTTGGGATGCACTCACTCGGTTTTTCTGAGCTGAGCTCGGTGGTCCATTGTCTTTGTCTATCTTTGTATCTTCAGGGCTTAACACACTACCTGGCACACAGGAAGTGCCCAATATTGTTGACTATTAACTGACTGTCCAAATTCCAATCTCAGGCTGGCTACTAGACCATCAGGACTGGTGAAAACCCGGTGTTACTGGTGACATGGGGGATTTAGGGTTCTCTATGCATAACATTATGGAGTTACTGAAATTCCCTTCCAGTTCTGCCCTCTCATTCACTGGGGACTTGCTCTACGGATAACAAAGGCACACAAACAGGTCAATAGGGCAGTTGCTTTCACCTCAAAGTCAGAAAAATCCAGCAGTGCACAGTGCATGGCAATACACCCCAAATGCACAGAAGTCAAACCATTCTTTACAAAGATATAAGCTCTCAAGTCACTCGAGGAAGGGAAGAGTGTGGCAGCAGTGAGGGGCCATGATGGCAGAAAGGAGGCTTTGGGGGAACCAAGCTCTATGGTCATCTGCTAGCGTGCATAGGGTAGAACAGATTTAAATTCTTGTGATATGGAGAAGGCTACAGATATTGACCTGATTGCCAGGACTACTGAGGTGGGGGGGGGGACTGAGAATGCTGAGCTTTCTTTGGAAGGAAGAGACCTAATTTTTACCTGTGATCCCGATGTTTCCGACTGGTGCAGCTGATGATGTTGCTTTTGGGACCCAGAACCATGGCTGTCTGACTTGTTCTTAATGGTCATAACTACACTTCCCCGATAGCCTTTGAAGACGGTTATTCGGGTTTCAGGGGAGGGCAGAGTTCCTTCTGAGATATGCTTGGCCAAATTCTCAGTGCTTACTCTTGACAGTCCTACAGATGTCTGTGCTAAGGAGCTCTCTGTAATCATAGCTACAAGGAAATGGAAAATGCAATAGAAGAGACACATTCATGAAGTCATGGAATGACAGCGGAGGATCCTTGCAGGAAAACTAGGGTCGTTAAAAAAAAAATCAAGGAACATAAGACCTGTCTGCACTCATGACTATGGAAAATAGTTAGAAGAATGTAAATGAATGACCCAAGATGAGACCATGTGGTGAAATCTAGGCCAGAATCCAAGTATTCAACCTCCCTGCTCTGCTTACAAAACCATAGTACTTCAAGAACTTTCTACAGCTTGTCCCTAAAGTCTTTGCACAGTTTTAAGTTTTAATAATGTCTAAAGTATAAATGCAACAAATTTTTATTAAATCACTTGAAAGTTTAATTATTCAAATTCATTTTATACTCATTTATTTTTGTGAATTTTGAATAATAAATTTTTAATTAAAATAAGAGGGAGCACCCTGACATTTTGCATTGTGCATGGGATGGTTTCTGGAGGACCCTTTCTCAGAGCTGTGGACCAGTGTGAAACAGCAGGTGTGGTGTTCTTACGTGGCTACCATGATCACCTGATCTGCCTCCATTAGACTTGTTCTTGTGGGGTCTGTCCAATCAAAACCACATTCTTTGGATGCTCTTACTGTTAGGATTACAAATGCAATCCTTTCAGTAACTGAGTAGCAGTGGAGGAAAGTTCTTTTTTTTTAAAAAACCAATTTTCAAAATTTACTGGAGCAATAAATAGCAGAAGATGGTGGTTATATTGAACTTTAATGAGAAATATGTCAGTATTTTAAAGTTAAAGAACTTTTGTTCTAAAGTTAAAGAACCTTTCAAATGTTGTCTTTTGTAAGCTTGTAGCATTTATGCTCTTGAAATTATTAAGGCTTCAAGCCACACCAGGATTTTTGGGACACACTGCATGATACAGCTGGAAATGAGTGTCCCCTTCTCCCTCTCCCTTCTCTCCAGTCTATTGCACAATGATTTCCAAAGCTTTCAGCATGTTACTTCCTTTACTGGGTCATGGATACTGCAGAAAGCTTTTGGGTGTAAAACTCATCTGGAGGTGATTCCAGGGTGAGATAATCCAAAGAACTTGGTCATGTTTTTGGAATGAACTTTATTTGTTATCTGCAGGTTTTATGAAGAAGGCTCATGTGTAATAAGAGTCCCAGCAGACTTCAGGTCCTATGTTCATAGTGGCGGAGTAGAGTGGAACATTCTGTTGTAATGCTAACTCTTTGATGGCATCTTTGGGTCCTCTCTCATTCTATGGCTTTGAAATTACCCAGATATCTTGTCTGTTTTTTCCAAAAGAAATATTGGGAGGATTTTATCTTTCTGGGAGCCCCTTCCTGGCATGCCAACAAAAACTATCCCCTGAATCCTGGGCATTTTCACAGGCAGCTAGGGTGACAGTAACATGGCATCTCTTTCTTCAGCAAGGGCTGTATGGGGGACCTTGAGGCAGGGAGCCCTGCCCATCCCTCATCAGAACTTACCAGCATCCTTCACTGACTCTTCTCCATCCCGGAAGCTCTGCTCAGTGGTTGCCCTCATGCAAAGCTCCCGGGCTCGGAGTCCAGGAATGCTGCTTGAATCCGACAGAGCATCCAATACAATGGAATCGAGAGTCAGGTAGGCAGCACCATAGTATTTGGCGAGGTTATTGCACGCATTGGTCTTCCCTGTGGAAGGGTCAGAGGCTTTAGAGTTGGAATGGCTGGCCTGGAAGACCATGAGTTCCTCATTTTATAAATGAAAAAACTGAGGCCAAGAGTGAGGATGTGATTTGCTCAAGGTCACGAGGCAGTAAACAGCAGAACTTGGATTGGGATGAGCTCGTCTGGTACCAGATGTAGAGCTCTTTCCATGCTGCCAAGATGAAGGACCTCCATGTCTACTGCAGCCTCATTCTACAATTCCAAGGAGAAGGACCCTTCTAGAAGACAGGACTTTAGAAATGTCTTTTCTTTCTCCGGAAGTGATTTTTCTTCCCCTCCCCCACTCTAACCTACATTTGTTTTTGTGATATTCATGCAAGGAGGCAGAATGATGGTGTCCAAAAGATACTCGCCCGGCAGGCTGGAGACTTGAGTTCTGGTCCTGGTTCTGACCAGCAGTGTTACCTTGCTCAACTTGCTTAACTTCTGTGATCGGTTTCTTTATCTGTTAAATATTGTAAAGCGCTTAGCACAGTGCCCAACACCTAGAAGGTGCCCTATAAATGTAAGCTATTATTATTATTATTATTATTTAATGGGCACGACTCTAATCCCTACCCTACCTACTGTAGAGGTTGTTGTAAGGACTAAATGAGAGGTCTCTGAAAGGGCATGGTTAAGTATAGAGTCCGCAAACATGGGCATGATGATAATTTAGGGGTTTTATGGTTTTATAGATATTTTGCCGATATCTTTTGAGAAGAAAATGACTACATAGACATGAAGTGGAGCTGGGTTTCTGCCACAATAGGATTTTACCTTTGGGTGAGAGTACAGTTCTGTAACTGGCTTCCTTAGAGAGCTGCTAAAAAAAAATCTATGGTTTTACTAACATTTCCTTAGATCTTTGTATTTTCATCAGCTTTTTAAAAAATAATATTTTATTTTTCCCAACTGCATGTAAAAACAATTTTTAATATTCATTTAAAAAAATTTCAAATTCCAAATTCTCTCCCATTCTCCCTCACCTCCCACTCCCTGAGATGGTAAGCAATTTGATAGAGGTTATACTTGCGCAATCATGCAAGACATATTTCCATATCAGTCGTGCTATGAAAGACATCGGTTTTAATAGTAATGCACATAGCATCGTAAGGTCACAGAGTACTTGATCAGCATCATCTCAACAGAACCCTTACAACCACCATCTAAGGCCAAGTATAATTTTCCCCATTTTATAGATATGGAAACAGTCTCAGAAAAGTGAAGTGATTTATCCAAGGTTCGCACAGCTAGGTAAGGGAACAGGGTCAGAACTGAGAAGAGCTTGGGTCTTCTGACTGCAAATCCAGTGGTCTTTCTAAGCAATCTAATCTGCCTTTGGCATCAAAGGAAGTTCAGGAATGCCTCACCTGTGCATAACTCTAATGTGTATTTTCAGTGTCTAAGTCAAACTGTCTTGTGACGGCAGTTTGGTTTCTTCCAGGCTCTGAGCCTTTGTTAAATATCCTGGCTGGTCCAGAGCCCATCAGCGCCACCGTGGAGAACAGATAAATGTTCGCTATTGTGACTAAGGTGCCTCCCACTGGGGGCTCAGGCCCCTGACTCCCTTGAAGCTGTGCCACGGCATTCACTCTCTTTTCTTCATGGCTGAAGTACCCAGTGTGGCAGCCAAGGAAGATCACTTACTTGCATGGCACCACCATGATGTCACAGTTCTCTTTGAGGATGAAGGACAAATGACACCAACAACTTACTTGCCCAATTAGCACTGGTTTCTTTAAGCAGACAAGAAATGGAGTCATTGCTCGTCTTTTTTTTTTTTTTTAAGGCAATTGGGGGTAAGTGACCTGCCCAGGGTCACACAGCTAGTAAGTGTCAAGTGTTTGGTCTGAGGCCAGATTTAAACTCAGGTCCTCCTGACTCCAGGGCCTGTGCTCTACCCACTGCGCCACTTAGCCGCCCCTTTTTGGTCCTTTCTTATAGGATCATCTTTGTACCTGACAATGGCGATCCATGTACTATGATGGCGATGCCTCTTCGGTGCTTGGCTGCGTGGCTTTCAGGAGAAGTAGGAATACCCAGGTGCCGAGCTATGCACCTGCTCACTGGGTCATTATCGATTTCTCCAACTTCATCCATGGAGCGTGTCTCACTGGCACTTTGTGGTTTTTCAGGCACTTAAAAAACACACACATACATATGCACACTTATTATAAAGAAATTACACAGAGGGATGTGAACAATAGGGGGATATACTATGTTTTAATCTCTAGAATTATTTTAGTCAAGAGTTACCTATATAGTTAAGTCTTCGAAAGGATTTCTATTATAATAAATATGAGATGGGCAAGTTGCTTATCATCTCAGGTTCCAGCTAACTTCCCAAGACTACACCTTCATCTGTACCAGTAGAGGGAATCTCCATACCAAGGGTTCCCCACCCAGATAGCCTAGAGGTGACCCTGGCCTAGGGGTAAGGGGTTCGTGATTGGGGGAGAGACAGGGCTCTGCAGAGGTGACCAGAAAAATATGGAAGTGATGACTACGCATGGCACCTTTGAAGAAACCAGAGTTACTGCTTATAGATATAATCAAATTAGTTTCCAGTTTCTAACTTTTTTTGAGGGCTTAACATTTTGCAAAGTGCTGGCCTGCTTAAGGCCATCTTTCATTCTATGGAGCTGCAATGGATGGATTAGTCTTTATATTTTCACAAGCTGTCTAGGACCTTGCTTTCTGGGCCTTTGCTTAGGACCGGCCTCCTCTTCCCTTGCCCTGGTCCGTGCTTCTCTCCTGGCCCATTCTGGGACAACGCATGTGGTAGCATTCTGGACAGTGTGAGGGGAAGGGGTGAAACAGAACCTCGACGCAGCTCCCTCCCAATTCCTGCTGCCTCTCTGGTTCCCATGCTGCCCTCATTACCAGCTTCTGTCTCTACTCACATTTTCTCTCCTTCCGTCCTTCGCCTCTCAAAGACCCCATCCCTGCTGGGCATGCCAACCCGCATGTCTCACTGGCCCCATGAACTCAGTTCCCAGTTTGAAAATCCCAAACTGAATTCATGCTCTACCCAACCTTTTTCCTTTTCTATCTTGAGGGCAACACCACCCTCCTCCTGACACAGGGGTCAGTTTCTTCTCTCTCCTCTCCCACATGCAATGAGTTTCCACAATCTCTTTCCTTCATCCCCCCTCCTTCTGGCCACACGCCATGGCCTTACATTCACTCCTCCTCACCTCTTGTCTAGACTGGTAAGACACCTACCTGATCTCCCTATTTCCAGTCTCTCCCTTTTCCGCTCCATCCTTTCCATAGCTGCCAAAATAACATTTCTAAATCACATGCCTGAATCACTGTCTCAGTAAAAACATCTTCAATTGCTCCCTATTCCCCATAAGAAGGATGAAACATGAACTCCCTCAGCTGGCATTTTTGGGCCTCCACCATCAGGCTTCTTCCTGACTTTCTGGCCTTTTCTCCTTTCAAGGTTCAGCTCTTCCATGAAGAATCCTTCACCACCCACTCCTCCCTCCCTTTCTCTCTCCCTCCCTGCTGCAATTTTTCCCACAGCACATATTTTTGATCCCGACTTTGCCCCATTCTCCCTTGTGGGATCCTTATGTGTGTGCTCTTGTGGTCCCATCCTATCCCCATCATCTCCTTGTGGGCAGGAAGTCCGGCATGTTAGATCTTTGTACCCACCAACAGCTCTGCACAGGGCTTTGCAGGTGCTTAGAAATTTTTTTTGTTTGAATAAATTGAATGAAATCAAATCTTACTTTGATCTTTTGTGTATCCAAATATATGTTACTACTTATGGAATGTGCTTTTGTCTTTCCCTATACAATGCAACTCAATACAATAAGGAAGTTTAAATGAAAACACACCGGAGGGCCTAAATTTTAAGAGAGGGTAAAAGCAGGAAGACACAGGATTCAATTAGTCCAGGAGGCTGAAGAGGACAGAAGTGATGGACTTAAAATTCAGAATGGGATATGGCCAATGTGGGAATTTGTTTCTCCAGGCAGCGTGAGTTTGCTGTGAAGACTTTGTCTTTTGTTTATTGTTCAGCTGGTGAGAGCTGAATTTATTGCTGGTTTATTGTTCCAGAGGTGAGAGAGAAAATAAATCCTTGTAATAAATAAATACATACACTTTAAAACTAAACCAAAATTCAATTCAAGATAACAATTGAGTTTGAGTGAAAACACAACCAAGGACTTTCATTTTAAGAGGGACAAGGTAGGAAGGGATTGGAAAGCATGATTTTGATTATTCTGTTTCTCTGAGGATCACAGATTTAGAGCTTAGGGACTTCAGACACTGGCTAATCCAATCCTCTCATTTTTTTTTTTTTACAGATGAGGAAACTAAGGCCCAGGGAAGTGACATGATTTGTCTAAAGTCACACAGGTAGTAAGGAGTAGGGGTGGGATTTGAACCCAGGTCTCTGATTCAAAAAACTGTGACGTGGTGGAAGGGAAAATAGAAATGCTGACCTGAGGTGATGGCAGTGGAGAAGGAAGCAGGGGGGTCACTCCCAGGATCTCAAAGAAGAGCAGAAAGGGGCTAGTGGGGACGAGGGCCAGAATGTGCGACTCTCTTAGAGCTTCCCACTGGCAGGGCTTAAAGCGTGGATTTCCATGTCCTCATCCCAGACTTGCTGGAGCTCTTGCTCAATCCTCCTTCAGAAGGGACATGTGGCCTCCCAAGTTGGGATTCTCACCACGTTCCCCAGGGAAACAATATTTATATATGATGGTTGGTCCTATCATATGATTAGCACTCTTCTTCACATATAGAAATAGACTTTCATGGGATAGTACAGGCTCTCAAAAAGAAAAATATTAAATGAATATCTGAAATTATGCATTGGAGACTCATTTGGTTTGTTGAGACTCTATTAAAGTACAAATCTCCTGGGAGGAGGTGGTGACCCATTTAATGTTATGGACAAGGCAGTGAGAGAGAGGAAAGGAGGATGCTACATGCCTAAGTCTGGAAAAGGAGACACCACCAGAAACTAGCTTGCCCTGGTCTATGGTCAGACCTTGGCCTGCTTGTGGCTGGACTGAGCTGGTGCCCAGGGGCTGGGACACAGACGCCCAACATGCCATGCCTATGGCACTCCCCAGTGCACCTAAGCCAGACTAAAATGTAATTGGGAAATACTGAACAAAAATAAAGAAAAATACACTAAAACATAGGTAATGTTACATTTTAAAACTAAGTCAACACATGGCCCACAGGGTTCCTTAAATATAGTTTAATGGCCCCCATTTCTATTTGAGGTGGACCCCACTGGGCCAGGGCACTTACGATGGGAGAAAAATCTGTCTAAGTTGTCCTCTTCCTCTTCTTCTTCATGGAAATTTCGAGGCTCAGGGGGTGGTATATGCCACTCTTCAAAGTTGGATGTAACAGATATGCCTCTGGTAAGAGAGCTCCGCTTCATATTTGACCCGACCCCATGCTCTGGGCTGTCGGATTCGTCATCCTCAACTGTGAGGAAAACGAAAAGAGCTCAGAGAAGGTGGGGGCAAGGAGACAATGAGACAGAAACCAAGAGAGGGAGGAGAGAAATGGGGGAGGGGGAGAGAGAGACAAACAGACAGACAGACAGACAGACAGAGACAGAGAGAGAAAGAGGAACAGAGAGACAGAGAGAGAGACAGAAAGGCAGAGAGAGACATGGAAAGCAAGAGAGAGAAAGACAGAGACAGAGAGAGAGGAGAGAAATGGGGGAGAGGGAGAGAGACAGACAGAAAGAGGGACAGAGAGACAGAGATGGAGACAGAAAGGCAGAGAGAGACAGAAAGGCAGAGAGAGAGAGACAGAGAGAGACAGGGAAAGCAAGAGAGAGAAAGACAGAGACAGAGAGAGAGGAGAGAAATGGGGGAGGGGAAAAGAGATAGAGAGAGAGACAGAGAGAGAGAGACAGAGAGAGACAAAAGAGAGAAATAGAGAGAAGAGAAAGAGACATACACAGAGACAGACAAAGAGAGAGACAGAGACAGAGAGAAATCGATGGCGTTATTGACAGCACTGTTCACTAGAATACAGAAAGCAAAGGAAAGCATAGAGTCGAAGGCATTCTAAATGCTTCTTTGTGTCCCCGGCGCACATTAAGTTGCTGGCCCATTTTTGGGCAGCTTTCCCACCAGCCCTCTCAACTCTTTACTCTCCACAGCTGCTGTATTAGGTTTTGAAGATACTGTGTATGCCACAAGATCCTAAATCTAGAGCTGGTTGGGGTCTCAGGGCTGATCTAGTCCAACACCCTCATTTTTAGAGATAAAGAGACTGAGGTCCAAGATGGTGAAGTGATTTGCAAAAGCAGTCAATGTCAGAGGTGAGATTTGAACCCAGACCCTGATTCTAGAGCCAGGAATGCTTTAATTATGGTACCTTCCAGCCTGTAGAATAAGAGCCAGCAGACAGGTGGTGCAGTGTATAAAGTTTTGGGCTTGTAGTCAGGAAGCTCTGAGTTCAAATTCTGTCTCAGACACTTATTAGCTGTGTGACCTTGGTCCCTCCCTGTTATCTTTCTGTAAAACTGGGATAATAATAGCCCCTACCCTCACAGGATTGTTGTCAGGATCAAATGATACAGTGTGTTTAAAGTACTTTGTAAACTCTTAATCACTCTATAAAATGTTAGCTATTATTATTATTATTATTATTAAGACAATGGTAAGCAAAGAACACAACTCAGGGGTGGTTAGAGAGACCACTTTCTTCTATTCTCCACCACTGTAGCTTAAACCAATGGCACTGATAAGTTTAGCAGATCAATTTGCTCTCATGTGGGAAGACAAAGAATGATGGGACTTGATAGCATGAGATGCAGGACAGGTAAGCTTCAGCAGGTGAACAGGATGGGGAGGAGACCGGAGCTCAATGAAGCATGGGCATTGGGAGAGGGCTTGCTGTGGTGGGGCCTGGGGAGGATGTGGGCTCTGGGGCCATGAAGAGCAGCCCTAGGACTGTGAAAACAACCCAAGCTATGTGATGCCATGTGGCTGGGCTTTAGAGGACAAGGTAGGGCCCAGCAGCCCAAGAGGCATGGCAGGAACTTCCCATTTCCCTTCCTCATCTCAAGCTTGTTCTCTCCTCTGGGTTCTTGCCCACCAGGCAGGAGACTATGAGGGCTGGGAGGAAAAACTTTGGGCAGGTTGGAGAGTTGGGTTAAAACTAGCAGTGCTTAAGTTTTGGTGGGGAAAAGGAATGGGGTCTGCCTTGTGAAAAACCAGGTTGGATCTGACCCTGGTATTCCCTCCCCACCATTGCTCTTCTGTCCCTTTCATTGGTGTGGATGGAAGTGTATATGGGGGATATAGAATAGCAATTCATATACAACCTGCTAGAGCTCAACATCAGGTTAAAGGTCCCAGAAAGAAAGACAGGTTGTCCCAAAAGTCTCAGTGCCATTTCAAGTTTTCCTTTCCCATAACAGAAAACCAAGTTTCTGCCAGGCATAATTGATTAAGGGCTTGGCACTGACTGTATTGGCACTGAACTTGGCACTGAACATATTATGTTCACAGGATCAGCCCAGGAAGCTGGAAATTGGATAGATGTGTGCAGAGGAAATCCTGGAAAGGGGAGATGAGAAGGGAAGGTCCTTCCTTAAGGAAATGACTGGTGACTTTACTGCCGGGGCTGGTCTGAACCTCTCAAAGTATTCAGTTTATTATTCAAGCTACAGAGCTGATCAGAGCCTCTTCTGGCTGGAACATCTATACATGCTTTTAATTACATGTGACCCCATGGCCATATTTCTAAATTCACTCCTTTTCTTTGTAAATAATCCTTAAAAGAGCACACTGATCTTCATGAAAGGGTGTGGCCAAGGATGGGGAAGAGAAAGGGATTGGATTCTGCTATCAAGATGCTCAGCAAGAAATGAGAGTTATTTAATACGAAGGTTGGGCTACCCAATGGTGTTGTGATCATACTACTCAGAAATTTGAGCCAGACACTTAGACATATGGAGTATTCAGGATGCCTTGGGCAGCCCCCAGGAGCTAGGGATAACCTCAAGGATTTCTCATGAGGTTGGGGTGCAGGAGTGGAGAGAGGCATGGGGCCAAAATACAGCAAGAATAAGGGAATGAGGTAGGGCCTAAAAGACAGGTGTAGGCACAGAGGCTGAGAAGGAAGCAATGCATTCTCATTTCAGCCTTTGCCAGGGAGGCTTCACCCAACCAGGGGTTCGCTGGCTGCTCATTGTGTCTTCCTCCTCCTGCCACTTTCCCCGTGACCCCAAAGAGAAGGGACAGGGAGCATGAGGGCAGAAGGTACATCACCCAGAGTCCTCCCTACACTGCAAACTGCCCATGCCTCTGTCGGTGGGGTCTTACCGTTTTCCTGTGCTTCCACAGATCTGTTCTTTTGCTCTTCCTTAAGGTGTGTTAGCTCCTTATAATACTCAACCACTTCAGGTGGCAGTTTTTCTCCTGGGATTCGAGGTGGCAGGAGAAGAGTGTTACAGGCATCATAACCTCTTAGGTTTCGAAGAATCTATACCAAGTGGGAAGAAAAGTGTACTTTGGTTTCTTGAATGCTTTCTCCTCCCCCATTATACTTATTCAGATTTGAAGCTGTTTAATATCTAGGCCAGCTTTTCTCAATTATTTGTTCCTTCCCGGTCTCGTGTCTTGAATCTCTGGCCTCTTTCATTTATCTTAAGGACTGTGGTTTTTTTTTTTTTTGGCTTGTTTCTCCCCCCCCTAAAGTGCTCAGGGTTTCAAGGCAGGTAGGATTCTCACATCCTGGAAAAACTCAGCAAGTAGAACTTTTTGGTGAAATGGGGCTCTTATTTCTCATCACTTGAGTGCTGAGTTTTTCCTATCTGAAAACTATTTTCCAGTGATTTATTAGTTAATCCACATTATATTAATTTTTGTTTTTTGTAGATCAGGAGTTGATGAGAGGTCTTTAAATTTGTTAAATCATTGTTTATATTAGGAATCTGGGGAGTAAGACTGGAATAACTCAGAGGTCCTGCCTTGATGTCCCATTCTTGTTCTTGTAAAGACGGGGATTATAATTCAGTGCACAGGAAACATCTTCTCTGGAAGACGTATAAAATGTGCTATGTACTCTCAGATGGCCCCTTTAGATAGCTGCATGATGACTTGGGGCCACTGGGCCCGTGGCTACTGTCATATATGTTCTTCGAATGGGCACATGTGCTTTGTAGCATGAGGACTGGCAGTGCTTTCCTGGAATGGCCAGAGGTCAACCGGGTAGACCCAGAAGGGGAGCATTTGTAGTTGAGGAAGACAGAGGCCAAGTGTGGCTGGGTTGCCCCCCTGACCACATGATAGAAATGTCTTGTCCACACCAAGGTCTTAATTGTCAGCCAGTGGCCTTTCTTCAGACTCCATCTTGCTCTTATAGCAAATGCCACAAGGTAGCTAGGTGGTACAGTGGATAGAGCCCTGTAGTCAGGAGGACCTGAGTTCAAATCTGGCCTCAGACCCTTAGTAGCTGGGTGACCCTGGGCAAGTCACTTAAACCTGATTGCCTTAAAAAAAAAAGCAAATGACAGAGCTAACCTCCCCCATCTGCCTGCCTCCTTGACACTTTTTCCTTCCTGGACTTTTTTTTTTCCTTTGGTGAGGCAATTGGTGTCAAGTGACTCGCCCAGGGTCACACAGCTAAGTGTCTGAGGCCAGATTTGAACTCAGGTATCCCAAACTCCAGGGCCTGTGCTCTATCCACTGTGCCACCTAGCTGCCCCTCCTGGACTTATTCTCTTGCTTCTCCTATTTCTCTGTTTCCTTTGCTGGTTCCTCTCCTCTCCTCTTCTCCCCACCCCCAGCTCTCTTCTCTCCAGATGTGGGCATTCACAAGGTTCTCTCTAAGCTCTTTTCTATTCTCTCTCTCTATTGGCTCCTCCAGGTGGTTCAGTAAATATTTATTGAATGCATGAATAGCCCTAAATGGTTTGAAAGAAGTTTCTGGATAATTTTTAAAAAAAAAATTGGTCATTAGGATTTTCTCCCTACCTGAGATGGATGAACTTGCTGTCTGAAACCTAGGTAAGGTCAAGTGTTGATTTAAATCCCAATCCCCATGAGAAGCCTTTAGTCCCTTTCCCAAGTGCTCCTGTCTTAACCCCCTGGGGCATGCAGGGGATTGATTTACTACAAGCCTGGAATGGATGTAGGCTTTTCTTACCTTCTCTTCTAAAAGATATTCCTGATCAAATTCCAGGGAGTAAAACTCAATGGGAAAATCACAAGGATTCTTCACTGTGATCTCTGCCTCATCGCCAGGAGCAAAAGGCTGCAAAGGCCCCAACTCTACCACAGAGGGGTTAAAATCCAGGCGGGGCTCCAGTCCGTGGCCTTGGACAAGCAAGGGCAGCTTCTGTGAGCTGTGAGTGATATTCATGGTCAGGATCTGGCTATAGAATTTCTGAGGAGGGAAAAGGACAGAAACAGAGAATCACAATCAAAGGGAAAGACTTGACATACTTTTGCGCTTCCTGGCTGAGGAAGCCAAAATCTGATGGATACTTTCAACTGGTCCATCATTGGATAGGGTAGAAAACTTTTCAAAGTAAATTGCTCTGGAAGAATTCAGACCTAGGCAGACAAACACAGACTTCAGCAAAATTAACTGATATGCCAACCAAACCCCACACTGACCTGCCATGTTCCATACCCATAATCTTTGCAAGAGAGGGAAAGAGGCATTTTCTCATCTCTTCAGAGCCAGGCATAGTCATAATAACTACACGGCATTCAGGATTATTGTGTATATTGATTCCCTAGTTCTACTTTCTTCACTTTGTATCATTTCTTATAAGTCTTCTTGTGCAACATAATGATACTTAATTATATCCTGGGATTGAAGTTTATTTAACTAATTCCCAGTTGATGGGCTTCTACTTTGTTTCCAGTTCTTGGCTCCTACAAAAACATGCTGATAGAAATATTTTCGTGTACAAGGGACCTTTCCTTCTATCTTTGGTATTTCTGGGATATATGCCTGGCAGTGGTTCCCCTGCCTCCAGAAAAAGGTATAAATATTTTTGTCCCTTAGCATAATTTCAAACTGCATTTACAGAATGGTTGGACCAATTCACACCTCTACCAATAGTGTGCTCTTCTTTCCACAATCCCTCCAAATTGATTATTCCTATCTTCTGTAATTTTTGACAGTTTTCAATATGAGGTCAATCAGCCAGTCAATAAACACTTATTAAGTGCCCATGATATGACAGGCACTGTGCTAAGAGCTGAGGTTATAAGGAAAGGCAAAAGATAGTCCTTAGCCTCAAGGAGCTCACAATCTAATGGGGAGACAACATACCAAAAAAAAAAAAACCAAACAAACAAAACCAAACCTACGTATAAGATAAATTGGAGATAATTAACAGAGAGAAAGCACTAGTATTAAGGTGGATTGGGAAAGGCTTCCCATAGAAGGGAGGGTTTTATCAGATACTTGAAGGAAGCTGGGGAAGAGGTAGAGATGAGGAGGGAACACATTTCAGGTAAGGGAGACAGCCAGGGAAAATGCTGTGACTTGAGAGATGGAGTGTTTTGTGGGAGAACCAAGAGGGAGGTCCATGTCACCATAGTGAAGAGTATATGATGGTGAGTAATGTCTCAGAAGAGCAGAAAGGTCATGAAGGGCTCTGAACACCAAATGGAAGATATTGTACTTGATCTTGAAGTTGATAGGGAGCCCTGGGGTTTATTGAACATGGAGGTGGTGGGGTTAGATGCGCTCCTTAGGAAGATTGCTAGGACAGCTAAATGGAGGATGAACTGGAGTGGAGGGGAGAACAACCAGCAGGCTCTTGTCCAGGCGTGAGAAGATGAGGTTCTGGGCCAAGGTGGTAGCAGTGTCAGAGGAGAAAAGGGGGTAGACACAAGAGTTGCATTGAAGGTTAAATTGACAGACATTGGCAACAGATTGGCCGTATGGGAGGTGAGAGAGTGAGGAGTGAAAGATGATATATCAGTTGTAAGCCTGGGTTACAAGGAGGACAATGATGCCTTCGATAGAATTAGGGAAGTGAGGAAGAGGGTAAGGTTTTGGAGGAAAGATAATGAAATGAGTCTTGGACTTGTTGAGTTTAAAAAGTCCATGAGATATATAGGTTGAGGTGTCTGACAGGCAGTTGGAGATATGAGACTGGTGGTTAGCAGAGCTAATTAGTTTGCATAAAGATCATCAGCAAAGAGATTATAATTGAATCTATGGGAGCTGATGAGATCTCCAAGTGAAGCAGTATAGTGAAAGAAAAGAGAGCCTAAGAGCCCTCTTGGACCCCCATGGTTAGCAGGGATGACCTGAAGATCCTGCAAAGAAGACTGAGAAGGAGCAGTTAGATAGGTAAGAGGAGAACCAGGTGAGAGAGGTACCATGAAAACCAAGAGAAGAGAGAATATCAAGGAGAAGAGGGTGATTAAAAGTATAAAAAGCTGTAAAGAGGTCAAGAAAAATGAAGAATGAGAAAAGGGCATAGGATTTGGTAGAGTCTACTGAAGTAGAAAGCAGGGCTGAAGAAATGTAAGGGAGATATAAGATCTGGGTAAGATGCTGCCCGTTTTCATGGGGCTTCCATGGGCTGCAGTTTAGAAGGGGGCCAAGGCAGACACACATGAACTATAACACACAATATACACAGTAAGTTTTTTGAGAGAGTGAAATAATAAAGTGTTATGTGAGATTGGAGGTGGTAGAAGTGGTTGGGGAGAGGACATCAATGAAGTCTTCATTAAGGATGTGGACTTTGATTTGAGATTTAAGAGTTAGGTAGGAATTCAATAGGCAAAGGGGAGGGAAGAGGGAGGTCATTCTAGGCATCAGGAACATAGAGATTATTATAAGGAAAAAAAGTAGAGGAGATGCAGTTCTGGGGTGAGAATGAAGTAGCAGGAAGTATAGCAGATGGCTGAGAGCTAGAGCTGGAAGAGGTTTTCAAGCCAGGACATAACTCTAAGAAAGGGAAGGGGAAATGGGAAAAAGGAAAGGGAGGTATTCCTTTACCCACCAGTACTATGGGAATCCATAGGAGATCAGTACCTTTTTGTGTGTAGGATTCTCACTTGTTATCTACTTCAATTTGAGTAGCAACATGTAGATGATATAAGGCTGGCCTTGGGATCAGAAGCCCTGGGTTCAAGTCCTACCCCAGACACATGCTAGTTATATGATGGGAAAGTCATTTAACTTTTTCAGTGACTCAGACAACTCTCTAAGACTAAAATTTATAGACAACTCACTTATATGGCAGTGGACCTAATTTAAACACACACACACACACACACACACACACACAACAATTTTGCTGTTCCTGTTTTAATTAAAGGCTTTGCTATTTGACTTACAGTTCTTAGTCTGTTTGTAGAGAATGCACTGTATGGAGGATTTGAGCCATATTTGTCTAACTATGCTTACCCCCAAACACCCCAAACTGGATCCTGGGTATTGAAAGATTCCAGAGTCATTTGTGATCTATGATACATACATTTGGGAGTCATTTGCATGAAGGTTGTAGTTAAGCTACTAAGAGTGAATAAGATTGCTGAGGGAAAGAGAAGAAAAGAGGTACAAGGATAAACTGTTGGGAGAACAGCTCCACTAGATTGGGAAGAGAATGAGGAGTCAACAAAGAGATGGAGAAACAGTGATTAGAGAAGCAGGATGGCAATCTGGAGAGCAGGGTATCTTTGAAGCCAAGGAGGCAGAATATCCATAAGGCCAGGAGAGTCTCAAAAAATCAATAGCGGTTGAATAGGATGAGGACTGGAAGACTTGGTGTTTATGACATTGGTGACCTATGAGAAAAATCCCTAGACTAGAGGTGACAAGACCCAGTGGAATTATTGGTAAGAGAAAACTTTTTGAAGAAATTTTTAGCATTGAAAGGGAGGAGAGAGTTGGGTGGAGTATGTAGTCCCTGGGTTGTACTTTACATGTGAGTTCCCTGACAACCACCCGGTTCAGTATACTCTGTGGGTCACCATCCACTCAAAACCCTAGCTCATAAGCTCTTTCCCTGGCCATTGATGTGTTTCTTTTACCAACTAAACAGAGAATACATTAGTTTAAAGTCAAAGATGCTTAATTATTTAGGATAACAAAATAAATGACAAGAAAGATCTTCCATATACACAGAAGCACACTCTCTGACAGGTTACCAAATCAATAGTGGGAGAAGGGGCGCACACAAGGACCCTACATGGCTAGGAAACATGTATGGAAGAACATACATGGCTAGAGACTCAGCATAGCTAGGGCAATTCCTGTTCTCAAGGTGGTGTATTATTTGGAACATTTCTCTACCTCTGACGCAGAGTTGCTGGTTCATTATTGGTGTTACTGAGAAGCAAGCTAATTTTTTCTGGTGAGCTCTGAGGCTCTATGCTACCATTTGCTGGTCTTCAGCTACTATATGACCTCTTCCTCCACAAGGCAGTGGATCTCTTCAACTCTTTTAACTAACAGTGCCGAAGGCTGTTTTAGCTCTTTTGTGATTTAGCCAGGTATCAAAAACATTAAGTATTTTAAATTGCTTTTCTGTAGTAGTGGTTGGGACAATCTCAGTCCAAACCTTTATCTAAATTGTAGTCTGAGAGTTCCTTTTAACTCTTACATCTCTCTTGGATAAGGAACCTGGCTGGACCTGGGGTGAGGCAATTTCCTTTAATCCCCATCATACCTCTTCTGAGTGAGACTGAAAAGGGTCTGGTGAAACTGGTGCCCCACTTCCTGCTCCTTCTTAATTCCCATAATCTTATAACTTTGGGGCAGCCAGGTGGCATAGTGGATAGAGCACTAGGCCTGGAGTCAGAAAGACCTGAGTTTAAATCTGGCCTCAGACAGTTACAAGCTATGTGACACTTAACCCTGCTTGCCTCAGTTTTCTCATCTGTCAAATGAGCTGGAGAAGGAAATGGCAAACCACTCCAGTGTCTCTGTCAAGAAAACCCAAATGGGGTCCCAAAGAATTGGACCCACCTGAAATGACTGGACAACAACAATAAATATCACTTCACCTCAGCCAACCATAGGGATTGTCATAACTTAGATTTTCCCACCTCTTGTGACTATGAGACCTCCATGATACTGAACTCTGAAATTTCCCTCTCTGGTCAGCCCACCTTTAGTCAGTGTTACTCTCGGTTAGTGGCAGTCACCTGGTGATAACATTCAGAACTGAAAAGGGGAAGAGACATGAGCAAGTGATTTACCAGAAGCTGCTTCATGAGAAGGTAGCTGTGTTGGCATATACCAGATATTGGACAATCCAGCTTCCTTGAGGCCAAAACAACTATATCATCTTAAGACCCTAGGATCTCAGTTAAGTCAGGCCCAAGATCTTATTGCTGAAGTATCTTTAAAAAAAATCTATTCTTTGATAGGCATTCTAGAAGTTTTACCTCTTCTGATGGCATGAATTTGATCTGTATGTTGGAGCGCTCTTTAGTTGCCAGGACTCCAGACATAGGCAGGACATCAAAGGCCTGGGGCTTTGGCTTTAATTCTGCTCGTAGCTTCCTCCTTAAGTATTTTGGCATGCGCTTGTCCAGCTGGTATTTGAAAAAAAAAATCAGCTGGTGAGATCCATTTTCATGGAGAATAGACCTGATCTTTGGTTGGTTGAGAAAAGATTAGGTGTAGTATTACTCTAATGTATTCCCCAGAAGACCAAATCAAATTAGAAACCAGAGTATGTAGCAATTCTGATTGGATAGAAAAAAATTTTCCCATACAATGTAAAAAATCTGCTTGCTATGTCTTAATGGGATAACAGTAGCTTAAATACATTATAATTCATACAACATCAAATGTGACTCTGCTGACCATCCCTCTCCTTTCTCCTTCCTTTGCTTCTATGGCCATGGACATCATTCTGGTTCTTCTCCTGCCTGACCTTTCTCAATCTCTTTCATTGGTTCTTCTTATTTATTAAAAGTATATGTCCTTGAGGTCAGCTAGATGGCACAGTGGATAGAACTCCAGCCTTGAAGTCAGGAGGACCTGAGTTCAAATCTGGCCTCAGACACTTTACATTTACTAGCTGTATGTCCCTGGGCAAGTCACTTAACCCCTATTGCCTCACCAAAAAAGCAAAAACAAATAAACAAACAAACAAAACAAACTCCAAAAAGTATATGTCCTCCAAGGTTCCATTCTTAGCCCTCTTTTCTCTTCTACATTCCTGGGCAATCTCATCTTCCTTCTGTCACCTCTATGCCCATAACTCCCAAACTTCTCTTTCTCTCGCTCCATCCTCTGCCCTTAACTTCAGTCCTACACTTCTAGCTGCCCACAGGGCATCTTCCCTTGGGCATCCTGCTGGCCCCTCAAATTCAAGGGAACAAAGACTAGTCTTTATTTTAAATCAATACCTCCTTCTAATTTTCCTACTTATCGTAACTGTACCAACATTTTGAATCATCCAGACACAAAATCTTGGAGTCTCTTGTGATTACTTCTCTCTCTTTCCCCACTCCTCTCCCCACCCTCTTCGCATCCACTTTGATGTCTAATCTTAGTGTTTCTAATGCTGCCTGCAGTGCAGGACCTTGGACAGTGCCCTCCATAAAGCTGATGCACTGAACAAACATTTAGATGAATCGAATCTTTTATTTTTTCATTTCCAGGCTCTTATCACATCCAAATGATCCTTCTAATCACTTTCCTTTCAATTGGTCCTAGACCCCATTGCCAAATTAATCTTCTGAAGGCTTATACCAGGCCACACCACTGTCCTATTAAACTTTTTTTCCCACTAGCTCACATCTTTCTGCACTGAATTAAATGCAAGCTTCTGTGCCTGATACTGTGAGCCCTCTACAATATACCTCCCAACCACAGTACATGGAGTAAATAATCCAGGAAGATCTGAGTTCCAATCCTGCCTCAGACACTTATTAGCTGTGTAACCCTGGGCAAGTTATATTTTCTCTTATCTGTCTCAGTTTCCTCATCTATAAATGAGGATAATAATAACGATTATCTCCCAGAGTTGTTGTGCTAGTCATATGAGAAATTGTATACAAGCGTGTACAACTATGCATGTGTACACACATGTATATATACACAGAAGTATACACACAATGCCTATGTGCACACCATGCATTGCACATATATGCATGTGTCTGTATGTAGTATAGATATGTATTTATATATTCACACATGTGTATACATACAAGCATCTGTGTATAATATAAGTGCACACATGTGTATGTATACATACATGTATATGCATATATAGTGCTTTGTAAACTTCAAAGGGCTATACAATATTAGCTCTTACGATCTCTTAGGGTGCTTGTCATATTCTGCTCATATTCTGGTTATTGGTATTTGCCCCTTAACCCCTCCCCTAAGCTTCACAAGAGCAGAGATACCATCCTGTTTCTTTCTGTGTCTCCCAGTGCCTAGAGCAAGTACTTTGAATGTGGTAAAAGCTCAACAGATATTCACTGAATCAGAATGCTTGGACACCAGAACTGGGATCCCTGAGTTTGCCCTTCTGGTTACCTTGGAGACCTGCTTAAGGTTAGAGATAAACCATTCGCAGGGAACTGGCAACTCATTGTGAAGTTGGATGGTAGCCACCTGGCATTGCCCACACTGGATGCTGTCAAACTCCACTTTGTCATGAGACAAGGAGAGAGCCGGTATGGTCACCTTGGCACGCAGGCAGATGTTCAGCGTCGGCCCACCCAATACCTAGAGTGAGAGGAAGGTTGTGTCAGAGCATGCCCTCACCTGGCGGGGAGACTGACCGAGCAAGGACAATGAACCACCCTGACTGTCAAGTGATGGGACTGAGTCTGAACGCTCCCCCTTACCTTGATAGGCAGAATCACTTCTTTGTTTCCGACGGAGACGTTGGCCGCTTGCGGGTCACATCTCACCTCGAACGCTTCCGTTTCACAAAAAGGCAGATTCCTCACACGGTCGAGCTGTACACTAAAGCCTGGACCAGAACGGTAAGAAGATCTCTTCACCATTTGATAGGAAAGGTTAAAGGGCAGGGGAAACCTTTGAAGGGGGGATGAAAAGATGGATCTTCCCAGCATTTATTCTGACCCAAGCACCAGTAACCACAGCATCCTGGAGATGCAAGAGGTCTCAGAAGGTCATCTGGTCCAACCCAAACTTGTGAAACAGGGGTTCTTCGCCTTTTTTGTGTCATGGGTCTCTCTGGGAGTCTGGTAAAGCTGATGGGCCCCTTCTCACAATGATGTTTTAAAATGCATAAAACAAAGTATGTAGGACTATTGTCTATAATAAATATATTATTATTTCAATTCTATTGAAATATAGTTATCAAAATGTGAAATAAACAAGTGATGACTTGCTTAGAGGTGCCTCCTCTATGCCACACCCAAGTGGTCATCCAGGCTTCACTTTGGAGAAGACCTTCAGAGACCGGGTCTCTCCTAAGGACATGGCCACACTGAATGTACTCCAGAGGCACAGGGTAAAAAGATGATACCAGCTCCGGACAAGGAGTGGGGACAGAGCCCCTCCCTGATAAGAAGGGAAGATGTCCTTGGCATGTTACCTGAGTCATGAAGGGCACTCTTTTCTGCGTGGAAAGACACTGGCAAGTTGCTGGTGTTGGTGATTTTGACAATGTGGGTGCGGACATTACCAAGAATAATGTAGCCAAAGTCAAGGATATACTCGGGAAGATGAGCCCTGAAACGGTGAATGGCATTGGTCACGCGAGCTTGCCCCATCTAGGGCACTGTTCACATCTGGAGAGCTATCAAGGGGGAGGGGAGAGAATGTGTTTTAGCTTCTGTCGTCCTGTTCCTGGGATGGGACAACTCAGAGCAGCTACCTGAATTGTGATTAGAAACAAGGTCTTGTCCTGACAGTCTACAGACTTGTACTATTTACCAAATGCCTTCATGTGCCTGTGCCTGTACCTGTTGATAGGCCTGGCATATAGCAGACTCTTAATAAATGCTTGTCAACTGACTGACAGAGTCAAAGCTTTCTGGCTTTGGAGCCGAGTTTAAGATCTCTCTGGTTAACTTGATGCCAGATAACGTTTGATGTGCCAGTTTTGTGTAATTCTACTGCAAGAGAATTAATCTCTAGGTCTCATACGTCTTCCTCTAGACTCGTCAACTGACATGTTCTGAAAACAATAAGCAGAGGAACGACTCACTTGAGCAATCTCCAGCGAGATCGGTAACCGAAGAAAGATCCCTCCAGATTGAGTAATTTCTGTTGTTCTAAAGCATGATGTTGGATGATCAGCCTCTCTACTTCCATCTGGAGCTGGACATCTAACTAGAACAATAAAAAGCAAGAGACAGTCACTCCTTTTCTCAAAGAAAAAAAGTAACCTTCATGCATCTTTAGCTGTCACAGACAACCAATGACGGTCATTATCATCAGGAACTGCGGCTTTGGAGTGGCTAGATTTTGGATGAAGAATGAGGCTGAAGACAGAGGGGCCAAACCAAGCATTCAGAGACCATGAGACTGTTCTGATCCTTATGCACATCTTCTGAATTTACTTATGTAAGTCTTCATCTAAATTTATATAAATCTCACAAATCATCTGTGAGAATTTGGGGCAAGTAATTCTTCTTCTTTAGATTCACTTCCTTCTCTATAAAATGAGGGGCTTGAGGAAGATAATCTCTATGATCTATTCCACTTCCAGCATTCTGTGGTTGTCTTCTAGTGGGAGGAGGGAGAAAATGTTAGCAGTGGAGCAGACCTTAAGATACAAGCTGTTTATTTGAGGGAAGCCGTGGAACATGAACAGACTGTTGGAAATATTAACTCTCTGTTCAATGTTATTGAAAACCACAATAATAGTGACAATAAAAAGTGGAGTTATTTTTAAACTTCCTCTGAGGAATTCAAAAGGCTTCCTTGACATATCTTTCACTTTTTAGAAAACTCTTATCCCAGTTGGAATCCTGTGCCTATCTTGGGAATAATATCATTAGTTATGTTCCTTGTGAAGAAACACACACACTTTTTATATTTTTAGCAGTTTGGTATATTTATAGAAAAGTTAGTTCAATCTTTCAAATGGCTCTGTCACAAATTCCTAAACATGTTAAGTGAGAAGGTGACCTGGGGTAACAGACAGAGAGCTGACCCTGGAGTCTGGAAGGTCTGGGTTCAAGTCTTGCCTCTTACACATATTGGGCAAGCTGCCTTACCTCTCTGTGCTCTAGACAACTCTCCAAGACAGGAGGTTGCAGAGAAGGGGTTGATCTGCATTGATAGAGGGAATTTCCTCATCTGGGAGTCCCCTGTACCAATGAAATAAATGACTGCTGCAGTCCCTAACCCTATGCCCTAGATACAAATGAAATAATAACAGCTAGCATTTCTATAGCAATTGACCATTGCAACAACTCTGGGATGTGGGTTCTATTATTACCCTCATTTTACTGATGAGGAAACTGAGGCAAACAGGTTAACTCACTCACGGTCATATAGCTAGCAAGTGTCTGAGGCTGAATTTGAATTTGGGTCTACCTAAAGATATGATGGTTTCATTCAAATGTTTTTGCTGAATGAATGAAAGTATTTCTTGGACACCTCATGGCTCTGGAGGTCTTCTTTAATAGGAAGTTCCATGACTGGCTGCAGAGACCAGGGTCCTACTTGATATAGTGGGTTAGTGCTAAGCCTCCACAAAATTGTGGCCTTAGGAGGGTTCGCCTTCAGTTCCCCGAGGAGCCTCTTCTAAGACCCTGTTGTTTTCTCCTTTTCATTGTCTCCTTCCTTTTCCAATGAAGATCCAGAGGCATCCAGTCATTCGCAAGAGTAGCTCATCTTTCCCAAGCCCTTTAAAGTTAATGCAATGTTTTCCATATGGAATCTCACTGGATCCTCATGGCAAAGAGTTACCACAAATGCAGTGATCTTTGTCAGACAGACAAGGAAACAGACCCAGAGAAGTCACTCGGTAGAAGTTAGTGACTGCACCCAGACTCCAACTCAGAGGTCCTGCCTCCTCATTTGGAGCCTTTGTACTATGCCCTAGATACGTCTCCTGTGGTTGCCTGTGATGTGTTAGGGACAATGCCACCAGGACTCTACTGCTGCTAGAAGAAAGAACAACCCATGTGCCCAACTGAAAAAAGCTGGAGGCAACCAAAATACAAAGGAATGCATTGCTCAGGGTAAGATTTTGAAGCTCAGTTGGGGAAACAGCTTTATCTGTTAGAAGGCCATCCCTGCCATGAAGAAGGTGCTTCCATCTTGGGCAAATACACTGGTTCCCTCATCTCCTACTACTGGATGACTACCAATAAGGCTGCGCAGGACTCCATTCTCTTTATTTGCCAAAGTGGCCATCAGCTCAAATAAAATAGCATGACATATTTGTGAAGAGTAAAGCCCTGCATATGTGTGTGTATTTGTGTACATGTTTGAGGGCACACACGTGTGCATGTGAGTATGACCGTGGTATGAGCATGCGTTTGTGTGCATAAGTGTGCATGTGTGAGTATGTGCATATGAGTGCGTTTGTATTTGTGAGTCTGTTTGTATGTCTGGATGCATCTGAGCGGGTATGCATACGTATATTTATGCATATTATGTGAGTGGGTATGTATAGAAATGCGCATTGCATGAGTGTGTGGGTATGAATGAGTGTGTAAGTGTATATGACTGCATATACTGCACATGGGTTTGTGAATATGCATGTGTATGTGTACACATGTGAGTATATTTGTATGAGTATGTGTTTGTGTTCTAAGTGTGTGAATGTGCACATGAGTGTGCCTGTTTGTGACTATATGCACACATGTGTTTGTATGAGTGTGCATGTGTGTGGGTGTGAGTGGGTGTGCATGTATGTATGTATGCCTTTGTGTATGCACACACAGATGCTCTGCAGAGGGAACAGCTGTTCTTACATGGCTTGCCATACACTCCTCCTCAGATGTGGTCTCAGTTGCTGGATCTGTATAGATTGGCAACTCCTCCTTGCTGAGCTCCTTCCCCAGATTTTTTCTGGCCTCTCTCAAGAATTCCTCATACTTTTCGTTCCCTGTTGGTGGTTAGAGAGAGACAAGAAAAAGCAGAGTCAGTAAAGAAGTGTGAATTGTGGTGCTTCCCCCCATACTGACTCTCATCTTCTAGGGGGATGAAAGGAAAATGAACTTTGTCATCTTCCCGTGCAGTATTGTTTTACCTGAAGTTTGAAATAGAATGGGAAAATCTAAACCAAGGCCTCTTAATCAAGGGTTAGATACATTTTAGGGAGTCCATAAAGTAGGCTGCAAAAAAATGATATCTTTGTTTTTACTAACTTTTCACTGAAATTCAGCATTTCCTTCAATTATGAACATAGGCAACAGGGTCACCAAAAGAAATCACAGCTATGGTCAAATCACATTACAGATGCAGACATCTAGAAATACAATTTATATTTTTCACTGCTTCACAATTCCTGTAATTACTAGATCCCCTGCTAAATCACATATGATGATGGCCTTTCAATCTACAGTCTATATTTTAATATAATTGGTTTTCTTTGTAAGCCAGTGCATTTTATTTTGTGAATTTCAAAATATGATTCTGAGAAGGGTCCACACTGCCAAAAGGGCCCATAATATAATAAAAGGTTATGGACCCCTAGTAAATGGGCTTACAGGTGCCATGATGGTGGAACCATTCAAATTTACTGAGTAATCCTTATGAAACTTAATTAAACAGGATGGCTGTGCAGCTAAGTCTTTGAGACCAAAACAAAGTGAGTAATGATGGAGTTAACCTGGGAAGTGTAGACAGCCGATGCAGTTATTTTAGACATTCCCCCAACCCTTTTGCAAAGCCTTCCTTCTCTGATACATGGATTGAAAGTAGCCATAATCTTGCTTTAGAAATTTAAATATAATTGGGTTTGAGATATGCTCCTGTTTATGTTAATGTGAAGAGGTAGAAGACCGTGAGGAATGACCAGTCAGATTCCATGTCATGGCAGGAAAAAAATTGGTAAAGCGGGGGAGGGCTGTAGAGATGATGGAAATTGGGCTTTTTGGACTTCCAAAAGAGCATGGGGAAGGGCAGAACATTGGTGACACCATTGTCCTTGGTTGGGTGCCAAGAAAGGGAGAGTCTAGCTTGGGGACATTCCACGGGCTAAACTCAGGGGAGCACTTGAGTTGGGGTTTGGGTAGTTGAGAAGAAAAAAGTTTGGGTCTGGATTTGTACACGGCCCAGCACATAGTAGGTACTTGTTGACTTAACTTCAGTGGTAGAACTGGGACCTGGATCAAAACTACTTTGCTTCTTCAGCAACTGCAAAAGTTTTGATTTGTACTGGGTTGGGGGGGAGGAGGAATGTATGGAGCGGGACAGCAGGAAGAACTAGAAACTGAAACAAGAGACTACTCTTTAAAGGTTGCCTTTCATGCTTAACCTGAGCCAAGCTAATGTGAATAATGAGATGGCTGGTGATAGGCTTCCTGAATATTTTGTCCCACAATGATGCTAGATCTTGTGGTAGAGAAGCTTCTGAACATTGTACTTATGGGGCACCATTATTGTTGTTGTGCTAATATGGTAAGAGGGGGAGGAGGAGCCAGGCCTTGTCAGAAATCTAAGGACAAAGTTTTTTGGGGAAGCCATTATTATTTTTTTTTTTTGCTTTTTGGTGAGGCTATTGGGGTTAAGTGACTTGCCCAGGGTCACACAGCTAGTAAGTGTTAAAGGTCTGAGGCTGGATTTGAACTGAGGTCCTCCTGACTCTATTCACTGTGCCACCTCGCTGCCCCTATGAGGAGACCATTCTTGATGTAGCAGTGGAGAATCCCCATTGGGAATGGCACCCAAACTGTCTGATAAGTCTTCTCTTTGGGGGCTTCCCTTGAGGATATTTGGGGACAAAGCATTTGGTGAATTCAATGGATAATTGTCCAATTCTTTGCTCCTCTTGTGGTCATGTGTGCAGTCAGACAAAAGAAGAGAATCAAGTGTTCTACCAAATCAACAAGCCATTCATCCTCACTGAGTCACCAGAAAATATCATTATCCATACGTGGAAAATCCCTTGATTGAGAGTTAGATACCTTTGATGTTCCTTGGGAGATCCAGGCAGATCTGGGGAAAGATCCCCTCTCCCATCAGAGTGAGGGTCTCTGGTTCTAAATGGGCAATCTGGACCTGGAAACTCCTCTCAAAGACCTCAGGCACTCCAGGCAGGTAATAAACCTTTAACACCTGTTCTTGTTTCGATTCAATGTAACCCTACGATAGACCAGAAAGAGCAAGAATAAATCAAAGAATAAGGCCATGAATCAGTTCATCCAGAAGAATGATGAGAAAATTAGTGGAGAGAATTCTTATTAATAGGATATTTAAAGAGAAAGAATAGAACTAAGTTATGAAGGAAGACAGTGCAGCCTGGGTCTGCTCTGGGCAGGAAAAAAACTGGAGCAAATCCAACAAATAGAGTGATAATCTTAAAAATCTTTTGTTAGACTACGAAACTGCAGTGAGCATTGATCCTGGCCTTGCTCTCTGCATGGTAAGCCAGGCTGCCAGAAAGTCTAGTCCTATGATTCACAGACTCATCGAATCTCAAAGCAGGGAAGGAGCTCAGAGGTTGGGTATCTTACCTGAGTAGGGATCTACTGTACAACATTATGACATGTAGTCACTCAGTCTCTCCTTAAGAACCTCTAGAAATGGGGAACTCACTACCACTGGAGGCAGCATGGCTACTTGTAGGAAGTTTTTACCTATGTTGACCTGAGATCTGCCTCCCAGTATCTTCCATCCATTACTACTCCTGCTTCTTCCCCAATTCCTTCAACTTATTCTTGGCCAGGTTGGTTTTGTCCCCTTACCATTTGTTCTCCTCCTCTGGATGTACCCTGGCTTGTCCTCCTAAAATGCAGCAACCAGAAACAGAGACAATACTCTGGAGGTGGTCTTACCAGGGCAGAGTAATTTTGGCCGCCACTGCACAATTGATGCATACTAAGTTCACTTTTTAAGGGACAGCGAGGTGGTGTGGTAGATAGAGTGCCAGACTTGGAGTTAGAAAGACTCACGTACCTTAGTTCAAATCTGGTCTCAGACACTTACTAGCTGTGTGACTCTGGACAAGTCACTTCACCTTGTTTGCCTCAGTTTCCTCATCTGTCAAATGAGCTGGAGAAAGAAATGGCAAACCACTCCAGTATCTTTGCCAAGAAACCTCACAAATGGTGTCAGGGAGGGCTGGACCTGACTGAAATAACTGAACAACAAAGTTCACATTTTACTACAATCTGCCACTCTCTTCAGCTGGAAGTCTTGATCACTGTTTCCAGTCTACTTCATAAATGGTACTGGCCACTCAAAATTGAGTCAACCAGACTCAGTCCCTTCCATTCCTTTCCACAACCAACTTGGCTCAACACAATTTTCTGGGATTTTCATTCTTGGAGATTCTTGGTCAAGAACAGTTTGGATGAAAGGACCTCTGAGGCCCTTTCCCATTGGAGATTCTATAATTCTGTGAATTAGAATTAGAATGACCTATAGTGACAATGGAGCTAAAACAAAAGCCTTAAGAGGCTCAAAAGTGAATTGTTGACCCGATACCTTCAGGGAAAGGGAAGAAATGAGCTCCAGGGAACTTAAATTTATTTCCATTTGAAGGGAAAAATGGCTGGAGAGAACTGCTGGCTAAAGAAAATTAAAGATGAGAATATGAGAAATCAAAGCAGATAGATGGACAGATCCTGGGTTGATTTTGCTTTTAAAAATATTTGTTTCCTCTTAAAGCAAATTTCTGTTCCTTCAATATTTAAGGCACTCTAACCACAATCCTACACACTTGGAACACACACACACACATACATTCACACCCACACGTGCACCCACATGCACCTGTGCACATACTTGCACATGCACACACCTACAATGCACACAACACACACATACATCTGGGTTGTGACTTCATGCAGGCTTTCTCTCTACACAGACTGATCCTTTTTTTCTATCCCGGTCATTCAGGTACTTACAGAGCAAGGCAGGATCAGAGGCACTCCAAGCTGAGGGCCATCTAAAGAACTCTGGTTCCCATGAAGAACTTTGAAATCAAAGCCAACTTTGCCAGTATTCTTCAGGGTGAGTTCACTTTCCATGACATGATCAAACAGCTTGGAAAGATAAGTGGGAAAGTGATTAATTAGCACCATCGGGTAGCCTGTTAGACACTGCCACATGCACTGACTGTTTGCCAGGCCCTGTGCTAAACTCTGAGTGTACAAAGAAAGGCCTCCTCAGAGAGGAGTTCACACTTGAATGGGAGTGGATGGGCACAGACAAGATCTACATGCGTAGAGAGAATGTAATCTCAGAGGCGAAGGCATTAGCCAAAGTTGGTAGCTCCACTGGGAAATTTACTGCTTTGGTTAACCAAGTCAAGAGGTTCTACAGGGAAGCCTAGATTTCAGATGTAGTCTATAACGTATGTATAGACTGAGAGGTACCATGGGGGAGTCAGTCAACTAAACAGCAAGCACCTAGAACACACCTGGCATTACTACATGCTGTGGATAGATAAGCTGAAAGCCAACATCCCTAGCTCTTAGCACTGTGCTTTGGGGGGACTCACTAAGTTGAATGGAATTACACAATATAGTGCCTGCTCATAAAGAGATTAAAATCTACTTGGGGGAAGGAGAATACAGGTGAGAAGAAAACCACAGGTGTATGCCTAAAATAGCCAAAAATAACTCTCAAATAATAAGTAAGCCAAATTCTGATAATATAATGTAGACCACACACACACGTGTTTTGGGAATTCAAGTAAGCCAAAGATCAGTGTGGGATAGAATTAATCAAGGAACGGTTCTTGAGCTAAGAGGAAGTTAAGTCTTGAGGCCAGCTTTGAAGGATGCAGAAGTTTTAGATGGGCAGAGAGAAAAGGCCAGAGAACAGAGTGGATGAAAACTGTTGTCTTGCTGTTTGTCTTCTGTTCTTGAAGAGGACCGTGATGTCAGGGAGGTGACGCCATGATACGCAAGTGAATTGGATTTAAGTCACCAGCCTCACTTTCTCCTCTGCAGCCGTCTGGGTCCAGTGGTCAGATCAGGATGACTGGAGATGGCCCAGGATGCAGTGGGGGACCTTGGCCTTTTCAAGCTAAGGTCTTTAACAGGTCTCAGTTTGATTGAGGCAACACCCATTCAGTGTTTAAGTCTAGATTAGAAATGAGGCAGAGAATGGCCTCTTCACTCAATCAAAAAAAAAAAAGAACGAATGAATGAAAATATGGAAACAGGAAAAAGTATATTTGGGAATAGTAAGTGAGCATGGTCCATGGCACATTGTAGGCCCTTGATAAAAGCTTGCTGTTTGACTGACTCATTAAAAACCAAGTTGATTAGTTATGAGTGTGCCCAGTTAATGGAGGAGCCTTGAAGACCAAAGTGATGAGCTTTGATTTTATACAATAGGCTGTGGAGTCACTGTTGTCACTTACATAGGGAGTGATGTGATGATAATGGTAATCTAGAAAGGTGAATCTGGCATTCTCATGTGGAACTGATGGTGGTTAGGAGAGACTACAATTAGGGAGGTCATTGTAATAATTTACATGGGAAGTCATGAGGCCTTGGACTATGGTAATCTTTGTGGAAATAACTAAGGAGGGTTGAATCTGTAAAATATTGTGGAAGATGATCAGTGAGACTTAGCGATTGACTAGACAGGGGGAGGTAAAGGAGATGGAATTATGTAAAGTGCTTTTGAGGTTATGGAAAATGGGGGACTGAGAAGATAGTGACAGAAATGGGGAAAGTAGAAGGAGATGCCATTTTGAGGGGAATGACAATGACCTTAATTTTTGGTACCTTTTTCCAAAGCTCTGAGAGAAGTGAATCAAAATGTCCTACAGACATCTGGAGATGCAGTTTGGTGAGTGAGCAGGTAGATGAAAGGCAGGTCTGCTAGGTTTGGAGAGGGATATTTGAGAGTCTGTTAAATTGTAAGCCCCTTGAGGGCAGGGACTGCCTTTTGCTTGTTTTTGTATCCTCAGCTCTTAGCAGTGTCTTGTATATAACAGGTACTTACTAAATATTTATTCATTTAGTGATCATTTGATTGAGTTACAATGTGATACTTGAAGCTGTGACTGTGAACCATCCAAGAAATTGAATTCAGAGGGAGAAGAGCAGAAGATCAAGGACTAGGACTAGTTTTAAGGCAAGGACAGGAGCTACTTGGAGTCAACTTGCTGTACCTGTAGTCCATAATTAATTTCCTTTCTGTCAAATTGATAGCTGACCAATGAAGCTTCTCCTTTCAGCGTAATCTCATAGGTGGGGCCCCCCTCCACTTCACACAGGGCTTTCACCTGAGCAATGATGTCACAGTGCCCATAAAATGAGAATGACACCTGGTGGCTACTAAGGGGCGGTAACACTCCATAGAGGGGTAAGATGTCAAATACCTGTAGAGAAAACCATGAAATATGACAACATGTAGCCCACTGCAGAACATCCAAAAGGGGAAGGTTAGGTCAGTTTGCAGAACATTTGTCAGAGGAATATAGATACGGAGCTGGAAGGGACCTTAGAGGCCATCAAATCCAACCCACTCATTTTACAAATGAGGAAACTGAGGCAGAAAAAGGTCAAGTGACTTGCTAGTCACACAGCTAGTAAGTGTCTGAGGCTGGATTTGAACTCAGGTCTTCCTGACTCCAGGTTCAACTTCCTACCCCCTTGTGCCATCCATGCAGTTAATTTTGAAAATGTAAGCTAGTTCTGGGCAGTGCCATAGAGACCCCCTATCACATTCTGGAGTTGCCTTTCTGGAAATTTGAGGTTGTTTGGAGGAGAACTGGACTGAGCATCAGGAGACCTGGGTTCTAATACTGGGTCTCCCACTTACCATATGACTCATTTATTATCTGGAAAAAGATAAGGCTGGACTGGATGGTGCAATGTGCAACGATGCTATAGGTCTTCCCTCCCCTAAGGTATAGACCCTAAAAGATTATAAGTTGCTGTGGCTGAAAAATTCTTCACTTGGTAGTTATCCTGGTGATGAGCCTCTCCAAATTTATCTAGACTGAGCCTCAGATGTCAGGCCTACAAGCAATGACACAGCTCTGATAGAGTACAAAGGGAAAAACGCCATCTCGACGGTCCCTTCCACTTCTGACATATGATCTGAACTGGCAGCGTGCTTGGTCCATGGACATGGCTCTGATGCTGGTAGTTCAATCGCAGCAACCAACAGGCACTTATTAAGGCAGCATCTGCTTCATGCCCGGCATCATGCAAAGCAGAGAGCTTAGAAGACGACAACATTGCGTTTCCTGTCCCCAGCAAGGCAAATGCAAAACAGCTGTAATCTAAACCTTTCTCTGCATCCTCGCTTGGGAAGACAGTTCTGTTACCTTACGTTCATTAGATCTATTTTTTTTTTTAGAACAAAGCATAATGAGCTTGTTTGTGTTCCTTTTAACCATAGCATCTTGGGCAAAGGAGGTCTAGGAGCTATTGCCATAAAATGATAGGATTATAGGAATTAGAGGAGGAAAGGACCTTGGAGGTCTTCTATTCCAGCCTCTTCATTTTCTTTCAACAGACAACAGGAACCCCACGGAAGAGATCTGGCCCATTCTTGCCAACACTCAGTGACGAATGAGCTGTGGTTCCAGGAAGTCCCTTCCTTGTATGGTGTCCAGCACAGCACAAGGTACAAGTAGGAACTTAAGACTCCGATGATATTTTGGAGTCTTGGTACCAAGAACTTTCTTGAGTATCTGGAGCTGAAGTTACCCTGGTGAGGGACGAGGTCAGATTGGGAACTTGCCGGGGGACAGAGGAGAAAGGAGGGAAATCCCGTATGAGAAGAGCAAGCACAAGCTATTAACTCACTTCTTCCACCCCAATGGTGAGAGACTCATCCTGTTCAAAGATCCGCAGGGATTCCTGAAATTCCACCTGGCTCTGGGGTATTATTGCTCTTTCTTCTTCTTCGAGGCTTGATTTCAATGGCTGGAAATAAAAAGTCCAAGGGAAAGCTAGCAAATTTTACTCTCCTTTACACCTAGGCCCTATCCCCTATCCCTTAGCTCGACCTTCATCTGTAACATGGAGTGTCCATGGACTCCATTCCATTTCCCTGTCTAGACTTTACCGCTCATCTTGGAGTTGCACAAAAATGTTCATCCACAGCATTTCAGAACACTGCAGTTTTTCACCTTAGAGAAAATACAATTCATGTCATAGAAAAGTGGCAAGAGTGCCGTTGGCCTGGTCCATTTGACATGGGTACGTTGACATGGATGCCCCATCAGGGAAGTGACTATTGTTATGTTCCATAACCCTATTCTACCTAGACCCGGTGACGTCCCCTTACACTCCTGGCCTATGAAAGGGGTCCTTCTCTTGTCAGTCCATTATTAGGGGAAAAAAACCAACTTTACTTCTTCATTGACTGTGTTGACCATGTCTGATGTCTGTAGAAGCTTCTTTTCTCCTTCTTCATTCACATTATTCTCATCCAGAATGATATGCCTGGAGAATTTCATCAGATATTGGAGAATTAGCAAGTTGGCTACCAGAGGATAGCCTTTCACTTCAGTGACGCTGTCACCACCTTCCCCCTAAACCTTATCCCCTGTTCCCCTCAATATGGAACAAACAAAATGGAAGAGCAGGGAAATAGCATTAATGGAAAGAGACCATCTTGGGGATAGCTCCACAAAACACGACAGGCATGTTCTCAAGATGCTGAGCAAAAGTAGGGTCAATCGAACCATAAGAGCTATCCTCCAGTGGAATAGTTTGCCTTGGAAAGCAGTGAGTTTCTTATGACTTAAGATCTTCAAATGGGTACTAAGTGGCCCCTTGTCACGTATGATGGAGACAGGGTTTCATGTTTTGGGTGGGTAACGCCTAGGTCACCTCTGAGGTCCCTCCTAACTCTGGCATTCTATGATTCTAGGTAGGAAGCCTAAGGACAGACAGTCAGTACTTTCACTATTTTCTACATTTCCTTCATCAGCTCCTCCCCCACCCTCTGGCTCCTTACACAGGAAAGTGCAAAACCTTCAGCCCAACAGGAAAATACCCATTGCTTTGGGAGTCGGGGGAGGGGAGGAAGGAGGGGAAAAGGCAATGTAATTTAATAAGCAGACATCAGCTCACTCTGCTTTTGAGGTCATATCTGCACTCTATAAAGTCTCAAGAAAAGTCAATAGTTATCCAGATATTTGACTAGGTTCCAAAATGCTCAATAAGAGAATTAATAATTTATTGAGAAATGTCATAGTGAGGGTGTACCCTGGAGGGGATACTTTGTTCTTGAAGACCTGGCCACCCTATTCCATGTGGTAATCTAGATCTGACCTTTGATAAGAGGTGATGGGATAGAAAACTCATTTCCATAGGAAAGGGAAGTGATGTCTATGTGTGTGTCCATAGCCGTATCCATATCCATGTCTATGTGCATGTCCATGTCTATACATAAAGAACACCTGAAAGAATCTTTGCTAGCTTTGCTTCCAAAAAGGTATACTTACTCAACAAATTCATCTGCTTCAATGGTTCCTAAATTTGATGGTACTGGGGTTGGTGAAGCTGCTGGCGCTGGGGTTACTGGAAGTAAATCCTGTTGGGACCCCAATGACTGAGACCCAACATGAACTGGGCCAGTGTATGGCTTATGTTGCCCTGTTTCAAACCTGCAACATCAAGTTAGGATCTATGAGTATATTTCCAGAAGTTTGTAATCTGGCCAAGGAGGGTGCCCTGTTTCTAAAACAAATGTTCAAATTCTAGACTTGTGGTAAAAAAAAGACCATGATCTCAGTCAAAGATCTAGAATTCAGGAATCAGAATTATCTCTGACATTCAATGAATAGTTCTGCGCTTGGTTCCTATCCATGAAAGGAGAAGAAGAAAGAAAAGACGGTTCTTTTAGCTGTGGCTTAGAAAGACTGAAGGGTTTTTATATATAAGTATATATACACATTATACACACATGTACACACATGTATATGCATATACATAGATATGTATGTATATACATATGTAAAAACAAAGTCTTCCATCAGGCAAAGGGCGTGGCTTGTTCATTTTCATCTGGTTTTACCTTCTATCTCAACAAACATTTATCTTATACTATTTACCAAGATAAGGTCAAAATGGATACATGAACTAGACATGAAGAGAGATATTACAAGAAGACTAGATGAACATGGAACACATTATTATCAGACTTATGGACAGGAGAGCAATTTATAAATAAACAAGAGAGAGAGAGCAAAGTTAAATGTAAAATGGATAATTTTGATTACATTAAATTTAAAAGTTTTTGTACAAATAAAACAAATACAACCACGATAAAAAAAAAGGCAGAAAATTGAGGGGGGAATTTTATAGGCAGTTTCTCAGATAAAGGTCTCATATATGAAATATATGAAGAACTTTGTCAAATCTATAAGAATTTGAGTAATTCCCCAATTGATAAATAGTCAAAGGATAAGAACAGTTTTCTGATGAAGAAATCTAAACAGTTTATAATCATATAAAAATGCTCTAAATCATTATGGATTAGAGAAATGTAAATTAAAACAACCTTGAGATATCATTTTATATCTACGAGATTGGCTAAAATGATTGAAGGGGAAAGAGAAAAATGTTGGAGGGGATGTGGAAAAATTGGGACACTAATTCATTTTTGGTGGGATTGTGAACTGATCCAACCATTTTGGAGAGCAATCTGTAATTATGTCCCAAAAGTTATTAAATTACCTATAACCTTTGACCCAGCAATGCCATTATTAGGACTATTTCCAGAGATGATTAGGGGAAAAGGAAAAGAACCTATATGTTCTGAAATGTTTATAGCAGCCTTTTTTTTTTTGTAGCGGCAAAGAACTAGAAATTGAAGGGGTGTTCATCAATTGGGGAATGGCTGAACAAATTGCGACATATGATTGTGATGAAATACTACTGTGATATAAGAAGTGATGAGCTCAGTGATCTTAGAAAAGCAAGGAAAGACTTGCATGAAATAATAAGAATGAAATGAGTAGCACCAAGAGACCATTGTATACAGTAATAGCAATATTGTTTTAAGAATGACTTTGAGCAAATAAGTTATTTTGACTATATACATACACACATTAATTATAAAGGATATACAAAGAAAGGTGCTATCTGCAGCCAGAGAAAGAGCTGGTAATAGAAGTATATACAGAATAATTTTACATAAATATACTTATTTATCTTTTAATGGTGTCCATCTCTAGGGCAGGACTGGGGGAGGGAGGGAAGAAAAAAAGAAAAAAGAAATTTACATGATAACTTTGTTGTGTATTTAAAATGAATTACAAATTGTACATAGTAGATTTGCAGTTTCATGTGCAATCATCTTTTTATGTTTTCTATGTTATGGAAATGCTTACTTTATTCCATAAATTAAAAATAAAATAAAAATGAAAAAAAAAACCCAAACATTTATTAAGCACCTGCTGTGTGCAGAGTGCAGAGTGCAGAGTTCAAATATGCAAATAGGTCTGTGATTTCACTGATCTGGGGCTTCTCCCCAACCTTGCTATCATGCTTGCCCATCTTACACAACTCTTGTCCACGGTCTCCCAAAAGCTCACCACAGGGGTTCAGCCAACATGATGAATGCTTTCTTGGCTTGCTTTTGACATTGTGAGGGTACCAGTGGAATACTCTAACTGTCTGCCTGTGATCTTCTGCTCGCTCCATGTGACCAGTCCATCTCCTTTCTGCCATGCATACCCCCTTTTGCTTCTGCTCTTGTTTGGAGAGTTCCTCATTGAGTATGCATTGTAGGTGGCCCACACCTACTATTTAACGTACCATCACCCTCTGTGGGATACTTATCTTTAGTTCTTTGGATCCAGTGGCTATTCCAAGTCTCGTTGCCATGTAGCAATACCCATAAAATGTGGGTATGGAAAAGGTGGGCCTTTGTTTTCCTGGAAGATTGGGGTAATTAAAAAAGTGTTTGGAACTTCCTAAAGGCAATCCAGTTCACCTTTCTCCTTTTCAACTCTGGGCCCAGCTTACTGCCTAGCTGTATTGTCTAATCCAAATATACACTTCAGCTCAATAGGATGTCCGTCAAAATGCTTGCATGTTAAAATCTAGGTAGTAAACATTCTTCATCTACTTGGCCTCTCCTGTGTGGACAGATAGGTCAAGCTCCTTTGAGTGATTATAGATCTCTCCTAGGAGTCTCTGCAACGTCTTGGGACTCGCATCAGTGTCTTGAGGCAATCGACACAATGTCATCCACAAATAGGGGGACTTACCACCACCAGGGAATCCCTTCTCGACCTGCCCTCCGCACTATACCTCCTCTGCCACCTTTGGCAAGCAGCCATCTCTCTGTTTCATGCCTCACCTGAGTATTGTTATCAGATTACCCCAAGCGGGGCTATTTCTATTGTTACATCTTCTAAAGAACCTTGAATGATCTTTTATGGTTATGCATGCTCAGTGTATGAATGGATGGACAGGAGACACCTGGCTGTAAAAGAGTCTAGAGGCTAGTGGTGCTTTGCTCTGAATCAAAGACCTTTTTACAACCAATAAACAATAAACACAATCCATTCTATTTTCTCCATCTTTCTCCATCAAGGATAATGGAACCACCACATTTGGACCCTAATATTACAGTCTCCAACATGATTATCAGGAAGATGAAAATGGCATTAAAGAGAATGGGGAAAATGGCCAGATTGGACTATCCTATCTCTGTCTGTGTGTATCTGCCTATCCATCTATTTGTCTGTCTATCTATCTGTCTGTATGTTTATCTATCTAATCTATTATCTATTCAGCTATCCCTATCATCTATTTAACCTATTATCTATCTCTATCATGTATTATTTATCTATCTCCAGCATCTATCTATCTATACATATATGTGTGTGTCTGTCTATTTACTTGCCTATCTAATCTATTATCTATCCAGCTATCCCTGTCATCTATTTAATCTATTATCTATCTCTATCATGTATTATTTATCTATCTCCAGCATCTACCTATCTATACATATATGTGTGTGTCTGTCTATTTACTTGTCTATCTATCTAATCTATTATCTATCCAGCCACCCCTATCATCTATTTAATCTATTATCTATCTCCAGCATCTATCTATACATATATGTGTGTGTGTGTCTATTTACTTGTCTATCTATCTAATCTATTATCTATCCAGACATCCCTATCATCTATCTCATGTATTATTTATCTATCTCCAGCATCTATCTATCTATACATATATGTGTGTGTCTGTCTATTTACTTGTCTATCTAATCTATTATCTATCCAGCTATCCCTATCATCTATTTAATCTGTTATCTACTGAAAAAAGGTGACCGAGAGAATGTGAATCACTCCCAACCTATTTGCCAACTCTCCCATCCATTACAAACAAACAGTGAGGATTTTCTTTTTTCTTTTTTTTTCTTCCAATTTTATTAATTGAGGACTTTCCCTGTATGAATTGAGTGCGTGTTTGCTGAGGCCATTCAGATGAAGGAAGCAGACTTTCACCAAGGATTTCAACAGTGGAAATCAGTGCCAGATAAAGACAAACAGAACAGCTTCATCATCCTTGTTCGGACTGCAGTCTAGCCAGGAGCTAGCACATATCAACAAATAGCTAAGATATAAACTGATACACGATTAGTGCATCAGAGAATTTAAGTGTAAAAGAAGTGTAATGAGAAGCAGGGGGAGCTATTACCAACTGGGGGAATCAGAGAAAATTTATAAAGGAGGAGTTGCAATTCTCATACCACCCCACAAAGGAGGTGTTATTATTATTCCCATTTTACAGTTGAGGGAATTGAGGCAAATCAGTTAAATGACTCACCCAGAGTCTCACTGCTAGTAAATGTCTGAGGCTGGATTTGAACTCAGGTCTTCCTGAAGCCAGACCCAACCTCTCTCCACTGCACCACCAGCTGCTTACTCTCTCAGTAGAGACTGGCAGGGTGTGGTATGGGACAGTGGAAATAGGAGACACTGAGCAAAGACTAATGACACATAAGGATGTTGGGGAAGTAGAGGCAGGCAAGAGTAACTTACTTGACTCAAAGCTTCCCAGGACGGTCTTGTGAAACATGTGAAGCCCCTTCTTATCTTCAGCAACCGAATATACCCTTTCCCCCCGCTAGACACATTTATTATAAATAACTCTTTGGCTTGGACCACATTGTCCTAGAAGACAGAAATAACAGTAGGAGGCTCCAGAGCTGAATCTGATAATTATTTGGGGGTTATCACTTCATCCAGGGAACTTGCAAAAGGGAGAAATCCAGAATCACTTATTAAATCCCCCCTAGGGTAGCTGAGAGGCCTGATCACAGATCCCAGGGCTTCAGTAACAATGGCCTCTCTCTTTCCAAAGTCCCAGACTTCTGGGACAAAAGGCCGAAAAAGAACACAATGGGCGGTGTTTGCAAAGCAAACCCACCATGCCACTAGTGACCAGCTGAAAAACAACACCTTTAAGAACAGGGCAAACAGGAAAAGCATTGGAGTGAGGTGCCGTTGAGGCTTGTGGCTAGAGGTGAGGGGTGAGGATGCCCTTATTAAGCGTGTAAGTGTTAGAGAGGAAAAGTGGCTAGGGAAGAGAATGCTGGGTTTGCCCTTTAGGGACATGGTGCCACATGGATCTAACCTTGCGG